AGCAGGATTCTCGCGATGATCACCGGCGCAATACCGCTCTTTGTTATGAGCTGTATGATTGCTGATGATTCAGTTTAAACTCAGTAAAGGCGAGCTTCTTTGGCGATGATGTGTGCGGTGTTAGAGTGTTATAGCAGACATTTGCGCTGAACACGCAGTGAATAACGCATCAAGATTCGGGCACCTTCTCCGAAAAACACTCGATTAGACTCGGCTGGCGGATCAACATTCAACACATAATCGCTGTCATTGGTATTTTTCACTCTTCCCTCGTTAGCATTTCCCGCATTCCCCACAAAAGCTCCCTGTCATCTGGCAGCGGAAAGCCTTCAGTGATTGACAGCTAATATAGTGCCCATATAATCGTCTTCTTGCAGACGTGGCTATAAGTCTTACGGCTGTTGCCAACTACAGGCCTAGGCCAGTCTTTAAATATTGCGTCCTCCAGCCTGAGGTCCAAAAACTTGCATTTCACCATGTTTTAAATTAATTACTGAATCAAAGGCGAGCTCGGGGCGATGCAGTGGCGCAGTAGGTAGTGCTGCTGCCTCACAGCAAGAAGGTCGCTGGTTCGAGCCTCGGCTCATTTGGCGTTTCTGTGTGGGGTGCTCCGGTTTCCCCCACAGTCCAAAGACATGAGGTACAGGTGAATTGGGTAGGCTAAATTGTCCGTAGTGCATGAGTGTGTGTGTGTGTGTGGATGTTTCCCAGAGATGGGTTGTGGCTGTAAGGGCATCTGCTGCGTAAAAACGTGCTGGATAAGTTGGCGGTTCATTTTGCTGTGGCGACCCCGGATTAATAAAGGGACTAAGCCGACAAGAAAATGAATGAATGAAGGCGACCTCGCCTCGTTGGCAGCAATCCAGCCGGGTACCCGCCGGTTTGTTTCAGCGCGCACGTGCGAACTCCACTTTACATGAGAGCGCTCAGGTCCTACTCAACATATAAAAAAATCCACGCAAAATTGAGAATAAAGGCCTGCACTTGACACAAATAAAAAATGTATCTAAAAAACTGGGCTCGAAAATTTAATACCTTGTCAGATGACGTTTATTACTTTTTAATACTTTTTACTGGCCTTAATTTTGGCTAATTTAATTTACTACCTTTTACTACCTTTTGCAACCCCGCGGACACCCTGTTTTCGAAAGGTACAAACTTGTACCTAAATGGTCCATATTAATACCCCAAGGATACATATTAGTCCCTAAAAAGTACAAAAGTGTTCCTCTTAAAATTTGTAGGTACTAATAAACACTTTTGAGGTAAGAATATGGACCCTTCAAGTACAAATGTGTACCTTTTGAAAAGGTACCACCCCGGTGACAGCTCGCGTACCTTTATTTCTGAGAGTGTATGTTAAATGAATGTCTGTTAAAGAAAATACACTTATGACTTTGTGATCCAGAGTCACATAAAATGTCTAGTTTTGTAGTTCTCAATCATTTTAATTGTCATGCAATTAGCAATGCATCATGGGATCCTAGTACTTTGTTACATTAAATGTTAAATACACAATGGTCCTATATTACTGTCTTTTTGTTCCATTTTCAAACACTTTTTTTTGCCTGAAATCAAAGTTTGTAATTTTGTGACTTCTCATAACTGGTTGGTTAATTCAAGACACCCCTAAAAATTCCTATAAGAAACATACAAAGAAAAACAAATCTATAGCATTCAAAAAGTAGTTGAATACCAATGTAGGCTGTGGACCCTTTTCACATTTCTGGGCTTCTCAGTAGTGCAAGTCTTCATAGTTAGCTAAACTTAGGGCGTTATCACACTAGGCTTTCAGAACTGTGCCCAGGTTTGAACCCTTTTCCTGGCTAGTTTGACAAGTGTGAGTGCTCCGGCACGGTTCAGTTGGCCGGCCCTGACCCGGTTGGAAAAGGTGTGCCAGAGCACAATGTGAGTGCAAAGCATGCCTGAGCATGAAACTGAAGACGCGACGTCACTTTTAAGGGACCGTTTCATATGGATTTATTAATCAATCGTACTTTGCAAAGAACATGAACTCTCAGAGTTGATTACATATGCAAACCCCTCGCTGCATGTCAGCTGCACTTTCAGCAAATTTACTTATACTTGCAGCACGAGAACTTTATGAAAATTTTCGAGAATCAAAAGTGGTGTTCTGCAAAAGATTTGACTGTGTCACTGCTTCCCAAACGACTAAAAATAATACAAAACGATACAACTAAAGTAATCTCCCTTGCACTGAGTGAGAGCGCTTCTCTTCAAAACTAAACAGTCGCATCAGATGCTGATGACCAATAAATGCTTCATAACAGAAAAGGGTCCACTGTAAACATAATAAATGAGTTTCTTAATACCTGCAGGTTATTGGCTGAGGTGTGTCAGAAGGGGCGGAGACTGAGAGAGCACTCGTGCTCTGTTCCGTCTGATTTACCCAGTCACACCACTGCACTACAGCAGACACATATCTGAGAGAGAGAGAAATGATCATTTTTCATTCATTATCTTAAAAATTATAATCATATTAGTGTTCTTCTTATTTGTGTATTAATTTATATCTAATTTATCTAGTATTCATCAAATTTTATCTAATAATTTTTTGTATGCATGTATATTTCTATTATATAATCACTATACTATTGTATTCATTGTTTATGTAATGTGCAATGCTTTGGCAATACTTGACCAGTCATGTAAATAAAGCTCATTTGAATTTGAGCGAAAAAGAGAGAGATACCAAACACCATGAGCACATGCATGCGCACGCACGCATGCACGCACACGCACACACACACACACACACTTAGGGCTCTATTTTGACGGTCCATGCGCAGAGCGCAAAACGCAGGGCGCAAACGTTTTCAGGGCGTGTCAGGACGCGTTTTTGCCAATTTAAGGACGGGAAATCTGCCTTGAGTTTATTTTCTTAATGAGTTATAGGTGTGTTTTGAGAATAAACCAATAAGAGTCTCATCTCCCATTACCTTTAAGAATCAGCTGCGTCGCGCCAAGAGCACATACGCTATTTACAGGACGCAAAGTAAGTCTAAGTGGAAAAAATGAGCATTTCACAAGCAAACAGTTAACAGTTTTTTAACAGAAAACTGTTAAACAGAGCATCTACTGCGTGAGAATGAGAGATAATGGATCTACTTTCACATTCGCTCTTGGATAGGGAAACATCAATTAGCCTATAAATAAATAATTTTGTTTGTTAAGCGCAAATATTCGTTTCAAAACTATTTCTAAATTCAGTTCTAATTTCCAGCAAACGAATAAATGAACAATAATAACAAAATGTGCTCAAAAACCTGAGTTATATCCTAAAACACATGCTGTGCCCCATATGGTCTAAAACCTGACAGGTGGGCAAATCTAAGCTTGTTTTTAATGAAACAAATATAAATATGCATATAATAAATAATACTGCTAATAATAATAACATTATACAAAAGCAAATTGTTATGAATGAACTGAAAAAGCCTCCCGAGATGAAGAAGACATAAAAGCAGTGATTTTTCATATTTATGTAGGCTAGAAAATAATATGTTTTGTAATATTTTAATCCTTTATATTTATATTCTATATCTATTCTTATTATATCCTATATATATCCTTAATATTTACATTTTTTCATATGTAAAGATATTTGCCTATTGCTCTCTTGTGTGTATTAAGCAGTGTGTAAGCGAGGCGCAACTCTGCGCTGGAGTTTAGACCGGGTTAGTTTTGGTCTAATGAAAAATCTATTATAGATTCTCAAAATAGCAACGCGCCAGCGATCCGCCTCAGAACACCTTCCTTTTTAGACCAGAACGCCTATGGGCGCACAAATGAGCGCTAATGCATTTGCTTTTTAAACAGCGTAGCGCAACGCCTCAAAACGACTTTTGCACCAAGCTGAAACTACCAAAAGACTAATGCGCCGCGCCTTGCGCCACACTGCGCCGGGTGTATGATAGGGCCCTTATGATTCACAAGAACAAAAAAAAAAAATATTCAGAATCCAAACACTCTGAAAAGTGAGTTAACAGACTGACGGGTGTAAAAGGCTTACATACATTCTTACACACGCTTAGGTTTACGACATTTAGAATTTTAAGACTCAAGGATTTTGCATGTTCATTTTTTCATGCTCACACACAATTCTAGACTATGATAAATAAGTGCTAAGATGTTGATTGTTAAATGTACTGTTTACGATCACTGCTTTTTTAAAGATAATTACTTTTTATAAAAAAAAAAAAAAGAATTCACTACTACTATGTAATTTGTTTTCATATTTGTTATATTTATATAAAAAAATTGTCATGCCAATAAAGCAAGTTTAAATTGAATTGAATTGAGAGGGAGAGGTTGGAAAATTTAATATTTTCCTAACTTACTAATTAGTTAAATTCTCCTTTATCTCTTTACCTTTGGTAGGTTTTGTCTGTGTCCACATGTACAAGAGTCTGATGCCCATCTGGCAAACTGAGCTGGCACCACCTGTCAGATGGCCTGCTTTCTGTCTTTAGTCTTTGCTCCATTTCTCCACACTGTCATAACAAATATATCAAAAACCACTTACTGTAATAAAAACACGAATAAAACAAACAAACAATACAGCTGGATTATAAACCATTCTGTTTACTGACTTCATTCCAGCTTAATGTGATTTGTGTTCTGTTTAGCATACTGATCAAATGCCATATATAATATATCGCATCATTTCAATATATATGTTAATACACACATTAAAAAAGTAAAAAAAATATTTATAGTAATATTAAAATATTCATAATATAGACATACTTACACAGTTTCCATTGAATGATATAAATATATTTATAAACCAGAACAAAAATAAGTAGTAATAAATCTGCAACATTACTTTTTTAGGGTAACTTTTATTTGATTTTATTATTATTATTTAATATTTTTTATTATTGAAATTTTTCTTTGCATTTGTTCTTATATGTATCTTTTACTGCTGCACATTTTATATGTCTGCAAAGTGCCTTGAGGTGCTACTTTTAAAGGGGCTATATATGTAAAAAATAAAGCAAACATTTCATATTATTATTATTTATAATGTTATATTTATGTATGGCACTTTATATAATTAATCAATTATCATTTCCTTTTGTAGTAGCATTTGAAATATTCCACTATGTGTCTGCCCGAGTATAAATTAAATATATTAGGTAATATGCATATTCAAAAAGTAAAAAAATATATAAAGTAATATTTAAAAATGAATGATTCAGAAATTCACACTGTTTTCATTAAACAAACAATGAAAAAAAAATCTAGTTTTCCCATGTGCTCTCCCATCCAGGTACTGGCCAGGCTCAGCCCTGCTCAGCTTTAGTGAGTAACCGGTCTTGGGCTGCAGGGTGATATGGCTGTGGCATTATTATATATATTTGAATGAAAATATAATTGAATCAAATTTATATCTATAATTTCATATTTCATTTCATCTTATTTCATGTTATTTTAAATATTTCACATTAATTCATGAGTTTTACAATGCAAAAATACACCTATGTTATGTAAATATACAAACAAATGGCTGAATTTGATTTTTTAATTCTTCAAAATAAAAAACCAAACATTTGATTTGTTGTAGGCATATAAAAATATATATTTCATTTGTAAAAACCTTAATTAAATGCAAAAGCGAAAGAGCATCTTGCTGAGATGATTCAAGTTCAAAATTATGTAATAATAAGCTCTATGGTATGTGAATGAACTACAGTATGTGATGTACCTGTGCAGCGGTATATGCATCAGACTTCCACATCATCTGTGCTTTAACTCCATCGAAAAACAAAACCTCAACAGTCCCGTCTGACAGAGCTTTAAAAGATCCAGAACCTGCCACGGTCACCTCCTGAACCACACGTGCACAATCACACACCGCAGCCTGCTGAAGATACAACAGTTATCACCATACACTCATATACACCAGAAAAGAGTGAGCATCCATCAGAGTTCACACCCACACGCATGCACACATAAACACACCTCAGTCCAGCAGTAAAGAGAGAGCGGGGTCCTGACCGAGCTTCTGGCCTGAATGAAGCATTTCAGAATCCTAATCAAACACGGACCAAAAAAACAAGCTTACTTTGTTTATGCATTTCACAAAAGCTACATTACACATGCAATATCCCACCTTATTTGAATGTGGTCAGTTGATTACTTGTATTTTTCTTTATTGAAATGATAAAAAAGAGATCGTTTAAAATAAGTTCAAATTGTTTAAAATAAATCATTTTAAAGTGTAATCTCAAGAAATTTAAAAGTTAATAGTTTATTTATTTTATTCATTTTCCTTCGGCTTAGTCCCTTTATTTAACAGGGGTCGCCACAGCAGAATGAACTGCCAACTTGTCCAGCACATGTTTTTACACAGCGAATGCCCTTTCAGCTGCAATCCCACTGAGCCACCGTGCCACCCTTATTTATTTTAGAATTTATTTAATAAATTATTTTGAATTCATGTTCATTCATTCATTTATTAATTTTCTTTTCGGCTCAGTCCCTTTATTAATCCGGGGTTGCCACAGCAGAATGATTCGCCAACTTATCCAGCATATGTTTTACGCAGCGGATGCCCTTCCAGCTGCAACCCATCTCTGGGAAACATCCAAACACACTCATTGTTACATGCCAGCACTTATTTGGTTATTTTGTTAATTTTTGTGTCTCATCATATGTTTCTGCTGGTCACCCACTCCACTTCTATGCTTGCTCCGCCTATACCCATCTCTGATTGGCTGTTTCTCTTATTCTTGCTGCAATCAATCCCATCTCTCCTGCTACCTGATTGGTTACCACTTTGCCCAAGTTCTAGCTAATCCCTGCATGCCACTTGGCCTTTAAACGGTCTTCAGTTTGTTAGTTCAGTAGACTCTCTGATTGACACTTGCTTGCTTGATTGATTGATTGTTGTATTTTGGCTCGTTTGCTTGGTTTGATTTGTCAGTGTTTGATAGTTTGTTATCCCCATTTATTATTATTGCTAGTCTTTATTTGATTTACACTATGTTCAAGTTTGTTACTGTCTGTTCTTACCTTTGTTTCGCCATATCTTCCCTAACCTAATTTTTCCCTGTGAGTTTAGAAAGACTGGTAGTTAAGTACGTCACGTGACATACATATCAGCACGTAGATTAACATTTGTCTAGATACACCAGGTAAGAAGGTGTGTGCCAACCTGTGTATTTTTGGTTTAATTGTTAGTCAGTGCAGATTAGATAGGACGTCATTGACATTCAAGATTTCTTTTTCATATCTCTTGTCTATTAAAATAGATTAGAGGGGATTTGTTGTGAATATTAGTAAGACTGTTTGGTTTTGTTTGGTTCTTTTATTTAGCGCCACCCATAGACAGTCTTTCTAACATTCAATTGTATAGTGTCTTTAACCTTGTATATATTGTAAATACCTCACTCACTGATTCACCCACACCATTTTGTAAATAAATAACTTATTTTTCCACGTATTCTTGCTGTCCATCCTTACTTTGTATCACAATTTGTTTTTGAGTTTTTTTGCAATAACCAATTCCTCAGTTAAATGTGCAACCCCATTCCCCTAGACAAATAGGGGTTGTAACACTCATACACTACGAAAATTTTGCCAAACCAATTCACCTGTACGACAAATCTTTGAACTTTGGGGGAACCTGGAGCACCTGGAGAAAACCCACGCTCACGCGGGAAATTCTACACAGAAACGCCAACTGACCCAGCGAGGCTCAAACCAGCGACCTTCTTGCTGTGAGGCGACAGCACTACCTACTGCGCCACTGCGTCGCCAAAATTCATGGTAAATTATTTCTATATTATATATTATTGCTATATTTTTTCTTTGCTAAGATACAGATTATTGAGCTGAAGCTGGACTACAAAATTAAATCTTAAATCAAATCACAAATCGCATTATCTGTCAAAGAAACTATCTTCTCACCTGCTCGCTCGTGTAACAACAGACTGGACAGAATACAGCTGACCTGGTACATCCGGCGGAAGACCACACAGGTAATACACACACTCCCTTCCCTGAAAACACACCGAAATCAACTCATCGCTCACCAACATTCACTCATTCTCATTACGAATTTATCATATATTTTTATTGAATGCCATGTTAGGAACAAAGACTATTTTAAAGGCAAAAGCAATTAATTAAAGTACAGTAAAGAGTTGTATATAAATTGGTGCTGTAAACATTCAAAAATGCACATCCAATGGACACAACTGAACCCACAGCAGAGGATTTATCAATTAAAGTGAAGGATTCTGTGATGATGTCATGGTGGATGTAGCAAGTTCGAACTCATTCATTCATACCGCTCGCAAACTTTTCTTTAACAATTTTAAATTGTATCATGCGTCATTTTAATCCCTCCCAAAACTGACAGGGAGTGCATGTCTTACGTCTGCTTGAACAGCTCCAGCTTTGTAATGTGTGAAGTAGTTTGCTAGAACTCCATTAGATCTGATGAGTGAACCATCGCCGGGTGAGATCTCCACCATCGGTATCACTCCATCTACTATACTGAAGAAAACAAAGAGACATGAGATCAGCATTTGTCCGTTCTAATCTTTCCAAATGTTTAAGTTTCTTCTGTGCAATGCAAAATATTACAAAAACATTATCATTGACACTGTTGTTTAAACTAAAATAGTAGAGACAAAAATCTTCTTTAAATGATCATTAAAGGAAGAAATGAATGATTTGCGGGTAAGGCTCAATCCCAATTCTATTTTTGTACCCCTACCCTCTTACAACCAAAGGTTAATGGGAAGGGCTTCAAAATTTACCCTTAAGAATTGGGACATCACTACAGCACCTGTACACGTCATTGTGATCTCTTGCTTCATGTGAGATCAGACTATCATGACTGCTGTTGTTATTCCAGTTGTGCTATTTTAAGGCATATATTATGTTATCATAACTATCTAATTTGGCAATAAGATCGTAATACTGTGCATTTACACAGTGGCCATATTCATCTATGTAAACAACATTAACACTATACCAGACACTGTAAAAAGCTCATTCTCAGCCACTAGACATTACTAACAGGGTATTTGAGTGTCATCAAGTGTCAGAATGTTGTGGGATTGCTGTCTAGGAGTTACGATTAGGGATTACAGATCGCAAAATTTTGCGGGTTTTTAGCGTTTTTTTTTTTTAAAGCATGATGGTAAAACACGAACGCGGTTATGAATATATTAAAATGTGTTTGTTTGATGTAAAAATATGTAACAATGACAAAAAATACTCATTTGTGGATCTCCTTACTTTCGGGTTTAGCAATGCTGCCACTGAGGCTGGTGTATTCTAGGAAATTTTCTTACCCTTTGGTTTCGCGTGTGGTCCTGAAAAATCTGCGTTCGAAGGGCTAATCACCCCTTCCCCTTAGCTCTACGTCTTCAAGCTAAAGAGAATTATCACACCCCTACCCCTTGGCGTGCACGAGCAAAACAAGGGGTAGGGGTAAAGGTAAAGGCTAAGGGGTAGAATTGGGATTGGGCCTAAATGTTGACAAAAGTTTCATTTTTGGGTGAATAGTAATAACACAGCAAAAAATGCCTGTTTTTCTCTCATTCTTAGTTTAAATATCTACAAATTCATAAATCCAAAAGCATTTTCTAGACAAGCAAAACAGTGTCTTCTTTTCAGAAATAATCAGCAAAATCAACTGAGTTCTTCCTTAAAACAAGCAAAATAATCACATTTTCGCTTTAAAATAAGTCTATTTTTCTTGACAAACTAAATACTCTGCCAATGGGAAAAAACAGACTTATTTCAAAGCGAAAACATGATTATTTTGCTTGTTTTAAAGGGCACCTATAATGAAAATCAACTTCTGTAAGCTGTTTGGACAGAACTGTGCAAATACAGTGATATAAACACAGGGAGTCTCTTTTTTAATTTACTGATGTTATAATAGGATCCAAATCTCAGTGATTTTGAGGCCCACAGCAACGTGAAGTAGGAGTTTTCTCTGCCCACCGAATCGATTGACAGGCACCATGTTTCTATAATACACATGTATACACATGTCCACAGAACATTATTTTGCAAATAAACTGGGAGCAAAATATTTGTTACAACTTTCTGTGATTTTTGTAAGTTTTATAAGTTTGTCATAAAGACAGCAAAATCGCTGTGTAATTTTTAACTATAATTCTGTCTAATTCACAGCCACAAGGTGTCAGTAAACAGTAATGTGTGTGTACTGCATCTGTGTGTGACTCATCGTTTCAGAAAGACTTGAACAGACTTCACCACAAATACATTAAATAAACTTACTTAGTTTTTTTTTTTTTTTTTGACTAATGAGCTTATTTCAGCTTCATCTGTGTCTGTCTCTATCACTGACTGATGTTTATCTGACATAAAGCAACAGAAGCAGACAGGCACGTCGAAGCGGTGGGAAGCAGCTCATTTGCATTTAAAGCCACAGGCAACAAAAAAAGCTACAATATATTCAGACGCCAAAATGGGCAGATTCTGCATTATATAAAAACTTATCTGATGGGTATTTTGAGCTGAACCTTTACAGACACATTCTGGAGACACCAAAGTCTTATCTTACATCTGGTAAAAGGGGTAAAATAGGTGCTCTTTTTTCTGAACACAAGACGATATTTGTTGCTTGTTTAGAAAATGCTTTTTGTTATTTAAATTTGTAGATATTTGGACTAGAAACATGACAGAAACTCTAAAAAAGTAATGCATTTTTGCAGTGAATAATAATAATAATAATAACAAAAGAAATGGCACAATAACTTAAAAATCTATGGAAAACCCAAAGGCAAAGTACGAAGAATGTTCGCATAACATAGAAAGTAGGGCTGCCCGATTTTGGGAAAAGTCATAATCACGATTATTTTGGTCATAATTGTAATCACGATTATTCCAAACGATTATTAGTTGAAGTCAAAATTATTAGCAATACTGAGAATTTTTTAAAATAAATATTTCCCAAATTATGTTTAACAGAGCAAGGAATTTTAACAGTATTTCCTCTAATATTTTTTCTTCTGGAGAAAGGCTTATTTGTTTTGTTTTGGCTAGAATAAAAGCAGATTTAAATATTTTGAAACCTCTTTTAAGGTCAATATTATTAACCCTTTTAGGCAATATATATTTTGATTGTCTGCAGAAGAAACTACTGTTATACAATGACTTGCCTAATTACCCTAATTAAGCCTTTGAATCGCACTTTGAATTTAAATGTTTGTATTTAAAAAATATCTATTCTAATATTATGTGCTGTCATCATAACAAAAATAAAATAAATCAGTTATTAGAAATGAGTTATTAAAACTATTATGTTCAGAAATAAGTTGAAAAAAAATCTTCTTTCTATTAAACAGAAATTGGGCAGGAAAAGGGCTGCTAATATTGAGGAGGGCTAATAATTCTGACTTCACCTGCATATATACAGTTATTTTTCACCCTGCAAAGGAAAGAGAAATAAATACAATAGACTAAAAATAGGAAACAAACTGTGCTTTAAGCATCTTCACTGTAAGAAAAACACTTTAGCTACAAAAGTCTTCAGTCAAGAGCAGTGAGGGATTTTCTCGTTGTTTTATTAATATTGATAAAAACAGGCCGCAGTACGAATTGTGCGCTGTTACTTTAATGGTTTTGCTTTCACGTGTCTTTTAATCCACATCTCGTTTGTTTATTACAAAATGGGGTTTAATATGAATAATCACTAAACACCGTGTTTTGACACCAATTTGACCTTCAAGTGCTCACGTTAAGATGACTTTAGATGTGTGCTCTGCTCGTCACAGTGTGCGAATGAGACCAAGTGCTGACTGCATGCCTCTGACTGTGTCTGACCGCCGCACACACACACATAAGAAGGCGGTCTTTCGCGCTTTTTAAGACCAACAAGTGAGGAGAACTGGAAAGGGGGTGGTAAATAATGGAATAATCGTTTATCTCGATTAATGATTTTTCACAATCGTTAGAAATCGAAATCAGATTTTCGATTAATTGCACAGCCTAAATAGAAAGCGTATTTTAATTCTCTTTAATTTAGAAAGTGTATTTTTAATTTATCTAATCATTAAACATATTTATCTATGAATATGCTCGTTTGATCATCTTAGGATCTTAAAAGATTTGTTACCATTTAGTTATTGATATTGAGTTATTGAAGGGAGGGGGAAGGGGGGGGGGGGGTTAAGGTAATTTGGTGGCGGTGGTTTGTAGGTTGCTAGGCGACCATTTACCGTTTCTCAGAGGATGACAAGCTGATAAAACATTGCTGACACTCAATGTTACATAATACAATTTTATTTATAGAGAAAATTACAAAGCGTTTGAGTGTTCTGTGCTTGTCTGGGATAATTAAGTCTACCGAAATGTGTATATTCCATACAAGCTAAAGCTGATTGGTCAGTTCTTGTCAAGTGACTCGCGGTGCACTCCTGGTATTCATTCAACTTGGCGCGTTGCTAAAAAGAGTTGCACACCTCCATTGGAAAAAAAGAAGATGCGCAAATTCTAGACAAGACGCGATGTGTGAATGGACCTTAAAGGGCCGCCATCATTTGCGTTCTCCAGCAGTTGATCTTTCTGCACCATGATGGATTCACCTGATTTTCAAATGGGTTGCAGATCTATTCCTTGGCAGTTCGCGGGTCTTTCAATGGGCTTTTTCCCCTTAGCAAAGAAACGTTCCAAAGACCTCAGTTTCTTACTCATTTTGCTGCTTGAGGGTTAAATTTGGGCTCTCAAGTGACCGAGATGTAAGAGGTAATTTTTCTAAATAAAAGGATTTTTCAAAATAAAGGATCGTTCAGATAATAAATAAGACTGAAGTAATTAATGATTTCTTGTGTGGCCTGACACCAATCGTTCCATGGACCGGTATCGGTTTGCTGCCCGATGGTTGAGGACCACTGATTTATAGTGTAATAAAAAACGCTATCTGTACCTTAGTAAAATTATTCCACAAGCAATGCTGTTTAATATTATGCAATGGAAAAAGGATGAGTAATCACCGGTATGTGACGCCTTTGCACCAGACCACTTTAACCAGCTCGGCTGTGACTTCCTCTTCCTTTTCCAGCAAATCAGGATTGACAGCGTCATATCTCCACCTGAACATCAAACAGCCAGTGTTATGAGAGTAAATGAGAGGAGTGGAGCATTTCATTATTCAAGTAAATAATATATATACATTAATGAAGGACAGACGGAAAGAGAAAGAGGGAGGAAGAAAGAAAGGAATGAAGGAAGGAAATGTTTTCCATTAAAATGACTCTAAACCAATTTGTTGATTTATCCACTGAGCTATTTTTTAATTTCTTTGACATTTTTTCTCAAATAAAATTACCACCTGTAATTTTTTTATTATATTTAAAAAGATTTATTTAAATAACAGAAATAAATGAAACTAAAGCTTTTATTTGCAAACTTTTTTTATATATTATAAATGTATTTATATTGTGAAAAAAAGACTGGAAATAAAAGATATCATTTTAATTTTTGAATTTTAATAAGAATTCTTTGATAAAAATATGAGTAAAATGTATCACAGTTTCCACAATATTATGAAGCAAGATAAAATGTTTTTAACAGTGACATTTGTAAGAATCAATATTTGTGAATTTGTATGATGATAACAGAACAACAAATCATTATATTATGATTTCTGAAGGATGATGTGACACTGAAGAAGTAATGATGATGAAAATGCAGCTTTGAATCAGATGAATAAATTAAATAGGAAACTACATTCAATAAGAAACCAGTTATTTAAAATTGTAATAATATATTACAATTAAATAGTTCTTACTGTATTTTTGATCAAATAAATGCAGCCTTGGTGAGCAGACTTGGTTTCTTTTAAAACATTAAAAAATCTTACTATCAGCATTATTAGCCCGGCTAAAATTATTATTAATTATATTTGATTTATTTTATATTTTTGAGCCAATTTCTGCTTAATGGAGAAAACAATTCTACACATTTCTAAACATAACAGTTATAATAACTGATTTATTTTATGTTTTCCATGAGGACAGTAAATAATATTTGACCAGATATTTTTCAAGATACTAGTTTTCAGCTTAAAGTGACATTTAAAGGCTTAACTAGATTATAAGGGTAATTAGGCAAGTTACTGTATAGCGATGGTTTGTCCTGTACACAATCTAAAAAATATTGCTTAAAAGGGAGCAAATAATTTTGACCTTAAAATGGTTTTTAAAAATGAAAAACTGCTTTTACTCTAGCCAAAATAAAACAAATAAGACTTTCTCCAGAAGAAAAAATATTATAGGAAATACTGTGAAATATTCCTTGCTCTGTTAAACATCATTTGGGAAATATTTGAAAAAGAAAAATTCACAGGAGGGCAAATCACTTTGACTTCAACTGTATTTATGTGTATGAGTGTGTAAGTAAAGATGAGATATTTGTTGTTTCTCACTTGTGTTGATGAGGAGAAGGGCATTTTAAAGGCAAAGGTTTTGGAAGTAGAGTCTTCCGGCCTGTTTGGAAATATTGTCTGTCTTTTCCATCTGTTGAACCTTCTCCATCTTCCCCATTATCAGTATTTCTTTTAGTCTTTAGTGATTCCTAGTGTTCAAGAGCTAATGACAGAGGATAGTGCCATATCTCTGGGTAAAGTGCTCTGGAAAACTGCTGGATCACTCTGGTGTACACATGCACTTTTCCAGACTTCACGCTTGTTGACTCCAGTATTTCTGTATTGGGGGATTTTAGATTCAATCCAGGACGGTCCATCTGAGCACCCACAGATTTGGATGTTAAAGAACTAAACAAACATGTGCTTCTGTGTTGATGTTCTTGAAGCTTTGGATCCTGTGATTCGACTTTATTTCTGCTGGAGTGACAGATAAAATCCACCGTGAACTCTTCCCCGGAAGAAGAAAGGATGAGTTTGGCGTGTCCTTCTACAGAGCAGACTGTGATCTCTCCATTTGCTCCTGTGATGCAGGAGTCAGATTCAGGCCACTCCACCTCTGTTATGGCACTGCTTGAGGAAGTCTAAAAATGACCATTTGGTTAAATAATAGAGTAAATAAGAATATATGTGAAAAGCAAACCTTTCTCCAGCTTTAGGGTAGCCTTACCTTGTTCGTAGAACTGAATTCGTGAGTTATGAGCTCTTCGGGCAAATATGGACGAGTTGCATACTTATTTCTGAATGCCAAAGCATCCAATACTAATGGCTACATAAGAGAAAGTACAAATAAATTAGTTGTTTTATTAATGGATGGACAGATATAGACAAACAGACACAAAGACAGACAGAAAAAAAGACAGATAGACAAAGACATATACATATACAGACATATACAAACCCCAAATACAAAAGTTGGGACAGTATGGAAAACACATTGAAAGGCATTTCTAAATTTACTTTGACTTGTATTACAATGCAGACAATACAACAAACAATAGTTAATCTGTTCCTCAAGATTTTTTTGATTTGTTGTTGTTTTTTATTTAAAAAAAACACAAATTCCAAATTTGTTTCTTGCAAAACATTTTCAAGTTAGAACAGTGAAGCATTTATCTAATTGTAATGTTGCCATTTCTTTTCACAACAATTACAAGACATTTAGGAAAAAAAAGACACCAAGTGATGAAGTGTTTTTGGTGTAATTTTGTCCCATTTTTCCAGCAAACAAGTCTTGAGGTGGGCTACAGTAAAGGGGCTTCGTTGTCGCATTTTGAGCTTCAAAATGCACCACACATTCTCTATTGGAGCCAGGTCGGGACTGCAGGCAGGCCAGTCATGTACCTGTATCCTCTTGCTCCACAGCCAGGACTTTGTAATGTGTGCAGAATGTGGGTTTGCACTGTCTTGTTGAAATATGCATGGACGTCCCTGGAAAAGAATGCAGCATGTTGTGCTCCAAAATCTCTGTACTTTTCAGCATTAATTGTTGCTTCACAGATGTGAAATTTACCTTTGCCAAGGGCACTGCCACAAGCCCATACCATGACAGACCCTGGCTTTTGGACTTGTTGTTGGTAACAATCTGGATGATCCTTTTCTTCATGGTCTGGAACACACTGCATCCATTTCTGCTTCCCAAAATACCTGAAATACTGATTCATCTGACCACATCACACCTTTCCACAGTGTGATTGTCCATCCCCGATGCTTCCAAGCTCAGAGAAGTCGACAGCGACCGGACACTGTTAACATAGGGCTTCCTTTTGGCACTGTACAGTTTTCACTGGCATTTGTGGATGTAACTACGTATTGTGGTACTTGACAAAGGTTTGCCAAAGTAGTCTTGAGCCCATGTGGTGATATTGCTTATAGATGAATGAGGATACTTGATGTAGTGCCGCCAGAGGAATCTAACGATTGTTCAGCTTAGGCTCGCACCCTTGTCTTTTATGCACTGAAATTCCTCCAGATTGAATGTTTAGTTGATGTTATGCACTGCTGTAGGTGAAATATCCAAATGTCTTCCTATCTTTCTTTGAGGAACATTGTTTTAAAAAATTATTTGTTTTTCTTATTTATTTGTAAGGAATGGTGTTCTGCATGAGGAACACATTAAATAATGTACTTTCCCAACTTTTACAGAAAATGGTCCGATAAAAAGAAAATATCCAGTGAGCGGCAGTTCTGTGGGCACTAATGCCTTGTTGATGCCAGAGGTCAGAGGAGAATGGCCAGACTGGTTCCAGCTCATAGGAAGACAACAGTAACTTAGTGTGCTTTCACACCTGCCTTATTTAGTTTGATTGAATCGCACTAGTTTGTTTCCCCTTTTGGTACGGTTCATTTGGGCAGGTGAGAATGCAGCAATCGTACTCGAGTATGCACCAAAAGCGGACCAAGTAAGCGTACCGAGACCTGCTTGAAGAGGTGGTCTCGGTACTCTTTCAAACGAACCCTGGAGCGGTTCGTTTGTGGTGAGAATATGATCCGTACTAAAACAGGTCCAACCGCAAAAAGTACTGCGCCTTTTGGACTAATTCAGCTGCCGTAGGCCGATGCGCTGTGTATTATGGGATATGGAGGAAAAATATTTGTTGACAGCACTTTACCAACAGAGAGAGAGAGAGGGGAAAACATTACCTGATGGATCGTTGGTAATATTTCCGCAAGATGACCATGTCGCAGTTTAGCTAAATTCATTCAGGTCTCCTCCTGAAGTGACGAGCGATGCATTAAACACTGTTTTCCAGCTGCAGCCGCGCTTCATTCTCAAAATGTACAGTTTGTCTAAAGCAGAGATAAAATCAGCCAGCGCAGTCGTCCCTCCAGAGTAAAAGCTTTTGTTTACCTGCGGGAGTTCATTGGCATTTTCCTGCACGTGAATTCTGACCAATCAATAAGCAGTTTAGGAAATATGTTCAACAACATCTGGCCAATGAGAGACGTGGATTTTGTCAGATGACTGCGTTTTGGTTTGTTTCAACTGGTTCTGACCAAAGCCAGCAGTGTGGTGTGAAAAAGATCCAAAGACTGCAGAAGATGCAACAATATATTATTGCGCTTGGTCCGGACCAAATGAAGCGAACTACAGATGTGAAAGCACCCTTAAATAACCCTCGTAACAACTGAGGTCTGCAGAAGAGCATCTCTGAACACACAACACGTCCAACCTTGAGGCGGATGGGCTACAGCAGCAAAAGATCACACCGGGTGCCACTCCTGTCAGCTAAGAACAGGAAACTGAGGCTACAATTCACACAGACTCACCAAAATTGGACAATAGAAGATTGGAGAAATGTTGCCTGGTCTGAGTCTTGATTTCTGTTGCAACATTTGGATGGTAGTCACAATTTGGCGTCAACAACATGAAAGCATGGATCCATCCTGCCTTGTATCAACGGTTCAGGTTGATGGTGGTCGTGTAATACAATATTTTTGGCACACTTTGAGCCCATTAGTACTAATTCAGGATCGTCCAACCCCGGTACTAGTAAGGTGTAACTTATAAAGTGGCCGGTGAGTGTAAGTAGATAGACAGACCAATAAATAGAAGGATAAGCATACAGACACACACAGACAACTAAATAGATTTACATACTACAATAGAAAGACAGATAGATAGATGAGCAATAAATAGAAAGATAAGTAGACAGACACAGTACATATATACACAATAGACAGAATACTACATCAGTTTATCATGTTGAATGCAGTTTTAGGTCTGAAAGGACATGCAAGTTACCTTAAACTCGCTGATGGCGAATCTTGTCCTCTGTTTAACTGTGTGTGTGTCCTGCAGCGGGTGCGCGCAGGCTGACGGCTGTTTCTCTATCAGAAACTCAGAGCCGCAGGGCGAGAGCTGCAATCTGAGCCCGTCTGTATAATACACATCCACACACTCATCCACACACATCACCATAAACCTCACCGAACACATCCCGACTGTATTCAATCACACGCTACTTCTACTGTTGTAATAAACACAATCTCGACATTCGTGTCAAACTGTGGTTGTTGCTAATGAGGGATACAGCTGCAGCCGGAAGTTAACGCGAATTCTACCCCTGACCCAACCTTCACAGTAATGTAAAAATATTATTTATTGTTGTACACTGTCACAAAAATAATGCTATAGATGTTGGTATACACAGTTGTATCCTATCTAGACTTTACTTCAAATTGTTTACGCTTGCGTTGTTCGAGTCGTAAGTGCATCGTTCTTAAGAATCGGATCTTTTGAATGAGTCGACTGTAAACAAAATAAATTAAAATGATTTAAATATGATTAACAGTCGATAAAACGATCTGAAAAATTTCGCTTTTTTCTTTATACATTTGTATGCCACACTTATAATTAATAAATGCATTTACATCAAAACGTGGAAGTCAGAAACGCCTAGGATTTTATAATCTAGCGAAATTAAACTGAATTGCTGTACAAAATCAAAGTAAACGCATATATTATTAAATCTTACCGTCAAAACTCATTATAATAAACACATATTTACTCCCAGGTAAGACTTTAACAAAATATGGGCGTCTTTGATGAAATACTCAACGAATCGTTTTTGATTAATTTGTTTGAAAGAACTGTTCAAAAGAATCGATTTGCAAAAATGAATCGCACTTCCCGTTGCCATGGTGTAAATTTTCGCGGTTGATCAAGAGAATGACGCTGATTGGTTGAACCACTTCTTCTACAGAGGTTGTAAATAAGTGAGTTCCTTTGTCGCCATCTTAAGGCGATGATTCAACGTCAGCGAATATAAACAGAGATCAAGATTTGATTTTTAAATAATTTCTGAAGCGAAAATCGTTTAAACTGACGTTCACATTTATGGCAAGTATGCTTTGATATACTTTTATCATTACCTATGGATGAAATATGATCGAGATATTCATAATTTTGTTACTTCCAAATAAACCAATGTTTTGGTTAATACTTTTTATGATAAAGTTGTCTTTATACATACATATAAATATATTTAATATATTTTTTTTTACATAGTCAAAAGTTTACACCTTACAAATCAGTCGAAATCTGTTAAATGTTAATTATTTTTGTAAAATAAGAGGCTAATTTTGTTAGTAAAAACAAAATTTATTTTATTTATTACCAATCTGATTAAGACTTTTCACATAAAATACATGAATGTATATAGTTCACAAAAGAAAATTCTAGTCAAACGTAAAAATGACAATTTAAAATCTTATAGATGCAAATCTTAATACGGTGTTATTCTCAGAATGATCCACAGCAGTTTTCTTTCTTCCTCTATTAGCTTGTTTGTTAGTTTTTGTTTAGTAATAGTTACTTAAGAGTGCCTAAATTGTTCTGAAAAGTTAAACAGCAGCTGTTCTAAATGTATATCAAATGTGATTTTTCTGCATTTTGGTGTATTTGAACCTGTTGCAAAAATCCCTATTCGAGTTTGAGATCCATCTTTTCAGAATGTGGCCAAACTTAGCGACTCAAACACAATTATTACAGAGAGGTCAAAGGCTTATGGAAGCTCCAGAAGAAGTCCCACCAATTCTTTGGAAAAGTCCAAAAAAATAAATGCTTCAGGTCCCACCAGTTATTTAGAAAATAAATTTTAAAAAATATTCTTCAAGATTTTGTAAATTCTTGGGTTAAGTTTCCCCACCAAAAGAATAATGTAGGTCCCACCAATTCTTTTTTAAAAAATCCAGAAAAAGTCCTTCAGGTCACAACAATTCATAAAAAAAAAAAACCAGAAAAATGCTTCAGGTCCCGCCAATTCTTTAAAAAAAATCCAGAAAATTCCTTTAGGTCCCACTAATTCTTTGGAAAAATCCAGAAAACATCCTTCAGGTCCCACCGAATCTTTGAAAAAAATCTTTGAAAAAAATCCTTCAGGGGTTCACAAATTCTTTGGAAAAGTGCAAAAAGTATTTGTTTTTTCAGAATTTTCTTCTCCAACAACGACAGTAGAGTTTTGAGATCCACCCTTGTACGCAAAGTTCAAACACAAACTGATGCCTCAGAAAGAAAAACTCGGTTTGTTAACTGAAATTAAATTAAATTTTAAAAACTTAGTTAAACTACTAATAAAACATTCATAAAACGATCACTAATAGAATAATATTTTAATGATGCTACAATAAAAGTGGTCTGTCATCAGTGCTAGTTTTACAAAATCAAGAGTGCTGGGTTAAGGTATATCATGTTTTGCACGAAACAATAAAACAATACATCTTTAGTGTGCACAGCGTCTTGTCTAACAGGTCATTAAAAACCACCTGAAATTCCACGAAACGCAAAGAGACAGCATTTTTATAAATATTTATTGCAGGCAAACAGTATGCAGTAAATAATATTTACAACTATATTAAAATAAACATTCCTTTATTTGGGATCCATGAGATGTAGGTAGGTGATGAGAGAACGTCTGTAAGTCACAGTGGCGAATGAATCGGTATAAACACCCAAACCCTCCCGTTTTGACACACTTAACATTTGCGGAAAACTTTATCGAAAAAAAAAAAAGAAAAAAAGAAAGCCAAACGGACTATAAAAGTCGCAGATCCTTTTTCTTCCTCAAACGTGTGCAGAAGCTGGAAATAAAACTCTAAAAAGGCTTGAGGAGCATCTGAGAAAGGAAGAACAGTAGACTTGCTTATACTTCTGAATGTTATCCTCGAGTAAAACAAACGAAAGTCTCTCCTACATGTACTTTGATATCCGGCTGTTAGTTTGCAAATAAACCACACATACACTTGATGATGCTACTCTGCGCCTCGTATTAAAAATCTCACTGCAAACTTCTTTTTTTTTGAGGGAGGGAGAGGGCGGAGGTTGTTCGACAAACCTGAACACGCATTAAATAAACCTTACAACTCAAATGCCAAACCAATGGATATCGACAACTCCTGACGGACATTTGGGGTTATACTGCATTAAAACAGCAACTAAAACAGTAATCCCAGCCATTACGTCCAGTGACATTGCAGCCATGAAGTGCTTGTTGAGAAATTGAACGAAAAATCAACCGAAAGGGTCTTGGATTCCGGCCGCACATTCCAGCTGGTCGGGTGTGGAGATAATAACGTGACCATATCGCAGTCTCTCATTTCTTTCTTCTTGCATCTGACTCCATGCAAAACTTCTCAAACGCCTCCTTGATCTCTGGATCCATTTCATCCTCATCACCGCACAAACTGCAATGGAAAAGAACAGCCCTTCATTATAGTTCAATGGAAACTGTTTCTAGTTCTTAAAAAAATGCCGCTGCAACCTTTTATCTCACAGTTCTTTCCTTTTTCTCACAAATTTAATGAAATGCTAAAAAAATGGAGAGTTATTTTTGTGATGGAGAAAACTATTTAAAAATTGAAAAGTCAGAGGGGGAAAAAACTCAATGACTGAAAACTCAACCTTATATTTTACATTGTGAGTAAACGAGTAAAAAAATTGTACAATTATCATTTTATTCCATAAAAAAATGGAACTGTGAAGGAAAAAAGCAAACAAGGCACAATTCAGAAAAAAAAGGCAGTTTATTTTTGCGATGGACTTTTAAACTTGAACTTTGTGATGAATTGAAAAGTCAAAGGGACAAAAGTTTATGTATATATATATTAGCGGTGGGCCGTTATCGGCGTTAACGCAAGACTCTTATCGCGCAATTTAAAAAAATATTGCTGTCAATCTCTTCTTAAAGTTGGGTTGGGAGCTGGGTCTATTCTACTCAAGCTATGGTGACTTTCACTTTGATATTTTAGCACAGATGTATACCTGACCGGTTAGCCGTCTGACAAACAAGTGCCCTTCTGAATCAAATTAGCAGGATGGTGACATTAACTGCAGTTCGGCAGTTTCACTTTAACTCATAAACATTTCATTCATGCCCCCGTGACAAACTGGGGTATTAGACGCAAATAAGGAGTAAAGACTGGTGAGAGTGTTTTGGAATTTACTATCGCATGCCGATGGAAAGAAAAAAACTTCTGCATTTCACAATGTGTGTATGTCTGTATGTGTGTGTGTCTGTGTGTGTGTGTGTGTGTGTGTGCTGTCCTTTACTGACCGCTGTGTGTGTGGATATTGTGGGAAAATATGGCAAAAAGTCCTACATGACAGTAATAGTTTGATTGCAATGTTTACTTCAATAATGCCACTAATATCTGCATACTCCACATATCTTATTTCCATTTCTGTTTAGTTCAGTTATGACTTTAGTCGGATTAAGGGTATCAGTTGAAGTCAGAATTATTAGCCCCACTTATTTTTTTCCTCCAATTTCTGTTTAACAGAGAGGTTTTTAACCCATTTTTAATCATAACAGTTTTAGTAACTCATTTCTAATAACTGATTTGTTTTATCTTTGCTATGATGACAGTAAATAATATTTGACTAGATATTTATCAAGACACTTCAGTGTTTCCTCTAGGATTTTTTCCAGCTGTGGCGGCAGGCCTTTTTTACACAGGTCTACCTGTGGGGTTATTTCAATGACAAATGTCGTGAGCGCAGTATTAGAAGTCAAGATCGCATTTATGTATTAGCCTACAGCATGCGGATCTCTCTGCTTGCGCGCCGATTTCCTCTGCTCGTGCACAAAACTTTTTGCACGCTCCTCAAATATAAGCCACTTCAAGAGCGTGCAGATCTTCTTGTGCGCTCTTAAATAAACGCTGCTGAAGTGCGATTTAGTGCATTTATGTAACGAGTATGTCTACAGCATTTATTAGATCTGCAAGGAATATTTATGAATGTCTCCCAAATAAACCTAGAGCGATATTAATGTGTCCTGAAGTAAAGTAAAAAGTTTATACGTCGTGTTTGCTGGCCTCACGCATCAAGCACCTGTCAGTCAGCCAGTCAGTCAGTCAGCACGTCACCATAAAGGGTTAAACAAATAACGCACAGCACTACTACGGTTACAGAAAAGTTTTCACTGTTATAATTCACTTACCCTTTAATACGTTTTGGTGCAATTATAACCCGCTATTAAAAAAATAAAATGTGTCGGCACAATAGCCTAGTGGTTTGTGCGTCGACATATGGTGCTGTAGCGCTTCAGGGAGTCCCGAGTTCGAATCCTGGCTCGAGGACATTTCCCGTCCCTAACCCCTCTCTCTCCCACTTCGCTTCCTGTCTGAAATACTGTCCTATCCACTTAATAAAAGGCAAAAAGGCTAAAAAAAATATCTTTAAAAAAATAAATAAATAAAAAATAAAATAAAATAAAACGTTTTGAATGAGAAGCTGTAATGTAGCCATGGCGGGATGAATGGACAATGAACGTAGCGGAAACCATGCACTTCTATACGGCTTAAAGTGACATTTAAATGCTTAACTAGGTTAATTAGGTTAACTAGGCAGGTTAGTGTAATTAGACAAGTTATTGTATAATGACGGTTTGTTCTGTAGACTATCAAAAAAATATAGCTTAAAGGGGCTAATAATTTTGATCTTAAAATTAGTTTTAAAAAATAAAAAATTGGTTTTATTGTAGCCGAAATAAAACAAATATGACTTTTTCCAGAAGAAAAAATATTATCAGACATACTGTGAAAATATTCTTGCTCTGTTAAACATCATTTGGAAAATATTTTAAAAAGAAAACAAAATTCAAAAGGGGGGCTAATAATTCTGACTTCAAATGTGTATATATACACAGACGTTGTTACAATTATCTTTTTATTATATAATGAATGGACTTGTGAAGGGAAAAAAGGAAAAAGACAAAAAAGAAATGTGAAATGCAAGATAAAACCTTTGTGGTGAAACGTCACAAATGCCTTTCTACCCCTTTGCAGTGGAAAAAATGATAATAATAAAAGTAAAAAAAGAAAATAATTGCAAGATGTAAAAAAAAAAAAAAAACACATTTAAACACTCACTCAGAATTTAGAGATGTTAATGCACAATTGCAAAAAAAAGACCAAACACCGACACACACACACACACACACACACACACACACACACACACACACACACACACACACACACACACACACACACACACACACACACACACACACATATATATATATACAAATTTGAGTTAATATCTTAGTATTGCCTAAATGTTGAAAAAAGTCGCAATAATTTTTTTAAAGTGCCTTGATGCAAATGTGCATTAATAATAATAATTATAATCTTATTTATCTTTTTTTCTTCTTGTGTTGAACATAGTATGTACTTTTTAAAATTATATGTATTTATGTATTTATTATTTTTGTAAATAGATTCACATAGAAAACCATTATTTGACATTTTCATTATCCAATATCAAATGCATCTTTGGTAAGAATAAAATGTCACTTTCAAAAAATTAAGAAAAAAAATAAATCAACTAAAGCTAATGCATTTAAATTTCTGTAAATGTTTTTTTTGTTTTGTTTCAAAAAAGCATCAGTGGCACATCAGTGGATTATTTAGTGTAGAACTATACATTTCTGTTTACATTCAAGCATTCCTTCATCAAAGGATTATTCAATTGTATTTATTAAATAAAACACTTATCACAAGTCTAGTTTGCTTAAAAGGACTGTTCAATAAATCAAAAAATAATTCTTCCATCATTAACTCACCCTTTACTTATTTCTTTGATCTATTGAACAAAAACAAAGATATTTTGAAAAATGCTGGTAGCTGGAACCCATTGACTTCCACTGTAATTTTTTTTTTCTACTATGGGAGTCAATGGGTGCCAGCAACCACATTCTTCAAAATATCTTCTTTAGTGTTCAACAGGGAAAAAAACACACAAGGGAGAGTAAATTAATAATGAGGTGAACTATTCCTTTAAATAAGTCTGATGCTAGTTTAGTGTGAGTTCCAGGCTCCCCCTGTCGGCTGGTCTTTGTTCCACATGCGGCTCATCCAATGAGCTGAAGACTGTGCTGAATAAGACTGGCAGGTCTTGTTAAGCCCCCGTCTCTCCCTGGACTGCTGACTTTACTAAAATAAGCTCTTTGACTCCCACTAACAGCATTGTGAGGAGGACAATTACTGTTTAAGCGGAGAGAACGGTCACACCAGGGGCATTACAGTCAACTACAGTCAGAAACTAAAATTGCTGTTTGGAATAAAAAACAGCTATATTGGAATAAAAACTGCACTGAAAAATCTGTCAAATTAAACTTAATATTCATTTAAATAGATCCTTGTACTTATGTTGCAGACTTCAACTGAAATCGAATGAATAAAGACTATATAATTAATCTTTAAAATTAAACAAAATTTAATATATTTATTAGTGTTGGGCAAAGATTAATTGTATCCAAAATAAAAGTTAGTTTTGATAAAATATATATATGTGTGTGTGTGTGTGTGTGTGTGTGTGTGTGTGTGTGTGTGTGTGTGTGTGTGTGTATGTGTGTATATATAATAACTATATTGTATCATATACATATTTTATCTATCCATCCATCCATCCATCCATCCATCCATCTATCTATAAATAATTGTGTGTGTGTGTGTGTGTGTGTGTGTGTATATATATTCAATATTCAATTTTTTTTCTTTTTTAATTTTTTCCCAAATGAAGTTTAACAGAGCAATGAAATTTTCACAGTATTTCTTATATTATTTCTTCTTCTGGAAAAATTCTTATTTGTTCTATTTTGGCCAGAATAAAAGCAGTTTTAAATTTTTTAAAACCCATTTTAAGGTCAATATTATTAGCCCCTTTAAGCAAATTTTTTTTCAATAGTCTACAGAACAAACCATCGTTATACAATAACTTGCCTAATTACCCTAACCTGCCTAGTTAACCTAATTAACCTAGTTAAGGCTTTAAATGTCGCTTTAAGCTGTAAAGAAGTGTCTTGAAAAATACCTAGTCAAATATTATTTACTGTCATCATGGCAAAAATAAAATAAATCAGTTATTAGAAATGAGTTATTAAAACTATTATGGTTAAAAAAATTCTCTACGTTAAACAGAAATTGGGTAAAAAAAAATAATCAGGGGGTCTAATAATTCAAGGGGGTAATAATTCTGACTTCAACTGTATATGACACTATGATAGTGTTATTTTAATGACGCTAAAATAACACTGTAACTGCTTCTAACATTAATTGTGCTGACTCCAGTTATATTGCACCGCAAAGTTGTGCATTAAGCAAATGAGATGACTAGATATTGTGCACACAAATGTAGTAAACATCCACTCACGATTCATTTCCGTTCTCTTCATATGCATCAGGGAAATAGTCTTCTCGATCTAGAATCTCCTGATATTTCTCAGAGTATTCTGTGAAAAAAGAAAGATATGATTAGTTGAATCCCAACAAAAAGGCATGCTTGTCATATTTCACCCCCAATTCTGAGAAAAAAAAGAAATTCATACAAAAAAAACTTTCACTTAACACCATGTTATTTTGATGGTCAAATGCAATAAATGCAGCTTTGGTAAGTCTACAAAGCTTCTTAAAAAAAAAAAATAATAATATTTTACTTAAAAACAAAACAAAAAAGCAACTTAAATCTAATGTAATGTATGGTAAAAAATCGAAATCTAATGTAGTAAAATAAAAAACTTAAATCAAATAATTCCTTTACATGATAAAAAAAGATTAAAAAAAATGTATTCACACAAATAAAATGCAAGTATTATTTATATAAAAATAAAACGTAAAAAAAAAAATACACGTAAAGCATTTTCATTTTTATGAACTTATGTAACTCAAGCCTTAAAATAAGACTTAAATTAGGGTTGTCAAATGTATCGATTTTGGTACCAATTGGTACTAAAAAAAAAAAAATTAAAGCCCCATTTGACCACATTTTTAAACACTGCTGATTGGCCATGGTGTTTACATGCTCAACAGAAATGACTGTGATTGGCATCAATTTACCATTCTTCACCACTGTTCGCCAAGTACAAGTAAGTTCGTCACGATTTTCAAAATGTCCATTTCCTGCTAACATTTAAGCGCTGTTGAGAAGAACTGAGCTAATTTGTCATTGTGTCAAAAGAAATGACTGTGAATGACAATGAAGGTCATCGGTGTAACCACAGATACAGGGACACTGGACCGTTTAAAGTATGTCAGCTTATAGACAAACCAACTGATTGATGTGAATTTGAAATGCTCCAGTGTCCCTGTATCTGTGGTTAAACTCAGTAAACAACGGTAAGTTCGGTGAACTGATGACCTTCAAGGCCAATCACAGTCAATTCTGTTGAGCACGTAAATTCAATGGCAAATTAGCTCTGTTTAAGAACACACTCAAATGTTAGCGGGAAATGGACGTTTTTAAAATTTTAGTACCGAATTCCAGTATTGTGACAACACCAGTACAAACACAGATACATGAACACTGAAGCATTAGAGCAAGAACACAATAGCCAATCAGTGGGGTTTAAGAATGTGCTTAACAGCGCTCAAATTTAGGGCGAAATGGACGTTTTTAAAATTTCAGTATCAACTCGTACCGAACTCGATACTTTTTACAACAATACCTAAACACTGCAAAAATTTGTGCTGCAAAATGTACATTTTGATGATATATTTAAATTTTGAACTTGATCTTTGACACTGAACCACTTAATAAAGCACATAAGGAAGTTATATGGTGTACATGGGTTTATACAGCAGGGCTTGACGCTTGCGCTTTTCAGGAGGAGAACATGCGCTCCTAAGTTGAAAAATTTAGGAGTATATTAAAGAATTTTAGGAGCGCAGTAAATTAAAAATAGTGTTTTTGCCTAATAAATGAAGAGAAAGATTGAGACGCACTGGCCAAAGTTTGTGTATAAAGTAATGCAAAAATGCAGCTATAAAAATGCAAAAGCGGATTCCCAGACATTTGAGGAGATTTAGAAATCCCGGCCGAATGCATTTTTAAGTTCCAAATAGAGGACATGTCCGGGAAAAATATGATGCCACAAAATGATGAGCTGGGTCAATCTATTTAGTACAAGCCTTTTCTTTTCCGTGTTTCCTCGCTCTCTTCTCAAAGCTACTACCAAAGTCAGAACTTACAGTTTTGCATCTCTGTGGATCTGCATGCAGAACATGCGAGTCAGTGGGGAAATATTCTCAGATTCTCATGCACACAGAACTGGGCTGCTCAGGTAAAATTGGGTTGAATTGGGTATCACACTGGACGCACCACAATATGCCATAACTGAATTGTAAACGTTTTCAATGAGGCTCGCCATGTGTGGCACCGCCATCCACGACGTATACAAAACAATGTAAAGATCGATTTACGTGAAGTAAATAAACCGGTTGAGATGTGCTGCTGTTGATCGCATTACCGTACGTTCACACCGAAAGCGGCGAGAGCGTCAAAGTAGCCGGAAGTCATTCATTTTCAATGAGAGCCGGCGGCGATAAGCGGCGAGGAGCAGCGTGGCGCGTCTTCGCCGGCGTGAGCGTCGAGGAGAGTTGAAATGAAGTCAACTTTATGGTAATAAGCTATGACGCGGTTCGGCGGCAAGCAATCAGAATGAAGACGTCCATCGCTTGATATCAGTTCAGAGAACACAGACCAGTGAACTTTTTCACTGGTTTGATTATTGCGGTCGCCGGATTTCCAATTATTTAATTTTTTTTCCTACAGGAACATTCATTAAATAAGTTACTGGCGAGTTACTGATGTTCATTAATGATATATAAATTTATCTTAAAAAAGCGGGAATCTCACGCGATGTGACAGTACAAAACAGTACTGCTGCTTCAGGATATTTCAGACATATGGACACATATTGGATAAATAGAGCAAAGCCACACCACACGCAACTTGATCTCTATTGTTAAATGAATTTGATAAGAAGTGCGCAACATTTTCACGCTAGAAACATGTTTTATCCAGGATTGTAACTGATATGCTGCAACGGCTCCTTTAAATATGAGATCAATGTAGCAAGTTTTGACGCTCTTGCCGCAGGAGCTGAAGGCAGAGAGCGTTGTCGCCAGGGCGGCCAGAGCGACCTTGGACGCTCATGCCGCTTTCGGTGTGAACGTACGGTTAGTGTGTGTTAAAGTTACAATAGATTTCCAACGTAATATACCATAACTTAGTGTGAAGAGTATGTTGATTTACTGTGGCCTAGTGAGTCAAGTCATCAATCAAGCTTATTTAAAAAAAAAAAAAATATATATATATATATATATATATATATATATATATATATATATATATATATATATATATATATATATATATATTTATAAATTAATAAATTATTATTAATATATATATATATATATATATATATGTGTGTGTGTATATATATATATATATATATATATATATATATATATATCCCACACGTGCTGCTAAATACATTTTCCATTTTGCACACATCTATTTTTAGTCGCAAAACGGTCGCACTGTCGAGCCCTGTTTATACTAAATAAACCCACCTGGATCTGCAGCTGTGAAAGGTGTTCCGTCAACTGTGTAGAAGGTTGGTTCGTTCTGTAGGGAGCATAAACATAACAGAAGCACAAAAACAAAGCTTATCATTTCTAATACTATCCCAGATAACAACACTAAATTGGGTACATGCGAATGAATTTCAGGTCTTCGTCATATACGCACCATGAAGTAATTAGGATCATTATCAGGTGTGGCGTCACTGGACACAGCGGCTGTGTGAACTCGACCCCAGTTACTGGAGCGCAACTCCACCAGTTTCAACAGCATCTGTCGGACATCACTGCGAACACAAACACACAGGTAACACAATGCAATGAGTGAAGGGCATAAAAAATTGGACCTGTTCAATAAAGTGTATTAACTGTATGTGTAAGAATCCCACTGAACATCTGGCAAACAACAAGCAGTTTCCCACATCACTCACCGGCTGCATTTAGCGTCCAACAAAATTTCTTCAATCTTCTTGACTAACTCATCCATGTCCGACTGTCCATTCTCTTTCCATGCGTCATCCAGAATGGAGCCACTCAGCTTATAAGAACAGAACAGAAAAACAATGTAAGTGGACTTCAACATTTTCAGCAGATTAATTGCCGTTTATTTCATTGCTGAGCTTTGAGTTTCCTGACAATTTCAAAGTCAAGACAAAATTAGGACAAAAAATGTGGTCCTACTTTATATTAAGTGGCCCTATCTACTATGTACTTGCATCAAAAATAAATACAATGTAATTACTGTGTTTATAATGTGTTGCAGAACACTTCTGGTGCTCTTGAGGTGGGATATGGGTAGGGTTAGGGATCATTTTGGTGGCATAAGTAGGTTTAAGGGTGGGTTAAAGTCTTTGGGTACAGAGTCTTTGTTTATATCAGGATCATGTGATTTTATGATTTTGAACCTGCGCCCCATTTATAATAATTAATTATTAATTAGAAAATAATTAGCCCAAATAAAACTGTCAGTAGCTCTTGAACCAAGTCTGCTAGAACAAGTCTGGTCTCACTTGAAATTAGACATTTGCTAGTTTGTTACACGAGTTGAAATAACTCAAAGTAGTATGGACCATTTTGATGAATGTAAACAATAACAGTGGTCTCATCGTATTTCCTGTATGCCATTTTTAATTTCCATAGCTTCCAAGGATCCAAAAAGGTCCACATATTGGTAAATAATGTTATGACAGCTGTTTTAACGTTACGATATGATTAAATTGCTTCTTGTTACAGTTATGATATAGCTTGTCAACAAGCAGGAAATGTTCACATTGAAATGGTCTATAGGAACAGAGTAAAACATGGTTAAATATAGGTGAAAGTTATTTCTTTCAATGAAATACGTTACAGGAAAAATGGATAAGACCATCAAGATAAAGGCATGGAAAGACCAGAAAAATAAACTCTGGCCATGTTTTGATTCAAATTTGAGGATGATACTCAAATACTCATGATACTAAAAAATGTAGCTTCTGTAAGCTTTTATTTAGATAGGCATCCTTTCTAAAAAGCAATTTGAAAATGCTTGTCCGGGAAGAGATATAGGTTTAGGGTGCTCTATATAATAATATATAAGGTGCTCTAGCGACAGACAGATATATACAAATCAATTCAAAACTGTTCTGCCTACAAAACCACATGAGAAAAAACTATTTCAGATCAACATCTGTGGTATTTTCTCATTTGGTATCAATGTGGAGTCTCCAATTAGCATTGTTTTTATTTCTAAGGTCAATTGATCACTCCTTTAAAGTATCTGCTCTAAAAACTGATGTTTTTTTTTTTACGTTTACTGTGTTTACAATGTACTGTATAGAAGAAATAATACTTCAAACCTTGAGTAATTTGACAGCACACATGAGGTTTGGGTCATCCGGGTGAGAGAATAATGTGTTCAGAAGTTCCTTCAGCGCACCCAGTAAAACATCAGCCCGTCCTGGTGTGCCTTTTCGACTTTTCAGCTGAAAGACATTATTAAAGAATTCAGATCTAAATAGCAGAAGTTAACAGAATAAATGCACATCAGGTAAAATAACCCATCTAGTTATAGTATTACTACAAAATATGACAATTGAATTTGAGCAGATACATTACATATGGTGGGTTTTAGAGACTAGGTTACGGCAAAACAGCTAGTACAACAATATATACAACTTTAATTGGTTTAAGCTTTTGGATTACATACTTAGATGTACTAGCTTGTTGACCTGGGGTTTGTTTTGTAATGTTGCCAGGTTGATTGTATTAGAGCCGTTAAATAAACAAAAGTTGACAAAGTAAAATTATTAAAACTATTTTTGTTTATTTGATGAAAATGTGTAACTTAACAAAAAGTACTGAGTCCAATAATGTTTTATGATTACGTAACAAACTAAAATAAATGAATATCGGTTATTGAATCCAAACTAAAATGGAACTAAGGGTGCTTTCACACCTACACTTTTGTGTCTCGTTTGCCCAGTTAGCGTGGTTCGTTCAGCATATGTGAACAGGGCAATCGCCCTCTGCTCCGCGCCAAAGTAATCGCTCCGAGATCGCTTGAGTGAGGTGGTCTCGGCTCGATTGAAACGAACCCTGGAGCGGTTCGATTACAGTGAGAAAGCGATTCGATCCGAGCGCAGTTATATCACAGTGTTTTATGGATATGTAATAGGCATACGGCTATATGTAGAGATAATTCTGAGTATGGCGGGAAGTTTCGCGAGTCTCCGGATGCCCGCAAACGAGTGATGATCTCCCGGTAATCTGGCGTCTCCCTCCCAGTCCTCAAACAGGCATCGTCGCACACCCTTCTCACCCCTCCCCACCGCATCTCTCCTCAGACACATCGCGCGCGCGCGCACCCTGTCAATCACAATCAAACCACCACCTCTCCTGACAGCTGAGCGGGACGCTGCAAAATAAACCCTGACACTCTGACCAATGTAAGGAGAGTTTACTCGCACGTGACTTGTTTTAGCTCTTTTGGTCCGATTAGAAACTTTGCAGTGTGAAAGTGAACCGCTCCAAGAGCAAAGAGCAACAATGTAACATTTGTAATCTCTGTTTCGGAACAACTGAATCGATTCACAGGTGTGAAAGCACCCTAAATCTGCAATTAAAAAATAAATTGAACCCTGCTGTTAACCTTACTGACAAAAATGACAAAATAACAAATATTAAACCGAAACATGGCAAAAAAAAGAAGAATGTTCCCTTAGGTTAAACCACTAAAATAAACAATTAAATATTTAATAGCTAGCTAAAAGAACAATAAATCAACTGAAATAACTAATATATAATAACAAAAAACGAAAAGTGAACTAAAATTAAACCTAAACAGTAATATTTAAAAACACAAAATACACTTAAATAAAACAGAACTTCTACAGAACATAATTGTGTAAAGTTCAATTTGTTCAAAACAATTTGTTCTATTTGTTGCAAATACAACTATTACAGTTTTTCTCAAATGCTGAAACACATTTTACAAATGTTTCCTCCATGTTCCCCAATGTCTAAACACAACACCCTATTCTAAAGCTAGATAAACACAACCACACCTTCTCACTTCAAAACGCAAACTTTCACACCAAAAGAGCAGCTCAAAGCATTCGTAAATGTAGACACTATACACATCGTTACACACTACAGCAAAACAATTGAAAACACAATGCTCAATTTGTGAGGAGGTTCTTTGTTTTATAACTGCCAATGCATATTTTTAGAAACTTTACAGTAACAGATCCTCTTAGATCTCTGCAGAGAATTAGGCATTTAGATTTGGGTGTTTCATATGAAAAGTATAAATTTATAGAAATAATGCATGTACATATCTGTAACAAAACTCAATGCAAAAACAGAATCTATTGCACAACAACAGTACTCTTGAAAACATGATCAGGGTGTGAAGTTTTTTTTATTTACTTTATTCACACCACAATTACTGTGCAGCATCATGTCACTAAGCTGCATCACCTCATCCACATTGCAGGCTATATAGTCTTTTGCCAGGCACCACGAGAAAAACACCCGGGAATGGCAAACCTGCCTTGGAAGGCCTCGACTGGCATGTCAACACAGGCCAGCTCTTTTGCCCTTAGGAGGTTCTCTCTAGGGTATGGTTGTCTGTCATAAATCTCCACGATGAGAAGAACTCCTCTACAGGGTTCAAGAAAGGGGAGTAGGGTGGCAGAAAGACGTTTAACAAGTGGTTACTGTTGGTGATGAACCACTTTCTGATTTGAGTGGAAGTGGACATTGTGTTGTGTGGGCCCAGGATGGTGTTGTTGGTGGTCCAGGAGGATGTCTCATAGCTCCTATAGGAAAGTGAGAAGACATTGGGTGTTGTAAGACTCAAGGACAGCATGCCGGTGGACAAGCCCCTCCGAACCCATGGCAGCACAAAGAGTAATATTGACATGGTCAATGACTGTTGCTCGCATCTTGTCCTTAATTGTGGTGTGAAGTTGTCTTGGGGGGACCTTCTCTCCCTCTTGGACCTTTTCCTCTCCCTTGTTGGCCTCTTCCTCGTTGGCCTGCTCCTCATCCTCTTTGGCCTACTTCTCTTCATCTATGGCTACTGTACTGTACTGTATTCCTCTTCCCCTGCCTTCATCCATTGTGTTTGTTTGTAATCTTCAACAAACAGCACTCTGAACTTGCTTTTATACATGTATTAGAGCAGCATGAGAAACAAGTGTCTTTAATTTTGAGGCATTGTGTGTAATGAATGATGCCTGGTGTGTTCATTGTGTTCTAATATTGCTGACTGTGGCAAGCATTATGCATCACATGAGCTTCCATTTGAGAATATGAGCAGAATTCTTTTGCAATTTGTGTTTTAGCAAGGAAAAATGCAATTAGATTTATGAGAACGGAGCATTGAGTTTTGTGAATTGTGTCTTCATGTGAAATGTGTTTGAGATATTTAAAAATGGTGTCTAGATTTAGTAAATGTGTTTAGACAACTGGTCATTTGGTTTAGAGCAGGGGTTCTCAACTGGTTTGGCCATAGGACCCACATTTTTACATGGTCATCAGGCCGCGACCCAAATTTTCAAGAACTATGAAATAATTTTAGGAATGATAACTAATTTGTATTTATTTGTTGTAGTGACAGATAAATCATAAGAAATTCACCAAAACTTACAAATAAACAATATTTTACTGCTGTCATTTAACAAAATGTATCAATTTATAAAAATATTACAAAGTAAAAAACGACAAATAATGTAAACAGTGGTTAGGGTATGGAAAGGTTCAGTTACCTTGAACTAAACTGAACTGTTAATAAAACATGTTGTCTGGTTTCTAAATGTCGTTTTAATTCAGAAGGTTTCATGCTGTTTTATGAGAGCACCTCACTACATATGACACTGAGGCTTTAAGTCTTTTTTTTCATCAAAATATGTAAATTCATACTTTACATATTCGTGGTCACACTTGTGCTTTGACAAATTTGTTGCTATAATTAAATGAAATTTAATTATAAATTACAAGCAAAATAAGTAAATAAACTAAACTTTTGTTGTTTTTTTTTACCACACACTCTGCGACCCACTGAAAATGTTTCCACGACCCACTTTTGGGTCGCGACCCACCAGTTGAGAAACACTGGTTTAAAGAATTGGCCTTTGTGTTTTAGCATTTGAGGGAAAACTGTAATAAAAAAGGATATCAGTATAAAACAATACTAAAAAAAAAAAACACTTAATTGTACACCATCTGTGTTATTGGACTGTTATTTTCAATACAAATAAATTGATTATTATTATTTGCATTTAAAAGCATATTGACCACAGGTGTCAAACTCAGTTCCAAAAGGGCCGCAGCTCTGCACAGTTTAGTTCCAACCGTAATTAAACACACCTGATCAAACTAATTAAGTCCTTCAGGCTTGTTTGAAACCTACAGGTAAGTGTGTTGGAGGAGGGTTGGAACTAAACTGTGCAGGGCTTCGGCCCTCCAGGAATTGAGTTTGACACCCCTGATATTGACAAAGCAAAGGCGGCACAGAATATTTGATGATAATGAATAAAAATCAGATGTGGAGTGTGAACCTACCTCCAGGTTAAGGTAAAGCTCTCCCAGAAACAGCACATACGAGTGAAACTTTTTCTTGGTCTCTGGGTCTCCTTGAACAGCCTGATTCCTCTGATTGTACTCAGTTTGACATCTACACAAACATTACAGAATTGAGTAGTAGTATTTTTTTTTTAAGTCTTTATGGCAAACAACTGTAAGGGCAACAATACAGAAGTTACTTAAAGGTCCCGTGAAGTGCTTTGAAATGTGCACTTTTAATTCAATGTTTGATGTAATCTCAACTGAAACATTGAGAGAGGGGTGGGGCATGTAGTAGCTCCTCCCCTTTAAAAAAACAGCCAATAGTTTGTTTTTATCACAGCTCTGCCAGTGACAGCAGTTGAGCTCAAGCACATCAAACGAACAGCAAATAAGAAGGGGGCGAGGCATGTCAGATACTAGAGAGCATTTGATTGGTCAGAAGCAGGGGCGTTGCTAGGGTCGAAAGGGATAAGGGGCTTAGCCCCAAAGAAGTTGTATGTCTGATAATATGACAGTATGTCTGATAATATTTCACCTATGTCTGATAATATTTTCCTTTTGAAGAAAGTCTTATTTGTTTTATTTCAGCTAGAATAAAAGCAGTTTTACATTAAAAAAAAACATTTTAGGGTCAAAATTATCAGCCCCTTTAAGATATATTTTTTCCTATAGTCTACAGAACAAACCATCGTTATACAATAACTTGCCTAATTACCCTAACCTGCCTTTAAATGTCACTTTAAGCTATATAGAAGTGTCTTAAAAAATGTCTAGTCAAATATTATTTACTGTAATCATGGCAAAGATCAAATTAATTAGTTATTAGAGTTGAGTTATACTCCGTTAAACAGAATTTGGGGAAAAAAATAAAAGGGGGCTAATAATTCAGACTTCAACTGTATGTGTTCTTCCAACCATTTAAGGTACTTTCATAAGAAAGTCGATTTATAATTCGATGCTAACTGACAGCATGTTACATTAGAATATAGCTATATAATAATAAGCTAGATGCATAAACTCACTGTGATTTAACTATTACAGAATCAGATGTGACTTTTTATATTCTATAAATATGCCTAGATATCTATATCATATCTAGAAAGCTAGTACAATTTACGTTTTTTTTTGACAAACTCGCATGTATTTACATTGATATGATGCACATTTTACTGATTATAGTTATTTTATTTCACCAAAACTACACACATTTTATACTGTGGAAACAAATAAGCTTCATCAGTAGTTAAAACTATTCAGTTTCGCGAAAGAGTTGTATTATTACCTCATTAGCTTCAGCTTCTCAAAATAATAAATCAATGAAGTGCAGTGGTGGGATTTTTTAACACCATGTGACAACAGAGCCACTCCCACCTGCCGGTAGAAACAGGTACTGCTAAACAGCTGACGATTTAATTACCCGACACAAACGCTGCGTTAAGTGGAATGTTTGTGATGTATGTGGTAATTTTCAGTACTTAGATAACAAAAATAAATGTTATACAACATATTTTTATTTAAGTGCAACATATTCCAAGAGATCAGGGGCTTTTGACAATACATCAGGGGCGTAAGCCCCCAAAGCCCCCCCCTCGCAACGCCACTGGTCAGAAGATTTGATATTGAAACTGAACTATGAGGTGATGTCAAAAAAATCACAGATCCATGTAGGAGGAAGTGATCCTCCTGCAAACTTTGGATGTTTATATCTGGTTCATACACTCACCGGTCACTTTATTAGGTACACCTAACTAGTACCGGGTTGGACCCCCTTTTGCCTTTCGAACTGCCTTAATCCTTCAACAAAGTATTGGAAGTGTTCCTCTGAGATTTTGGTTCATATTGACATGTTGCTGCAGATTTATGGGCTGCACATCCATTATGCGAATATCCCATTCCACACATCCCAAAGCTGCTCTATTGGATTGAGTTCTGGTGACTGTGGAGCCCGGTTTGGTCTACTTCAGCTGTAGCCCATCTGCCTCAAGGTTGGACGTGTTGTGCATTCAGAGATGCTCTTCTGCAGACCTCGGTTGTAACGAGTGGTTATTTGAGTTACTGTTACCTTTTTATCAGCTGAAACCAGTCTGGCCATTCTCCTCTGACCTCTGGCATCAACAAGACATTTGCGCCCACAGAACTGCCGCTCACTGCCTATAGATGGTTGTGCATGAAAATCCCAGTAGATCAGCAGTTTCTGACAAACTCAGACCAGCTCGTCAGGCACCAAGAACCATGCCACGTTCAAAGTCACTTAAATCACCTTTCTTCCCCATTCTGATGCTCGGTTTAAACTGCAGCAGATCGTCTTGACCATGTCAACATGCCTAAATGCATTCAGTTGCTGCCGTGTGATAGGCTGATAAGAAGTTTGCGTTAACGAGCAGTAGGACAGGAGTACCTAATAAAGTGGCCAGTGAGTGTATCTTTTGAATTTAAATCATCACTGTTTTGGAGAACACTAGCTAATAGACATCCTTAAGGCTAACATCTAAAACAACTTTATACTTAATTGATAATTAAAACGATCTTTCCAAAATAACTCAATAAGGCTTTTTCTGTTGCTTTATTTACCTCTGAAGCAGCAGGTTTCGGAAATTCCTGTTGGCTGGACTGAGTCGGATGTGACGTGAAAGATGGTTACAGAGCCGCGCTCCCGTATAGGCAAAGTTGGGGATCGATGTGGACTGTAGAAAACAAATGTGGGATTGCTTTTATCATAACAGAGCTCCAATTCAGTGAGATTTACATCTACATTGTGGATATTCCTCAGAGATTTAGCCATTGGGGATAGCATTATAACGATAAAGTATCTGCTTTTATATTTAGCGTCAGTTTGTTTTGCTTAGATTAATATTTGCTGGTAGGGAAAATGTATTCGTTCATTTCTGCTATTGTTACTTTGACTTTGCATTTCAATTTATATTTTAATTGCACTTAAACTGCAAATTGGAATAGAAACTGTATGAAAAGCACACAAACGTACAGACATTTTTAGGTGTCATAGATTGTTATGAGTCAATGATGCTATCGTTTGGCACATATCTATAAGTTTCACCTTTCTGGCTGCTCTTTCTATGAAGAATTTCTATCTCCTCGCCTGTTAGTAACAATAAATCTTAATGCGCAACAATTATCTGGCTTTTTGGCAAAAAAAAAAAAAGCAAAAAAAAAAAGAGAAATCACTCAATTTTCATGCCTAATGGTGTGACGTCACTTGAAAACTATCAATCAAAAGTGACACCAAAATTGAGGCACATACCATGACTTCTGGATACCGTTATACCCCTAGTACTCCGAAAATGTTTAACAAAACGAGGGTGAGTAAATATTGACCATTTTCTGTTGACTATTTTTTTAATTAGGATGTACGCTTGCATTTTTTTAGGGTTCCCACACAAGTGTATTTTCAGAAAGTCAATATAAGTGCACCTGTACGTAGATGAGCTCCACCAGCTCCTGCAGAATCTCCTCGGTAGTGACCCACTCGTTCAGTGTGTCTGTGATGTACTCGATCTCGGACTCGAAGGAGCCAGGAGACGAGTTCAGATGGCTTACAAAATCCTGAACGAAATCTGCCAGCGAGGGCTCAGCGTAGTACCCTTCAGATCCATCAGAATATGAATCATCCTATTAATAGAGAGAGAAAGCATTAGATTAACATAAGTGTAAATACTGAATAAAAAAAACATATTTAAAAAAAAGCATACATTTCAAATAAATAACCTGTTATGAACAACCTGAATGCACATTTCAAAGAAGAATAGCTGACTTTAATATTGTTTTTCAGAAATTCAGATAAACAAATATGTTCATGCAGCTTGTTTCTTAAATATCCGCAAACATATTATGGTATTTTTATGCTTTAGAAGAATTACAAATGTACAACCATAAATCAGAAAGAGTCAGTATGGAAGGACAGTATGGAAAACGCAAATAAAAAAGAATTAAGTGATTTCGAAATTTACTTTGACTTGTATTATATAGCAAACAATAAAAAACCCATTATTTACGGTGTTACTCATGATATATATATATATATATATATATATATATATATATATATATATATATATATATATATATATATATATATATATATATATATATTAGGGGTGTCACGATTTTAAATCGAAATCGATCGAAATTTATGCTCATTTTCGATTATCGAATCAAAAAATAGAATCGTCGATGCTGCCACGCCCCCATGTCAGCTTGGCTTGCCAAGCGGGAAAAAACAGGCTTGTTGAAGTGCTTGTTAAACTGTAGAAGCAGGAGACCCGTCGAGAGAACGTAAACCCTCCCCTCTTTCAATGAAGTCGCCGGTGTTTAAGCATTTTGGATTTCCAGTGAGTTATGTTGACAACGTTCGTGTTGTCGACAAAAAAAAAACACAGTTTTGCAAGCTCTGCTATGTACGTATTACGTACGGTTCGTCCGATAGACAACACCGGCATCGCGATCCTCCGCCCGCCCCCGTTGCAAATCCGCTCGCGAAAAGTTAACACTCAGGCCCTGTTTACACTGTCTTTGTTTTTAAATGGCATTTTAGAACGACAACGATTTGACATCCACAGTGGCGTGTAGCATTTCTGAGCAGCCCTCCTTCCTCTCTGCCTCTGAAAATGCACATCACGTGACCACACAGACACAGACACACTCACAGCCATACGCTCGAGACAGCAGGTCCAGGCAGTCAGAGGACTGCTTCAATCTTTCACTCACTTGTACTTAGTCATTTTAGCGAACACTTCAGATACTGTTGGCTAGTTCCTGTTGGTTGTGCGTCTTTTTTACAGACGCCATTATAACGACACAGATCACTGCCTATTCACGAGTCCCGCAGAAAAAGTGATCGACAGGTGGTAATTATGTGTGTATCTTGCCTTTATTCATTTACTGTATGATTTGTTTATGGGTAAAACAAAGACCATGCAGGTCAGGTAGTTTAAATGGTAGGCTACAAATAATTAATTGGTCATTAATTAATTAATTATTCATAATCGAAAATCGAATCGAATCGTGCCTTTAGAAACGAAAATGTAATCGAATTGAGGATTTGGAGGATCGTGACACCCTTATATATATATATATATATATATATATATATATATATATATATATATATATATATATATATATATATATATATATATATATAGGCGAAGCAGTGGCGCAGTAGGTAGTGCTGTTGCCTCACAGCAAAAAGGTCACTGGTTCGAGCCTCGGCTCAGTTGGCGTTTCTGTGTGGAGTTTGCATGTTCTCCCTGCGATCGCGCGGTTTTCCTCCGGGTGCCCCGGTTTCCCCCACAGTCCAAAGACATGTGGTACAGATGAATTGGGTAGGCTGAATTGTCTGTAGTGTATGAGTGTGTGTGTGTGAATGTTTCCCAGAGATGGGTTGCGGCTGGAAGGGCATCCACTGCATGAAAAACTTGCTGGATAAGTTGGCGGTTCATTCCGCTGTGGCGACCCCGGATTAATCCGCTGTCACCACTGGCTTGCATGGTTCAGGATCTGAAAAGCTACTCAACGATGAATTTGCTCTTCAGTGTTTGGACTCTCAATAATGACTTCAAACCACACTGAACCGAGCTAAACTGAACTGAACTTAAACACTAAAAACTGAACTACCCTGATCCAGTTACTATGACCATTTATGTGAAGCTGCTTTGACACAATCTACATTGTAAAAGCGCTATACAAATAAAACTGAATTGAATTGAATTAATAAAGGTACTAAGCCGACAAGAAAATGAATGAATGAATGAATATATATATATATATATATATATATATATATATATATATATTTTTTATTTTTTTTTTTTAATATACACAGTATTTCAATTTTATAGATGAATGACGATTTTTGATGCAGTGCTGGCGGAGGGATCAAAGATCACAGTTGTTCAGCTTAGGCTTGCGCCCTTTACTCATTGAAATTTCTCCAGATTGAATGTTTTGATGATGTTATGCATTGTTGAAGGTTCCTTTCTTTGAGGAATATTGTTTTTTTAGATTAAGGAAAATTTCAATAATTTTCTTACATATTTGTTGGCAAACTGGCAATCCTTGGCCCATCTCCTAAATGCTCCTAAAGGACTAGACCTTTTTTGGATGCTACTTTTGTACCAAATCATAATTACAATCCCCTGTAGAGATCACCTGTTTGAAATCACACCATCATTTAACTAATTTACCTGATTACTAGGCCTAAACCACTCTGGTCCCAACTTTTTTTTGGATGTTTATTTACCAATAAAATGATGTTTACCATACAAAACATAAAATATTTAGTGTTCATAATGTCTGCAATGAAATACAAGTGAAAGTAAATTTAGAAATAACTACTTTTTTTTTGCATTTTTCATACCGTCCCAACTCTGATTCGGGACTAACATGCAAACATAAAATCAGTATCCCAAAATCCACATTAAAAAAGACACTGCTCGCTGCAGAGCCATTTGAGCAGAACTGAGCTCCAGCGAGGGGGAGCATGAGCTCTCGCTCCTCCTCCTATCAGCTGTTTTAATGCGTGCACCAACCCCACCCCTAACCCTACCCCCAGTGACATCACTCGTAGAAGATGTGCAAAAAAGGAGGAGCGAGAGCTCAAGCTCCCCCTCGCTGGAGCTCAGCTCTGCCCAAATGGCTCTGCAGCGAGCACCACTTGCATTAAAACGTATGGATCAGGGATAGGCAACTTCTATTGTCTTGCAGAGTTTAGCTTTAACCCTAATCAAACACAACTGCATGAAGCTTTCCAGTGACCTTGAAGACACCAATTAACTTACTCAAGTGTGTTCGATTAGTTTTGGAAGATGGAAACAGTGGTGTGGATGGAAAGAAAGCTATAGACTCACCTGAACGGATGAATAACCTCCTGGGATAAACTCAGCTGCAGCAGCAGACAGTTTGGAGTTTTTCACCAATGCATCTGCAACACTGCTGCTGTTGTGGCCCGAATTTGAAGAAACTGGAGATCCTGGAAGACAATGCAATGCAGATCCGTATTAATGTTTTGTTTACAACATTTGTCTATGTATAGTGCCATCCATTTGTGTTGTTTAGAAGTTAAGAAAGAATATCTGCCCAGAAATGAGCACTTTTCAAAAATGTGACGCCGTCGCTTGGCCAGATTAAACTATCTCACCCAACAACTACTGGCCAACATCTAACCAGCTTTGATTCATGTGTTATAATTCATGTGTTATGAAAAAAAGTTCAAGTCAAGGCAACAACACAATGTTCATAACAACAAGACTGTCTTCATGAGTGTGTTACAAAAAAAAAAATCACTAATTTGAAGCTGAACATCAAGAGGCAACTGATAATATATTAAACCTAGATAGTATAATGTGGTTAAACTATGATTACGCTGTGAATTTACAGGCCTTGTATGCCCAGATTGTTTTGATGTATTGTTTCTACTGTTAAAAAAGGCTGATAAAAGCATTCAAACTATTATTAACGTAATAAAATCAGTATAAATGTTCATTATTGTATTATCGGTGTATGTCTCCATTAATTGAAATATCAACCAAATGTACCTTTTAACTAACTGATCAGTCCATATTTTTAACCAGCAAGATAGACTAAATAGAAAGATACAAAAATAGGTAGAACAATAGATAGATAGAACGATGGATAGATGAATAGACAGACAGACAGACAGACAGACAGATTAGATAGATAGATAGATAGATAGATAGATAGATAGATAGATAGATAGATAGATAGATAGATAGATAGATAGATAGATAGATAGATAGATAGATAGATAGATAGATAGATAGATAGATAGATAGATAGATAGATAGATAGATAGAACAAAGGATGGAACGATAGATGAAAAAATAGACGGATGGACGGGTAGATGGAATGATCAGACAGACAGACGGACGGACGGAGAGACGGACAAACGGACAGACGGATGGACAGACGGATGGACGGATGGATGGACGGATGGATGGATGGATGGATGGATAGATGGATAGATAGATAGATAGATAGATAGATAGATAGATAGATAGATAGATAGATAGATAGATAGATAGATAGATAGATAGATAGATAGATAGATAGAACAAAGGATGGAACGATAGATGAAGATAGATAGATCTGAGTGATTCCTCCATAGCCTAAAAGTAACGCCTCACAAAAAAACACTAACAAAGAAATCTGCAGATATTTTCCCCTCAAAAGACGCTAACAACATTGCCTACTTCATTATTAGCAGACTAGCATTTGAGTTAGCAAGACAGAAAACTTACATGAATCTAAAAACTAACTGACTACTAGACAAGCAGTTATCTCTGTCCGTCTGTCATATAAATACTGATCGGTTAATCAATAACCTTTTGTAAATTCATACATTTACACATTCAAAAAACATGGATCATCTATATTCAGGTTCCTCTACTAAAATAGTAAATAAGCAAATTTACACTAAAAAAATATCAGTCTTTATTACAGTATTCTCGATATTTAACCAAACAAACATTTACACACTTGTATCCCTCTGTAAGTGAGTCGTATGTCATTATTGCACACTTAAACAGTGACTAACATTAACTGTCGTCAACTTTACCACTGGCTAATTCAACCCAAATGTTCTGCTTTTAATAACACGAAACTGCCTGAGCAGGAAGCAAAAACAAAACTAACAAAGAAATCTGTGTGTACTTTTCCCTCAAAAATCCTCTAACAGTTTTAGCTACTCAACAGAGACAATTATTAGCGGACTAGCACATGAGCTTGCAAGATAGATAGATAAAATCTAGATGGGATACAGCTGCAGATACATCAAAATAGCATCATGACACTGTACAACAATAATTCATATTTTTACATTGCTGTGAGGGTAGGGGTAGACGGTAATAAAATTAATTAATTAATTTAATTAGTAAGTTAATAAATAATATGAATAATACTCTGTATAATTACTGTTTATACACTACTGTGAGGGCTGAGTTTAGGATTGGGGTAGGCACTATTAAAATATAATTTAATGGGTAATTTGATAAATAATATAAATTATTTTCATTAAAATTGCAGTTTATACATTACTGTGAGGATTGGGGTAGACAGTAATAAAATACATTTAATGGGTAATTTAATAAATGATATTTAAAAAAAAAAAAAAAAAAAAAAAATCACTGCAACTTCGGGCCACAGATGTATCCCTTCCAGTCCCAAACCAGACTGACAGTCAGACAGACAGAAAAATCTATATAAACGTAAAAGCACATTAATCGACCTTTCAGGCTGTCTAAATATTGATTTTCAATCAGTCTATTGATCTACGCAACTAGACAGACAGGCTGCATAATAGACATTATATAGGCATTATTTCAACTCTGAAAAAAAAACTGGACTGACAGATACAGTTTTAATTTACTAGAACCCCCATGTTAAGCTGCTTACAGTCTATGTTGTAAAAGCGCTATAGAAATAAACATGAATTGAATTATGTCACTCTGTTATTGATTGATTAGTTTATATGTGCAACCAGATACAGACCCATGGATAGATAGTTGCTTATATAGAGAATTAAATCAATGTGTTAAATCTATGTATCGATTGGTCTATCAATGACCTTTTGCAAATTCATGAATGCTCAGATAAACATGAATTATCTACACATTGAAGTTATGTTACGTCTACAAAAACATTAAACCTAAACAGCGACTAGCATTAATTTTCATCGACTACTCTCCAGGCTAATGTCATTCTAACTATGAATTAATTTGTCTATGTATGCAACTGGATGGATGGATGGATGGATGGATGGATGGAACAATAGATGTAATGATACATGGATAGATGGATAGATAAACAGATATAGACAGATGGATGGATGGATGGATGGATGGATGGATGGACGGATGGATGGAACAATAGATGTAACGATACATGGATAGATTAACAGATATAGATAGATGGATGGATGGATGGAACAATAGATGTAATGATACATGGATAGATTAACAGATATAGATAGATGGATGGATGGATGGAACAATAGATGTAATGATACATGGATAGATTAACAGATATAGACAGATGGATGGATGAACTAGATCCTCCACTAGCTAATGTCATTCTATGTCTATGACATGTCTATGCAGATAGATAGATAGATAGATAGATAGATAGATAGATAGATAGATAGATAGATAGATAGATAGATAGATAGACTATCTATCTATTTATCAGTTTATAGATAAATAGTCTATCCTATCCATCTATTACAGAAGGATGGATAGCTAGATAGACAGTTTCTTACATAGAAAATTTATTCAACACTTAGTCATTGTCATTCTATCTATCTATCTATCTATCTATCTATCTATCTATCTATCTATCTATCTATCTATCTATCTATCACCTTTTACAAATTCATAAATGTACAGATAAGCATGAATTATCTATATATTAAGGTTACGTTACTTGTACAAAGACAATAAATTACAATTTGTCTATGTATGCAACTAGATAGATAGATAGATAGATAGATAGATAGATAGATAGATAGATAGATAGATAGAATCTTTATCAGATAGATGGATGGATGGAGTTGCTTAACGTTACATAGACAATAAAATCAATAACTAGACGTAGTCATTATTATGTTACCTATATTTGTTCATCTGCCCTCTGATAATAGGTCTAGGTTATCTATGACCTTTTGAAAATTAAAAACTGACACATAAATATGAACTGTCTACATATTCAGGTAACATCACCTGTATTAGAACAATACATTAACGGTTACTAGCATTAACGTTAACTGTCATCGACTCCTCCACAGGCTAATTTTACCCAAATGTTCTGCTTTTAATAACTGAAAACAGTATCAATCGAAAGCTAAACAAAGCTAACAAAGAAATGTGCGTGAGCAGAAATAAATATTCCCATTAAACCTCCTCTGACAGCATTAGCTACTCGGCGGAGACAGTTATTAGCGGACTATCATTAGCATGCGAGCTAGCAGTGAACTTTACTTCACCTGAGCCGCAGTCCGACACGGGAGGAGAAGTGCGCGGCTGTCTGAGCGGCTCACACGGGTTAAACGCCGAACTTCTGGCATCTCCAGCCTCGGATGAGGAAGATGATGAAGGTGCACTGCTGTTGTTATTGTTATACATGGTCTTGATCTTCTTGTTGTCGCCGTTTCTCCCCGGTACCGATCACTACAGGCAGCACGGGTGGGATAAACACACGGATCGGGTCTCAGTGGGCCGATGAACACTACACGGACAGCTGGATTCACCCTACAGTCTGCTTCTCACTTTCATGTTTACTATTTCTGTTTCTGGCACCTGGCCCTCAGTAGAGCACTAATAATCACTTCCTCAGTCATCCTCCAGAAGAAAACACACACACGCTGATCAGAGGAGCACTGCCATCTATTGGAAACAATACACACATCCTGATGAAGCAATCGTCTGTGTTTTGGGATGTTATTTTTATTTTTTATTATTTAGCTTTATTTTACTATTATTTTTTATTATTATTGATTTTCAAAAAAGATAAAGTACACAGAGCAGGTTTAACAGTAAACACGAGCAGGGTTTGAGTAACTTTTCTTGATCACCAGACACTGTGGCCATTAGATTTCTAACATTACTAACCACTCGCCATTTTTGCTAGCCACACTTTTGTTGTTGGGAAAATATATTTTATATGCAAAAATTTGACTTTGCCATGCTAAAATCACTTGATTTAGATTTGGGTTTTGTCTACATGCCTTCTCATTTATTTCACTTTTTGTGTGTGTTGTGTATGAGCTCGCATGCGATTAGTTTTTATTTCACATGACTTTTTAGGGCTTAAAATGAAGGATTTACCAAATTTATCTCTGACCACACCAAAAATAAAAACAATTATTTCTGAGCCACAAATTTTAAACAATGTGTCAAAACAAGCCAAATATAACTGCATGCATGCTCTTTTTAATTCAACAAAACATTACATAAAAAAAAAGAACTACTGTCATGTATCTAAAATGTGCACCGCAATCTGTCCTGGCTAAAGGTGCCAGATCACCAGTTAACTACACAAAAAAATGGGGAGTTAATCCATATTAAAGCACTGTTATTGTAAAAAAAAAAGAAGATAATTAAACCATATTAACAAAAATAAAAATAACTGTAGGCAAAAAGAAAGAAAGCAGGTGAAAAAACATACCGTTGAGTAAGAATGAAAGAATGATCACGTGCACACGGTTAACGTTAGGCCTGTTAATAATCTGTCCAAACAATACTTAAAACAAAAGCAGTGTACGCTGCTGCTTACAAAACACACGCACGCACGCACGCACGCACACACACACAGACACACAGACACACGCACGCACGCACGCACGCACGCACGCACGCACACACACACAGCTGAAGTCAGAATTATTAACCCCCCTGTTTATTTTCTCGCCAATTTCTGTTTAACGTAAAGAATTTTTTTCAACACATTTCTAAACATAATAGTTTTAATAACTCATCTCTAACAACTGATTTATTTGATCTTTTCCATGATGACAGTAAAAAATATTTGACTAGATATTTTTCAAGACACTTCTATACTGCTTAAAGTGACATTTAAAGGCTTAACTAGGTTAATTAAGTTAACTAGGCAGGTTAGGGTAATTAGGCAAGTTATTGTATAATGATGGTTTGTTCTGGGGACAATTGAAAAAAATTTAGCCTTTAGTTTAAAGGGGCTAATAAAAAAAAAGATTTTATATAACTGTTAGGTGTAATTAGACTAAAACCCATTTAGTCATTATCAATCGCTTCACACATCATTAAAAACACAAACACATTAAGAATAAAACGCCTTTTAGTATTTCACCTCTTGCTTTTACAAAATATGCCTCATGCAATTAAATCACAAATAGGTCAATAATACAAATATGCTGCAACAACAAACTGAGCTTCTTCTCTTCACAGATCTCTCTGAACACATTTACGAACAGCAGTTGTTCAGAGAAACGAACAGGAACCATCTACAGAGTCACTTCTGTAATCAGTCTTGCGCTGAACATACAGTTATCATTTAATATTGTCCAATTATTCCCCATCAGCTCCTTTCTTCTTCTTTTTCTTCTTTTGTTTTTGCTGCTGCTGCATTTTGGCTTTCTTAGGTGTGGGCTGATCTTGTGTTTCTTCTCCTGCTTGCTGTTTTCTTTTCTTGTTTTTCTTCTTGTTCTTCTTCTTCTTTCCCTCTCCTGATGCTCCTTCAGGTGTTTTTTCCACAGGTGTTTCCGTCTCTTTGCCCTCCAGTATGGTGGGCTTCTTGCGGTTCTTGCGTTTCTTGGTCTCAGGAAGGAAACCCTTTTTCTTTTTCGTAGTCTCTTCGGTTTGCTCTGCCTCTGGGACCATCTTCACCTTTTCCATCTTTGGTTTTCTGAATAAAACAGATAGAGCATTATAAAATCAACCTTAAACAACTTAAAGTAAAACAATTTAACAATTATCACAAAAAGCAGGTCATATGAGGTTTTAAAGAGTCACGAAACACCAAAACACATGTTTTGAGCTGTTGACAGTCGTATATGTGTCCCACGCTGCTAAAAACTCTATTAGGACACATATCTTCAATGGGGGGCAGATCATTTAGTGTTTTTGCACCCAAACTCTGGAACTCTCTACCTCTCTCACTCCGCTCTACTAATAATATCTCTGAATTCAGATCCTTACTTAAGACTCACTTATTTTCTGAATGCTTCGCTTCTGATCTGCCAAACTGACTACTTTATCTGATCCACCACTACTCTGTTCATATGTCTCTTAGGTCTTGTTTGTGTAATTCCAGTTTGTTATATTTGACTTCATGTATGTTTGTTTATCTTTTTGTTGCATTCCTTGTAAAGTGTCCTTGAGCTCTGGAAAGGCGCTATATAAATAAAAATTATTATTAATATTATTATTATATATCTCATTAAAAAGGGAAAATTGGTTGTTTTCCCGTTATTTCGAGCAAATTTGTTCTTCCAGTTTGAAACGAATTTTTGAAGCTGCGTCACGCCGATTATATTCTCATGTGTATTCCAGCGTGTAGACTGGACGCCTGTACCGGTGAGTACAACGTGACGCATTTGAGTGTGCAGCATTAATTTCAAACCAATCAGCGGGCTCTATTGTGTCTGAGTTGCAACTTCATTAATATGCACAATGGCTTCGAAGACTGTTTGTACCTGTTACAGTGTTCAGACGGCAGAGAGACGCCACGTTGTGTTGCCAAAACAAGTGGAAGAAGAAAATAGTTTGGAGACACGGGTCATCAGTGTTGTGTTTATTAATGTGCTGCAACAAAGGTTTTGTTTTCATTCCCTGCTATGAGAGCGCAGCTGGACTCACGTAAGGACTACAGTACACGCGACACACGGCAAAATACATTTGTAAGGAACAATTTTACCCGAGAGCTTTCCGCATCTGGAAATGGTGAAACCCAGATTTGCCGTTTGTCTTCTTTTAAAAAAAGACGCTGCTACAGTTGGTGTTGATTGTCCTGTATCTACAGATTTAGGCCCCGTTTACACTAATGCGTTTTAGTTTGAAAACGCATAGGTTTTGCTACGGTTACGCCAACCGTCCACACTACGCCGGAGTTCTCGAGCGCCGAAAACGGAGCGTTTCGAAAACGCTGGAGAGGCCGTTTTCATTCTGAAACGCTGCTGCTCCGTCTCAGTGTGGATGATGGAAAACGGAGACATCTGAAAACGGAGGCGGGGCTGCAGACATTCGCCTCTCTGATTGGGGCTTTTCCTGAATATTAAGTAGCCTAACACATTCTCTCCGTGTAAGTTCAGACTTCGCAAGTTTGATCAAGGCTGCAGTCTCTTCTTTTCAGTTTGATATGGAAAAGCAGACTATACCGAGGACACGGGTAAATCTTCAAAGGGAACAGTGTACTTTATAACTTCATTCACATCACCCTGGCTTCGTTGTTTCACTTTCTCAACAATAAAATGTAAACATGATTTAAGGAACTGCCCATTTTCATTTTAATATTAGCAACTTAGACAGCAGACATGTTGAGGCGTCGTGCTGTATATATGAGCGTCATCTTCACTGTGTGGATATTTATAAAAAAACGGAGCCGATAACAACTGCCTCCTTTCAATTTCAGTGAAAATACGAAACATACCCTCTCTTTTGCTGAATATCAGTTTTAAGAATCGATAATGGCCATTATAAAAGTATAACATACAATAAGTTTATACATTATAGGAAATAAAGGCAAGCGATCAGTCAATATACAGAATGTACGTGCTTACATTAATCATTAACTTATCTTTGCGCTCAGCCAAAACACGTTACCTGAGAACAAGTAATAGATTCCAATGACCAAAGTCAGGGAATATGTCGTTAGATAAAGACAACAAGATAAATGAAATATCACGTTTAATAAATATAGTGAAATTAGATCCAGCAGGAGATGCTTGATGAGAAGTCCGACTAGCAGAGCTCTCATCTGGGTAGATGGGCTGCAGCGCTCGCCAGAGAGTGTCTGTGTGGTCATGTGATGTGCGTTTTCAGCGTTTTGGTGTGGACGGAGAGCAGTTCAGAAACGCTGGGTAAAACGCGAGTGTGGACGCGGATCGTTTTCATTCTAAAACGCCGTTTTAAAACTTAAACGCACTAGTGTAAACGGGGCCTAAGTAAGCGATCAGTGCCCTTTGTTTGTTCATTCAGATGGCAAAGTTAGTTTGTATTGTCAGCAGTACTATTTCAGTGTTTAAAGACAGACCATAGTCAAACGATTTCAAAGTTACTAACGTTTACAGTACGTTAATATTACTGCAATATTATGGACTTAAAGATCTGCTGTAAATGCTGCTCTCCGAGTGTAAACATGTAAGTAAGTAGTAAGTAAAGTTTATTTAAAAAGCACATTTACTTCAGTTTGGCACTGACCAAAGTGCTGAACAAAACCATAGCACACACTCTAAAAGAGTAAAAAAATACCAATACAAGTAATAATAGGAATAAAAGTATTACAGCAACAACCACTATAAAGATTAAAAGGCGGAGAACGCAACAGAATAAAAATGTGTCTTAAGTCTAGACTTAAAAATAGAAAAGAAGCACTTGTAATATCCGGTGGCAGATGGTTCCACAAACGAGGAGCAGCGACTGCAAAGGCTCTATCCCCTTTCAATTTAAGTCGTGAATATACGACATGTAAACACTGTAATCAAACTATTACCATTGTGGAGGATTTTTGCAGCATTGTGACAGGATAGTCTTTACACACACGGCTTTCTGACGCTACTGACCGAGTGCATCTTAAAGCAAGTTACAGAAAAACGCAGAGTTTTTTTTCCCTCCCATTCGCCGTGCATTATCAAACATTCCGTTAAATCTACACTCGTCCAGCAGTTCCTTGCATCCAATATCTGGTTTGTTATGGGAGGCATCCAGCAAATGCTCCTAAATGAAAGTGAAGTGCCAAACTGCAGTTATAGTCCACAAATTTATAATTTGGCAAAAAATTGTAATAAGCGAGAGTAAATAAATAAGAGAGTAAATAATAAATAAAAATAACTCATAGCAAGATACAGAGACGCTCTGAAATTCCTGCTCCCCATCAAGGACACCTGTTCGAGTCAACAGGCTTACGCACGCAACCACAGATAAACAATCACCACCGATCCCCTCATCCAAACACCTTCGTGTGCATTCACCCTCTGGAGGGGGTACGCGGTCTGCGACCAGTGCCTCCATGGCTGCAGGACCAGGCAGCTGCCAGCCCTCATCGAACTACATCCATATCCCCTGTTCCCATCCCATTTGTCAATGTTGTGTCTTGTCCGTGTGCTTGATTGGGCTGTTTTTCTCCCTGTCTCACTTTGCTTTAATCAAGAGCAAGGTTAGAGGGTATTTTTTTGCCTAACCCTCCTAATGTATCTTACTTGCCTTTCTAAATGCTAATTCCTGTGACATGTCTTCCCCTCCTCGACTCTCCAACCTAAACAGAGCTTGACACACCCACTTTCCTGCCTTTTTTCAAACTGCTGTGACGGGGGGAGTGGAGAGGGGGGTTCATGGCCCTTTAAAAGTGTGTTGGAGTCTCCTACAATAGATCTAAATGCATCTAATGTCAGAAAAAACACTGTAATTTCCTCAGAATATGCACTTAATGTTAGAGCCATTTTGTGAGAGCTTTGATATGATGGTTTTAGGGTGCTTTCACATCTGTAGTTCGCTTCATTTGGTCCGGACCAAGGCCAATAAATGATACATTGTTGATTTTCTGCCGTCTTTGGGTTGTTTTCACACCACACTGCTGGCTTTGGTCCGAACCAGTTGAAAAGAACCAAAACGCAGTCATCTGACAAAATCCACATCTCTCATTGGCCAGATGTTGTTGAACATATTTCCTAAACTGCTTATCGATTGGTCAGAATTCACGTGCGGGAAAATGCCAATGAACTCCATAAGGAAACAAACTGGCAGACACAAAAATGTCACTTTTTACCTTGGAGGGACGACTGCGCTGACTGATTGCATCCCTGCTTTAGACAAACTCTACATTTTGAGAATGAAGCGCGGCTGCAGCTGGACAACAATGTTTTAATGCATCGCTCGTCACTTTAGGAGGCGGCGTGAACTAATTTAGCTAAACTGCGACATGGTCATCTTGCGGAAATATTACCAACGAATGTTTTTCCCTCTCTTTCTCTGTCGGTAAAGCGCTGTCAACAAATATTTTTCCTCCATATCCTATAATGCACAATGCATCGGCTTATGGCAGCTGGATTAGTCCAAAAGGCACAGTACTGGTCTGTTTTGGTTCGGATCATATTCTCACCACTCCAGGGTTCGTTTGAAAGTATACCAAGACCACCTCTTCAAGCAGGTCTCGGTATGCTGTTTTGGTCCGTTTTTGGTGCGGACTCGAGTATTGCTATGTTCACACCTTCCTAAATGAACCGCACCAAGAGGAAAAACAAACTCTTGTGTGATTCAACCAAATTAAATAAGGCAGGTGTGAAAGCACCCTTAATCAATTCAGAGCTTAAAGGTCACGTGAAGTGCTTTGAAATGTGCATTTTTTCAACTAAACATGTTGAGGGCTGGACATAGTAGCTCCTCCTCTTTTAAGAAAACAGAACTCAATCTTTTAATGCACAGACAGTTCCAGACCGTTTTGATCACAGTCACAGCCGCCAAAGTTTTCATAAATCTTGCAGACACCAACATGTGCTGAAGTAGGATTCACCTGGGGATTAACCAACTTGTAAATCTGCTCAAAAATATTTGCAAAGACTTTTTCATATGTTCGGCTTATATACTTTTATTTCCATTTTGTGTTGTTAAAACAAGCCTGAAGGTTTAAGGGCTGAAACAGTCAGCCATTGTCCATACAGCCCCCTCACAAATCTCTCTTTTAAATTCATATTCTCAATAGGAAGCTCTACAATATTATATTTGTGCATATACACTAGTTTAGTCAGTACTGAAGCCAAATCTGGAGCTCATCTAACAAAATACCTTTTTGACAAGATCACGGTTTAAAAACTAGTACAGCCAAATTTACATTTTATATAAAAATATTAAATTAAAAATTACAATAGAGGAAAAATCAAGAAGAAAAAAAAATGGGAAAATTTAGTGGAAAGTTTGTAGTTTGTAATTTGTTTTTGCAATGTTTTGCTTGAATTAAATCATATTATCTTTCAATTTCTAAATATGTTTGGTAACTAAACAATTATTTTATTAAATATATCTGTTTTAATACATCTGTTTTGTTTAAATGCACCTAAATACACTGCCTATATTCTCAGAGAAATGAATACAAATACTCATGTTCAAAATGTGGTGCAGTCAATTATGCCGAGCACTGTATATCTCAAAATTAGAATCAAAAGAAATATTTATGACTTACATAACGCCAAACAATCTCATGACACTCCAGTACGTGTCCTCCAGCTTTCCTGTTTTTTCCAGGCATCCTTCTGCGTTCATGGATGCGAGAACATCCTGCAGGGGCTCCAGGTTAACTCGCATCTTCTGCTCAAAATAACACGCACAATAACAAATTTAAAAAAAAAAGGAAGTGTAATTTACATATGAACAAGTACAAAGGTTTGGTTAGCGATTCCTTACCTGATTAAGAACAATTTTGACGACGTGCAGACAGAGCTCCAGCGCCTTGACCACTTTATCATGAGCTGTTTTGTTCTTACACTGCACATTCTCCAAACTCTGCGAAATAGTGAACGTTTATTAGAGATGTTTTTTTTGCAAACTTTATTTCTTTACAAAATGTTTGTGAAAATGAAATTCTAAATTTGAGTGAAATAATGTTCCATAGTTATTCAGCATATTTAACATAAAAGAACAAGTGCTTGTACTAAATGTGATCATATTTTAAAGGGCACCAATACAATACGCTTATTTTACCAGAATAAAATATGACCATGCCTTGATTTTTAATCATTTAATTAGGACAGTAATGTCTGACTTTGCTTAGACAAAAGTCTTATTTAACAGAAATAAATGTATAGTATAGAATATCAAGTTGAATATTGTGTCTGACTCCATCATGAGCTTGGAGGACTGCATTCATACATCTCTGCAATGACTCGAATCACTTATTAATAAAGTCATCTGGAATGCCAAAGAAAGTGTCTGCAGGACTCCCAGATCTCATCAAAACTCTTTGGATTCATCTTCAGTGCTTCCTCCTCCATCTTACCCCAGACATGCTCAACAATGTTCATGTCAGGTGACTGGGCTGGCCAATCCTGGAGCACCTTGACCTTTTTTGCTTTCAGGAGCTTTGATGTGGAGGCTGAAGTATGAGAAGGAGAGCTATCCTGCTGAACAGTTTGCCCTCTCCTGTGGTTTGTAATGTAATGGGCAGCACAAATGTCTTGATACCTCAGGCTGTTGATGTTGATCATCCACTCTACAGATCTCTCGCACGCCCCCATACTGAATGTAACCCCAAAACAATGATTTTTCCTTCACCAAACTGGAGGGTTTATGCAGGTTCTAATAAGTCTTCTGCAGTATTTGTGATGATTTCAATTAGAAGTCAAGTTATTATTTGTTGCTCTTAGGGTCGACAACTGGGATCGACGACAAGACTTTTGTCAGGTAGTGTACAGTAGCATAATGGATATCCATACAGCAGTGTATATTGACTTGTATTCTTTAACACATGCCGCAAGTAGACATGCAAAAAACGTTTTTAACAGGCGTGTGTGCACTGCGAACATTTTAACGTCATTTGTGTGGACTCATCATTGCAGAAAGGCTTGAATAAACTCCACAACAAATACATTAAATAACCTCACTTGATATTTTGAGTCTGAACTGGATTTCTGCTACATTAGCATTAGGGCTGCTCGATTTTAGAAAAAATCGTAATCACGATTATTTTGGTCATAATTGTAATCCTGTTTATTCAAAACGATTATCAGTTGAAGTCAAAATTATTAGCGCTCCTGAGAATTTTGTCTTTTTAAATAACTATTTCCCAAATTATGTTAAACAGAGCAAGGAATTTTAACAGTATTTCCTCTAATATTTTTTTCTTCTGGAGAAAGTCTTATTTGTTTTATTTTAGCTAGAAAAATATCAGGTTTAATTATTTTGAAAATTTATTTCAATATTATTAGCCCCCTTAAGCAACATATTTTTTGATTGTCTGCAGAAGAAACTACTGTTATGCAATGACTTTTCTAATTACTCTAATTAAGCCTTTGAATTGCACTTTAATCTGAATGCTTGTATTTTGAAAAACATCTAGTAAAATGTTATGTACTGTCATTATAGCAAAGATAAAACAAATCAGTAACTAGACATGATATATCAAAACTAGTATGTTCAGAAATACTTTTTAAAAAAAAACTTCTTTCCATTAAACAGAAATTGGAGGAAAAGGGTTGCTAATATTCAGGAGGGCTAATAATTCTGACCTTAACTGTATAAATATACAGTTATCTTCCACCCTGCAAAGGAAAGAGAAATAAATACAATAGACTAAAAATATACCCAAACTGTGATTTAAGCCTGTTCACCCTAAGAAAAACACTTTAGCTACAAAAATCCTTCAGTCAAGAGCATTAAGGGATGTTCTCGTCGTTTGATTAATGATAAAACAGGCGGCAGCATTTCGCACTGTCACTTTAATGGTTTCTCTTTCACGTGTCTTTTGATTCTCAACTCGTTTGTTTATTACGCAAATGAGGGTTAATATAAATAATCACAAATCTCCGCGTTTTGACACATATTTGACCATTATCAAATATGACGTTCAAATCAAATATGATCACGTTAAGATTACTTTAGATGTCTGCACTCCTCTGCTCGTCTCAGTGTGCGAATGAGACCGAATGCTGACACACACACAAGCACGCGGTCTTTCGCGCTTTTGGTATAAGATGCAATAATCGTTTATCTCGATTAATGGTTTTTCATAATCGTTAGAAGCCATAATCGAAATCGAAATCGGATTTTCGATTAATTGCACAGCCCTAATTAGCATCTGTCTCCGTCACTGACGGCTGTTTATCTGACATATGGGAATGGTGGGTGGGGAGAAACAACTCATTTACATTTAAAGGCACAGGCAACAAAAACCGCCAAGAAGATTGCATTACATAATATTAGTTTTAAAGATAATTAATCCCATAAATGCTTCCAGCAAATAAAAAAAATCCCCAACTTTAAAAATGAATTTACTGAAACTAAAGACCTGATGTATTTGGTGCCATGACATACACTTACAACTCATAAGAATTTATAAAGAGCTCAGTGGAGTCTACCTTAGTGAGCTGATCCACAACCTTCTTATAAAGCTCAGTGGTCTGTTCACCAGTCATCAGGTTCTTCACATGTTTACATTGCAAAGCTTTGAGCATAATGAAACATGCCTGACCCTGAAACAGCCACACAAAAATGTGTTTAACACACAAGACAGTAAAATCACAATTCAAGTAACTCAATCCACATGTCAATAATCTTTATGCACCTGCTGATGGTCCCTCAGTCCAGCTGTAATGTTCTCCAACGCCGTGTCCATCAGATTCACACACAACACCTGCAAACACAACACAAATCAAGAGACTATGTTTGTAAAAACAAATAAATAATAATAATAATTATTATTATTATTATAAGAATAAAAATTATTAATGATAATTAATACATATTTAATATGTTGTACAACTGCACAATCAGATACTAATTGTCAAAGTGTAATATCTGATAACATTATTGACAATACTATGTTTGTATCATTGTTATTATTAATAATATTGTTTTATAGTGTGTTTTTTTTTTTTTTGATAATTATATTCTTTATAAATTATTTGTCAAGCAGAGCAAAATCAGAGCCCTTAAATCTACTTTCACAATTAAATCTCTTACATTAAAAAATGTAGAAAGTGGAAACAAGATTCATTATATTATTCTTCTTGTTGAGATTAAACTAGTTTTAAAAAAGGCAAAAGTTTTATTTGAATAAAAATGAAAATTTATTTGTATTAAACAAGCTAAAAAAACTGTAATAATACATATTAAATATGTTTTTACAATTATGAAAGCAATTATCCTAGTGTAATATTTGATAACATTATTGACAACATTATTATTAAAAATAACAACAATACAAACATATTGTTTTGTATTGCAGTTATTTTATACGGATAATTATATTTGTTATTTATTTTTCATCAAGCAGAGAGTCAGAACTCTTTAAATGATTTTTTTAAATTAGATATTAAAAAACTATATAAATGGAGAAAAGGGAAACTTCATTCAAAGATTCATTATTTTATGTAGTAATAATAATAATAATAATAATAATAATTCCTTACATTTATATAGCGCCAGACCTAACACCACACACCAGCTGATTGGTGGAGAGGAGACAGAGTGATGAAGTCAATTATGATATGGGGAGGGTTAGGAGGCCATGACATCCAGAGACCAGCAGGCAAAAGGGGTTAAACCCCTACTGTTTTACGAAGGACATCCTGGGATTTCTCATGACCACAGAGAGTCAGGACCTCGGTTTAACGTCTCATCCAAAAGACAGCGCTCACTGAGCAGTATAGAGTCCCTTTCACTATATTGTGGCATTAGGACCCACTCAGACTGCAGGTTGAGCGCCCCCTGCTGGCCTCACTAACACCACTTCCAGCAGCAACCTAGCTTTCCCATGTGGTCTCTCATCCAGGTACTGACAGTGCACAGCCCTGCTTTAGCTTCAGAGGGCGACCATGTGAGAGTTGCAGAGAGCTAGCTGCCGGCATTTTATTCTTCTTATTTCATAATTTTATTATCTACAACTAAGAAAAGCTACTTTATGTGGTAAAGTGAAAAGATAACATTATTATCATTATTATTTTATTATAATGAGTATTATTTTACAGAAAAACGCGTTACACAAGTATTATTTCTTAATTTGCTTAGTTTTTTTTAAAAATACTTATAAGGAGCAACAAAGTGTAAAAATAAACAAATATGACAATACATTTAATAATATAATAATAATAATATTTATAATAAGCACAGCTAACCGAAAGCTCCTTAAAGCAGAATGGAAAAATAAAATTTTAACAAAGGGTAAAAAAAGAAATTATAGATTTAAAAATATATATATAAAATAAATAAATAAATAATAATAATACTATTAATAATAAGCACGTCTATCTTGGAGCTCTTTAAAGCAGAATGGGAAAATATTTTTTAACAGAGTAGAAATTATAGATAAAAAATAACAAACAAATAAATAATAAAATAATAATACTAATAATTATATTAATACTATTAAAAATAATCACGTCTACTTTAAAGCAGAATGGGAAAATATTTTTTAACAGAGTAGAAATTATAGATAAAAAATAACAAACAAATAAATAATAAAATAATAATACTAATAATTATATTAATACTATTAAAAATAATCACGTCTACTTTAAAGCAGAATGGGAAAATATTTTTTAAGAAAGAGTAAAAATAGAAATTATAGATAGAAAATAAATAAATAAAATAAATAAATTACTAATAATGATATTAATAATAATAATAATATCTAGAAGAAGAAGGAGCAGCAGCACAACTAACTTAAGAATGAGAAACTATTTTATTTTTGCCCAAAAAAAAATAATTGATTGCTGAAGTGGTTTATACTCACGGGGAACCTGTTGAAGAGGTCAATGAACATGGCTCCGGTCAGAGGACTTTTTCTCTTTGTCATAAAAGACGTCAAAGCATTCTTTAAGCATGTCGTCGCTCTCTCAACCTCCACTTTACCCATAGTACTTAACTGCACTCAATACAATAAATAGATTACATCAGCCTCAGTGCTTGCAGATTATTAACATAGTCAATATGAGATTGTATTTTACCTCCTGATCGACCACAGACCCTCTTAACACCTTCAGCACATAGAGAGCAGCACTGCAAAAGCAGAAGACCAACACACTCGTTCAGTCATTTAGAAGATGCTTTTAGACAATTACAATAGACAAATTAAGAGTTTGCACAATACAAAATTAAATACAGTTAATTAATAAATCAATATTAATATTACTATTAATAAATATTAAATACAGTTAATTAATAAATCAATATTAATATTAATCAATACTAAATGCAGTTGAATAATAAATCAATATCATTGAGTCCTCACCTAAAGTAGTACAAAGCCACAGATGAGTCTGTCAGTTTCTGGGCTCGGCCAATCAGACGCTCCAGCATTTCATGAAGTTCCGCCTCTCGGCCGTCAATTTCCTTGCAGTAAAACTTCCCACGACAGAGCCGATTCCTGCCAATCAGAGACAGAGGTACACGTTTAATTAAATAAATAGAAATATCTTCCAATTGGGGAAAATAAAAAGCATGTTTCTTGCGATATTTCACAAAACGTTAGTTACTAGATGCTGTCTGCCATCGGAGTGGCAGCTATATGTAAACTAATATCGCTACTCATGTAAAGGCCGGTATTGTTATTAATCTTGCGTATGCATATAATAAAGTACAGTACAAAAGATGTCAAAAGCATCAGCGCAATATCACACACCACCCGTGAGAACAGCACAGTTATATCGTTAACAGATTCATCCATGTCAAGCAGTGCGGGCAGGGCCGGTGAGCGCTCCATGGCTTTTTGGTAACTCAGTTATGTTATAAAATGCATTTTCCTTGTGATAAAGGGATTTCGTTGAGACATATTTTCCTCAAACATGCATATATATACACATGTATATGTATATATATATATACATGTATATATATATATATATATATACATGTGTGTGTGTGTGTGTGTGTGTGTGTGTGTATATATATATATATATATTTTTTTTTTTTTTTTTTTTTGGGTGCGGCAAAATTTTGGCTGATGCGCCTACATTTTTTAAGTTAGGAACACCTGTGCTATCAAACAAAAAGGTTAATTTTGAGCCCTGTAATAGCATATCTATATCCATATATTCATGTTTTCTATCTGTGAGATGTATATCAATATTTATATGCTTTTACGCACACATGAAAATAACACTCTCACCTGAAGATGTCTGCTACCCTGCGCAGGTAGTCTTGCTCCGGCTGACTGCTTTCAGAGCTCATCCCGTTCTCAATCACGCTCAGCAGCGGCTCCACCATCCCGAGAACCAGAGGGCTGAAGCCCTGTTTGCTCAGGAACACCTCCACCATATCCAGAACCTGAAATCAACATTTCATTTATTTTACAAATGATTTATAAATAGCATTTTATAGTGACATGGTGGCGCAGTGGGTAGCATGAAAAGGTCGCTGGTTCGAGCCTCGGCCGGGTCAGTTGGCATTTTTGTGTGGAGTTTGCATGCTCTCCCTGTTTAGTATGTTGTTATTTTAAAGATTATGTCTTGAGAGTGTGATTTCTCCTCTGTGATTATATCCTTTAAATATATTAAGGCTGGTTGTTTGATCGTCCATGAGGGACAATAGTGGTATTACAGATTTCAAAACAAATATCTTAATATTAAAAAGGAAACACAAGCTTGACAACAAAAGATCTTATCAATGTCGTAACAAATGCCCTTATATAATGCAGCCTGCAGTTTATAGCAAGCATCAAGTGTTCATTGAGATTGTGTTGTCTGTCATATCTTTCGTCTGTCTTTTCAGGGGTTTTTTCTCGTAAGGCACGGCTTTCGAAAATGATGACATGAAACTCTGCTGGGTAGTTGCACCGGTTTACTGACACTAGTTTGGGTCTGTAATTTCTTAGCACCTTCATAACAGTGGCGTTGTTTTAAAGGATAAAGGTTTGTGGTGTTGCCTGCTTTTGATGGCAAGAGTCGTCTGCGCAGTTTGCAGTGCACATTAGAGCTCAAGATCTTTGCCTTTGGCTTAATTTCTATCATTTTAGACGGGGTCGGATTGGGCTTGGGCTTACGCAGTAAATGAACAGTCATGTGATGAATTTGGATTAACACGAGAAATTAATGTTTTTGTTTGTTACAAGAATAAAATCCTTCCCTGCAAAGGTAAAACAAATGATGACGGAGAAGTCAAAAAGGGCGAATTTTGACTGCTGTCAAAATTTGCCAGTTCAATAAGAACGGTCATTCTAGCCACCAAGGTATTTTGGCGGTCGCTCATACACTGCGTATTACGGTAGAGAACTAAACAGCAATTTACAGCAAGGGAGATTTACAGATGATGACAAGAAGATGACGAGGTCGTTCGCTACATTGAAACCGCTGTCATGGATAATGATATGGATGTTCTGGGCTGGTGGTAGATGAACAAACAATCCTACTCAAAACTTGCTAAATTAGCCAGAACAGCATGCATCCTGGCCAGTAGCAGCAGCAGCAGAGAAAGTGTGTTCAGTCCTGCTCAGTGAGCGCAGGACCATTTACAGTGTATTCAATAATGTTCCTTCACAAAAACACGTAGCCTAATCTTGATGAGTAAAGGATTTTCAAATTATTACTAAATATCAATTAAATCATAAAATCATAATGTAGACAGGCTAATGTTGGCATTAATCGTTTAATATTCAGCTTCACCATCACCTTAATGCCATTATGAAGAGAAGTGGCGAAGCAAATCCTGCTTTTATCTTAATTTAGTTATTGCCAAATACCCATCATAATTTATAACTTATTTTAATTTAATTGGTAAACCACTTAAACTCTGCTGCTATTTGGGGATTTCCGCCTGGATTTTGCCTACCCAAATTTAAAAGCTTCCCAAATCCACATGCAGAGGTGTAAATGCAAAAATTTGGTATCATTTTATAGAAAACCCTTTGAATTTTCATAAAACACTATTGAAAGTGTTTAAAATAACTGTATATGTCGTCTGTGTTATAATAAACACCTAAAAAAAGAGGTGCTTTTTGTATTTTTTTTATAAACTCAAATTTGAAAGTGTACCTTTTAGGTTCTGTGTGGTCTAGCGTGCTGTAATTAATTTTAGTGGTTCCTGCACATGTCTGTAATCATAGGAAAAAAGAAAAAGGTCTCTACCATAATCTATGCAAAAGTTATTGCATTCCAACTGATGAGAGGTGCTGTACAAGCCACAGAGACCGATCCTTGTTTACATATTTCACTATTCTTTTGTTTGATCAAACATAATTCACTGTGTTTGGACCACCTAAGACATATAAAAGGATTACTTATGCACATCACCTCAAAAACAGAGGAGAATGGCCCTGAAGCGCACAGCATAAGGTAAGAGATGACAGCTGTCTGTGCTATCTGGGGCTGCTTATCGATCATGAATGTATTGTTTACATTTCTGCGCCATGGAAACACCACAATTCATTCAACAACTGTTTGGCATATGAATATAATTCAGTAAAAAGAATGCTAGCACCGTATGAGCACCGGCAAGAGCTTTCATTTGAGCTATAACTTGTACATGTGTCATATAAAAAAATATGAAAATGAACCAATGTAAAATACCCAGCTCGGGTATCCAAAATACTGTGTATTTAAGTGTAAATAACTTTTAAACAGTAGAATAAAAGCCAAAGTGATGCATATGTGCATAAAATATAGATTCTACACTTTCAAACGACACCACTTACGGGGGTCTGGTGCAACACAAGCCCTTTAAATCTGAACGCAAAAGTCGATGACGTCACGGACCCGGTACCGGGTCCGCAGAGTTTAAGTGGTTCAGAAATCATTTTTTTCATTGGTGTGTTGGCCAATTTACAGGCTAAGTGTCTGTACCCAGGCCTATTTAGGGTGCTGAGATGTTACGATGTTGCAAAGGACTTAATTTATTTCTTTGTTCCAACTTCCAAGTGGCCTATGGTCTACGTTTGTCATGAATAAATTATATTCAAACACATTCAAACGACTCTTTCATGAAAAAAGGCATGAGAGCTGTGTGCCTGTGCACATTTAGATAATGTCAGGCTTTAAATGGGTTCGGGCTTTTAAAAAGCTGTCAATCAAAATGTACTTGTTGGGCTCGAGCCGAATTCTGTTGCACGTTGCTCTGTTTTGTGTCGGATTGCAAAAAACTAAGTAGCTCAACACTACTGAAGTCTAGTGTCGTTTCTTGTCAACAATGTCTGTGACTCTGAACTTTTATAAAAAAATAAATTCTTACTCCTCCAAGTGCAACTAACACCGCATGGCTGTACAGTTGTTCTGCATGCGGAATCCGGAAGGGCAGGTTGCGTTACGCATAGTGCGTAAATATTATCGAACAATTATCAAACTGTAGGGGTGTCTACACTGGTCTCACAGTTCAGTTCGGTTATGATTATCATGCCATCGATTCTGTTCAATTCCATATCTCGGTGCATTGACGATGCTTTCCACACACAATTAGATTTTTTTTTTCACAACACAAGAATTTTTAAAATTAAAATCTATAAATATAATAATATTTATATGTCCTTTAATACAGCAGTCAGATATATGAACTGTATCTTTAATTTGACCTGTTCAAAGAAAACACTCTATCTGAATGTATCAAACAAAACTCCAACACATGCACAGAAGACAGAAGGAGCATTTATAGCAAATAAACTAACGTAAATATTATCCCGCTTGCTTTTTGAGCGCTGTCAAGCGAGGTCTTACACCCCTATGATTGGTTATTCTTCACCTGCTCAACAGAAAGGGCTGCGATTGGCTTTAGAAATGAAAGAGCCGTTCACTGATGAGTGAAGGGGAAGATCAGCCATGGTTACAGTCTATATGCGCATAATACGAGGTTAACGCAGGTAATCCGTAATAGACACGGTGGAGAAAACTCGCACCTCAGGCAAGTGTCAGGATGCACAAATATTGCTTTAACAGCCAAGAGGAAAGAAAAAGTTACCTCACAAACACGCCAGCGGGTCAAATGTCTAAAGTGAGAGAGAGAGGGGCAGAGATGGATTTTTACAGCATTTCTCCATAGTAGTGAAATAGCGGCTCATGTGCTTGTGCCTTCTTCAGTGTCAGTGAAAGGCAGTCCAGCAAACTCACAAGCAGTTGAACTGTGCATAATTATCTACCGTTTTATTTACTCGCCGTCGCCTCCTTCACCATATTCTATAGCGACGTCACGCATAGGAGATAAATGACGTCAGTACATAATAACCGGTTATAATCTTTTACTGAACTGATATCGAATTGTCCCCATCTGCATCGCAGTGCACCGAAGAAACAATTAATTTTGACACTCCTATCGAACTGTCATTATCGTTTTATCAAAAAATATATATTGTTATGATTATCGTTATTGAATTATCGCCTAGCATTATTTTAAGTAATATTCTTTAAAGTGATAGTTCACCCCAAAATTTTAATTGATCACTTTTTACTTTCCTTTAAATGGTTCCAAACCTTAATCAGTTTCTTTATTTTGTTGAACACTAAATAAGACATTTTAAAGAAAGTTATAAACTTATAAATAGGCCCACACTGAATCTGCACGCACAGATTTCTGCAGATTTTTAGCCCATCATTAATTCTGTTTGTTTACTTGTGTAAATGTGTGTAAATTTATATTTATTCAGTTTAAGTTAATTACAGTAATATTATTGAATAATATGACAATGTTAATCTGATTTATGTACAATCCAGTTTGTACAGTAATGTTTTCTGTCTTTTAGTACAGGGGTTCCCAAACTTTTCAGCCCGCGACCCCTAAAATAACAATGCCAGTGACTCGCGACCCCCAATATCCTCTGAGGTGGTTATAAATACAGAAAACTTGCATGCAATGGCGCGCACACACACACCAATAGATCCAAGTCTATTTTTCGTTTAATTTTTTTTTATGCATGTCAGTGCTGTAAATGGGCCAGAAAGTTTAACCTGGTGTTATGAAATCAATCTGCTGCATCTGACGCTATTGCTGTCTTTAATATAATGTAATTACCCCAGGGGTCGCAATCCAGTAGAACTAGTAAATAAGCTACTATAATAACTATAAACGACAGTTTTTTTTCCTCTTCGGGTGGTTATGGATAAAATATGGTCATTCTTATGGCCTAATAATAATAAGTAGATTTTTGGAAATCAACAGGCGACCCCCCCTTCATTGTTCCGCGACCCCTCAAGGGGTCCCGACCCCCACTTTGAGAACCACTGTTTTAGTAGATATATTATATGAGAGACTTGCTTTGTTTATCAAATAACGTGGATCTAATTGGATTTGCATTGTAAAAATTAAATAAAAGTGGTAAAAGGTATTACTTTTTTTTCATATAATAAGGTTTTAGTTATGATACTCCCAAAATAATTCTGCATAAATCAGCAAATTTTTAACACAAATCTGCACAGAAATAGCAAAAAATGTCTGCAAATTCCGTCTGGTCCTACTCATAACCATCAACTTAAATAGTATTTGCTTTTCCTTCTATGGAAGGCAATAGTTATAAGTTTTCTGCTTTCATTAAAATATATTCTTTAGTGTTCAACAGGAGAAAGAAACTCTAAAGGAGAGTGGTTGATGAAAGGATTATAACTCTTGGGTGAACAATCCCCTTTATCAGTAACAAAATGACCAGTTGTGTAATAATCAACCTTACTTTAATCTTGAAGTCCCGGACGAGACCCTTTTCCTTGTTCAGTCTGTCCTTCTCATCTTTTTTGGCCTGGATCTTTTTCCTCTGCTCCAGGAAGAGAGAAGCCAAGCTCCCGTCCAGCTTCATCATGGCTGCATCATCCAGCTCCTCGTCATCGCTGCCGTCCTCTTCAGTGGCCTAAATAAAACAAATAAGACTTTTTCAAGACAAAATATTATAGGAAATACTGCAAAAAATTCCTTGCTCATTTGGGAAATATTTGAAGACAAAAAAACAAAAACAAAAACAAGAAGGCTATTAATATTGACTGTATGTGATTATGTTGAATGTAATTATGTGAAGCCACAGAGTAATTTCCACTTGTGGATAATAAAGAAAGTCTAATAAAACATCATACCAAAGCATTCTGGCCCTGCAGAACCTTCATCAACTCCAACCGGAAGTTCTGATCCACTTCTTGTCCTTCCTCCATGGCTTCATCTTCCTCTTCATCATCTGAAGAATCAGAGCTTTCTTCACCCTGACATAAATTGAGAGAGATTTGAGATTTAGCACATTTGTTGATACTTTTTTTCTCTCATGGCATTATATATTTCATCTCACCTCCTCGCCCCCCTCTTCATCATCATCATCATCATCATCATCACCCTCATCATTATCATCATCTTCTTCTTCATCATCATCATCCTCCTCTTTTAGCTTTCTCTTTTTGTCATCTGTCACCACAACACCACTTTCATCCTCATCCTTGTTCGGGTCCAAAACCTAAAATGAAAAAGTTTCGAAATATCAACAAGAAGCAATACAGACCTTCTTATTTTATATTTCTTACTTTATTTATACCAATACTATACTTATTCAATGATTTGTGCAAAAATAAACAGATGAATAAATAAAAATTATAGACTAAATATTAAAGAAAAAAAAGTTACTAAAATAAAATTGTAATATGAATTAATGTTAAAGAAATATTTTGTTGAAATACTAAACAAAAAGAGAAACTAAACTTACAAAATGATTTAATTAAACAACTTTATTAAATGTTACTGAATTACCAACACAAATGAAATAACGTATAAATTACAGGCTTAATTGTTTTTAGATGTATATAGTTAAAGTCAGAATTATTAGACACTCCGTAAAGGCTTAACTAGGTTAATTAAGTTAACTAGGCAGGTTAGGGTAATTAGGCAAGTTACTGTATAATGATGGTTTGTTCTGTTGACTCAAAAAATATAAAGCTTAAAGGGGCTAATAAAAATTCAAAGAGGAACTAATAATTCTGACTTCAACTATATATATATATATATATATATATATATATATATATATACACTAATATATATTAGTCGTTGATCACTAGAGTGAATCTGATTAATGTTAGCTTTACATCTAACTTTCAGGCACCTGTAGAGTTAATGTGCTCGAGTTGAAAGTCAAACCGGTGAGCCGTCTGATGTATATATGCATATATGTGTCTATGTGTATATATATATATATATATATATATATATATATATATATATATATATACATACAACAGTTCTGTCTGGTTCTCGAATCTGATTGGCTGATAGCAGTGATATATTTAAGTAATATCAGCACCCGTACAGCCTCTTTACCCTTTGTGTATTAAGCCTGATTTATACTTCTGCGTTAAGTGACCAGCGTAACCCACGGCGCATGCAACGTGCGTAGCTGTGCATTTATACTTCTGCGCGCTGTCTCTGTTGGTCTGAATTAACACTTCCGAAACGCTAGTTGGCAGTGAGGTGTAAATGTTCCTCTGTGTCGAGTTTCTTCACTGCTGTTTTGCTTTTCCTAAACGCTTCCTGGATGTACAAGTGGCTCAAACTCGCTCATTTTGAGCGACGTGTAGTTACAATTTTTGAGAGGTGCACGTCAGCGACGGCGACGGCAAAGGGCTATGCGTCAGCGCCGTAGCATACGCCGGCGTTTGATGCAGAAGTATAAATCAGCCTTTACTCCGCCTACATACAGCCAGCAAAAAGCAGACACTACAGATCTAAAGTTTAAAAGATGCTTGCTCAGCTGTTTAACTGTCAGCTTATGATTTGAATCCAACGTGGAAGAAAGTAGTTCCTCAAACAAAAGGGTTTTTGAGACTCTCCATGTTAGATTTTGTTTTTATATACACAATTATGCCGTCAAACTGCTGTTTAAACGCAATATCACACTCGTAGTAGTGCGATATGGCTGTATATCGGCACTGGTGGGGGCACTGCGGCCTCGTGCTAACGCACGCCTCCCACCAGTGCCGATATACAGCCATATTACACTGCTACTCGTGTGATATTGCTCATATATAAACAAAGTTATTAATACTATACTGAAAAAAATATATATCACAGCAAAACAAAATACTGCAATGCAGATTTTTCCAATATCGTGCAGCCCTAGTGTGATTTGTATCGTTTCGGGACATGAGTCTATCATCACACCCCTGACAGTATGTAAATAACACTCAAACATTGCAGGGAACCAGTCATCAGTCTCTTACATTCAGGATGGAGCTCAGGGCTGCTTGTGTGAGGTGAGGACAGATGCGGCCAAACACAGTTTTACACACACTGCGAACCAGCCGACTAGGCTGAGACACAAGAGACAACAGGATCTCAACAATCACCTCCACCCAGTGCGGCTCATCAGCTGAAACACACACATGCACACGCGCACACACACACACTCACAAAATCAGTACATAAACATTGAACAGTCCCATTCAATAACTATTTGTTTCACTAATTAAATAATTTGTCAAAAAATATAAAATAATGTTTAACTCTAAGCACTCTATATTTATATATTATATATTCATTTTATTTTTAAGCTTTTTTTTTATTGAATTTAGATTTTTTTTGTCCATAACATTTAATGATTGATTACAGTTTTTCCACTTGCTATGGGAAACACACAAATTAAACAAAATCACACAACACATGTATGTGCATTTATTATATGTATTTTGGATTTTTCTTTTCACCATAGCCAGTTGAAAAACAATGTTAATCGAGTCACTGAATGCTATGGAAAAAAAAATTAAATGATCATAAAATAATAAAAAAAATAAAATGTATTAATTTGTAAAATTTAATTCAATTTTGATCATTTTTTTTTCATTTTTCAACATTTAATAATTGGTTCAATTAGTTTTTACTTGCTATGGGATTCAACAATTAAATTACACAAATTATACAAAATTAATCAGTATGCCTATGTATATTATATGTATTTTGCTATTTTTAATGCTTGAATTTTTTTCTCCATAGGAAGATGTAAATATAATAATGGAATCATTCAATGATATAGAAAAAAGAAATTATCATGAATAAATTAAGATATTTGACAAGATATTTTCAAGACACTTCTATACAGCTTAAAGTGACGTTTAAAGGCTTAACTAGGTTAATAAGGCTAACTAGGCAGGTTAGGGTAATTAGGCAAGTTATTGTATAATGATGGTTTGTTCTGTAGACTATCGAAAATAATATAGCTTAATGGGGCTAGTAATTTTGACCTTAAAATGGTGTTTAACAATTAAAAACTAATTTTATTCTAGCTGAAATAAAACAATTAAGAATTTCTCTAGAACAGTGTTCTCAAACTGTGGTACGTGTACCACTAGTGGTACGTGGGCTTCCTTCTAGTGGTACACGGATGAATCAAATATGTCATATGTACATGCTACATATATTTAAATAAATTATCAAAAATGATTTATATATGAATATGATGACATAAAGCCTATATTTATGAGGTCCAGGCAACTGATAAACCTTTTTTCTTTTTTTTAATTTTTAAGAACAGTAACCTTTCATTTTTAACTTTTAAAAGCACATTTTAATTAAAACGTTCTTAATATTAGGAACTAAAATGCCTCGTTTTTGAACTGTACAGAGCTTTAGCTGCTTTACTGGACCTAATACGCTACTGTATTTCAATATTGCTCATTATGGTGGTACTAGCAAAGACAACTTTTTTCTAAGTTGGTACTTGATGAAAAACGTTTGAGAACCACTGCTCTAGAAGACAAAATATTATCAGACATACTGTGAAAATTTTCCTGCTCTGTTAAACATCACTTGAGAAATATTGCAAAAGGGAAAAAAAATCTAGTCTTTTTTAGGTTTCTTTTTTAGTTATATATATATATATATATATATATATATATATATATATATATATATATATATATATATATATATATATATATATATATATATATATATAAAATAAATTTTAATAAAATAAATTGTATTTTTTTATTCTCATTTAATTTAATTTTGATAAGTTTTCCATAATATTTAACAATGAATTATATATATTTTTTAATTGCCATAGAAAAATAAAATCCACAATTAAATTACACAATTCAAAATAAAATACACAACATTTATGTATATTTGTTACAAGTATTTGGCCATTTTTAATGCATTAATTTAATTAAGTTAAAAGAAAAGCAACAATGGGATAATTGAATGTTATGGGGAAAAATTTGCTACAGAGAAAAATCCTTAATTAAATTACACAAATTAAACAAAAAATATATATATATTTATTATATGTATTTTTCCATTTTTAATGAGTGGATTTTTTCCCAAAGCAAGAAAAAAAATGGAAAAGAAAAAAAAATAATAACAAAAATAGTATATAAAAAGCTTAGCTGTTTTACATGTGGCAAAAACCTTTTTTTTAATCACAAATCTAAAACAGCAGTCTTTAACTGCAGAGAATGGCTTAAACTCACTTGCTTTCTTCTTTTTGGATTTCTTAGCCTGAGCTTTCTCCATGCAGGTCTGCAAATCCTTCAACAGGTCCAAACTTTCTTCTGGAGACTGAAGTGAAGACAAAAACATGAACATTTCTGACTTGATCACAACAAACAGCCTTCAAGACTTTCTAAAAATCACCCCACATACAATCCAATATATTCATCCCCCATTCAATCCAATATATTCATCCCCCATTCAATCCAATATATTCATCCCCCATTCAATCCAATATATTCATCCCCCATTCAATCCAATATATTCATCCCCCATTCAATCCAATATATTCATCCCCCATTCAATTTAATGTATATATTTGAGTTGGAGTTATTTCATTGTATTAATTAGTTAGTACACATTTCTTTTTATTTATTTTATTGTGTAAAAGCGTGACAACCTACATTCACATTTATAGATTTAGTTAGATGCTAATTTTCTGATTGACATTATAAGAATCTCTTCCATGTTCAATGCTTAACCAAAAACTTTTTTAAATTATCTAATTTTTATTACATGTCATTTTTTTTTTTTTACTCATAGTACCGCATTTCATTTTTCATATTCGTTTACATGATCAAATGTCAATTTTGTTGTTGTCAATTCAATTTTAATTACTACACAAGCTATATTGCTTTCATTTATCTCTTTAAACCAAATTTGAATCATCTCATTTAAGTCAATTTTGTGTTGCTTAACTAATATTACATTCTTTAAACAATTTTATTAAGGTACTTATTTAAATCACATTTGCTTGTATTTTAGAGTATAGGGGTTTATTATTAATATTTAATTAACAACAAATAATTTATTAAACTATATTTAATTATTAATAATAATAATAATACATTTTATTTGCAATCCACTTTTCTTAGACTCAAAGTGCCACAAGACGAAATACTAACAATACAAGGCAAGCAGAAACAGCACAACAATAAAAAGATGCAATAAAACAATAACGCCTCAATCACATGGGGCTTCAGCTTCAATGCTTCACATTCACTTTGAATGGGTGACATCAGCCGTTGCAGAACTGCATTGTGGATCCATCGGCGCCGCTTCAGTGGTTTTGCTTGCTGCAGAAGTTGGTACTTTCTTAACTTTAAGCGCTGACATGGGCGTCAGCCAATCAGATCGCTGTATGCAAATACACAAGCTCAGACAGTAGCTGATTGCTGACTAATTTCACTGGCTGACACTGCTATGATGATCGCGTCAGCCTAAACTTAAGACATGAACTCTGTCCAAGCGTTGACGCTGAAGCCGCATGTGAATTGGGTGTAAGATTACAGTATGGATGTTTTTAAAATCTCAGTATTGTTCGGTACCAAATTCCAGTGTACTGACAACACTATGTGGGATTCAACTGAAAAAATGTTTCTGAAACCCTGATCTACTGATCAAACAAAATGAAGGCTCAAACCGTGAACATCTGGATCCCAATGAGCAGGAACAGCTGCTGGAAGGCCGTGTGTTCGGGTGAGGATGCTGTCTTTGCCTTTTTTCTCAAAGCCTCCACTGACTCCAGCACACTGAACACAAGAACACACACACAAATTAACCAAAAAACATCTTCGTTCGCTCCTTACTATGGCTGGGCATTTAAACGCACTTGAGTAAATCGACTGATGTAGTTGTCATGCACATATTGTCAGCAAAGCAGTTGTGTAACATTTCTGTTTTTGTGTAAACAGCCACGCAAACAGCTGTCATTATTCACAGAACAAATATCTCAATGCCATTCGTTCATTTTCTTGTCGGCTCAGTCCCTTTATTAATCTGGGGCCGCCACAGCAGAATGAACCGCCAACTTATCCAGTACGTTTTTAAGGCAAGGCAAGGCAAGGCAAGTTTATTTATATAGCACATTTCATACACAGTGGCAATTCAAAGTGCTTTACATAAACAAGAATAAAAGAAACACGTAAAAAAATAAAATAAAAATAAAAACAAATAATAAAACTGATTAAAAAACATAAAAACAGGTAAAATGTGATATAAAAGAATGAAGAAGAAGAGAAAAACATAATAGTGCAATCTGCACTTTTACACAGCGGATGCCTTTCCAGCCGCAACCCATCTCTGGGAAACATCCACAAACACTCATTCGCACGCTCTCATACAGTACGGGCAATTTAGCCTACCCAATTCACCTGTACTTCATGTCTTTGGACTGTGGGGGAAACCGGAGCACCCGGAGGAAACCCACGCGAAGGCAGGGAGAACCAGCGACCATGAGGTAACAGCACTACCTACTGCGCCACTGCTTCGACTTATCTCAATGCCGTTATCTGCTTATTAAATTGACTTTAATTTTAAACATGACTTTGTGTAGCTTGCCAGTGAACTAGAGCTCTGTGTAGTAAATGCTGCTCCATCAGAAAGCACCTGAGGGAAGTTTACTAGAACTAGCTTTACTGACAAAATGTGCATGAAAATTGTCTTCAATTAATCACAAAGCCCTACTTTTTTCACTTTGACATTTAACAGGTGATAATGTGGGGAAAGCGTCATGCTTCTGTTGTGTTTTGCAGGAATGTTCACCTGTCCCAGCCCTGTCTCTGCTCTGGACTGAAGCTCTGAAGACTCTTGACATATTTGTTCTGGTTGAGCAGCATGGAGGCGAACTGAAACACACTGTAGATCCACATGCTTCCGTCTGCTTGAACTCCCACAATCCTCCTGAAGTTCAACCCCTGCACCTCCACTGATTCTCCCAACACCATCATTGAGTTTAGGACCTGTAGGAGACTGAATAAGACGACAGATACACTAATAAAGTGGATTTATTATTTTTTCTTCTGACAACTGGCTTTTTGTCCACATGGGTTTGTTTTATATCCTTGAAGGAGGAAATATTATGACAAGGTTTTAGCCGGTGTCAGATTTTCTTGTTGCCATTAATTGCTAAAAGCTTTTATCATGAAATACGGTATTATAACAATATTGATGCCAAAAAGAATTAGTTTAACAGGTTTATTAAACAAAATTGATGCCAATAAAGGTTAGTTTAACAGGTTTAATAATAAAAAAAATACTTTGAGTGCTGTGGTATTATAAATACAATCACTGGCCACTTTATTAGGTACACCTGTCCAACTGCTCGTTAACATACATTTTTAATCAGCCAATCACATGGCAGCAACTCAATGCATTTAGGCATGTAGACATGGTCAAGACGATCTGCTGCAGTTCAAATTGAGCATCAGAATGGGGAAGAAAGGGGATTTAAGAGACTTTGAACGTGGCATGGTTGATGGTGTCAAATAGTTTCTGAATATTTCAGAAACTGCTGATCTACTGGGATTTTCACGCACAACCATTTCTAGGGTTTACAGAGAATTGTCAGTGTTACGGTTAATTAAGATGGAAACACTAAGGTTAAAGAAACATTTAAAACTTATGACTCTTTATGAATGGTGGCGGCAATGGACCAGACAAACAACCAAATTATGCCAAAATAAAAAAAGAGAAAATATCCAGTAAGTGGTATGCAGAAGAGCATCTCTGAACGCACAGAACTACAGCAGCAGAAGACCACACCGGGTGCCACTCCTGCCAGCTAAGAACAGGAAACTGAGGCTACAATTCACACAGACTCACCAAAATTGAACAATAGAAGATTGGAGAAATGTTGCCTGATCTGATGAGTCTCGATTTCTGCTGTGACATTCAGATGGTAGGTTAAGAATTTGGCATCAACAACATCAAAGTTTAGATCCATCCTGCCTTGTATCAACGGTTCAGGCTGGCGTGGTGGTGTAATGGTGTGGGGGATTTTTTCTTCTCACACTTTGGGCCCATTCGTACTAATTGAGCATTGTGTCAACGCAACAGTATTGTTGGTGACCATGTTTTTGCTTTTATGACCACAGTGTACCCATCTTCTGATAGCCACTTCCAGCAGCATAACACGCCATGTCAGAAATCAAATAATCTCAGACTGGTTTCTTGAACATGACAATGAGTTCACTGCACTAAAATGGCCTCCACAGTCACCAAATCTCAATCCAATTGAGCACCTTTGGGATGTGGTGGAACGGGAGATTCGCATCATGTATCTGCAGCCGACTAATTTGCAGCAACGGTGTGATGCCATCATGTCAATATGGACCAAAATATCTGAGGAATAATTCCAGTACGAAGGATTAAGGGAGTTCTGAAGGCAAAAGAGAGTCCAAGCCGGTACTAGTAAGGTGTACCTAATAAAGTGGCCGTTGAGAGTACATGTTAGAAGTAAATTAAAGTCAAGCAAATTAAATTGCAAAATGACAACCAAGTACAATGAACATTTTATAATAAAATCTCATTTTTAAAACTTAATGCATTTAAATTTACGGTGAGTAATAAGATATTAATATATAAAAAATAAAAATAAAATGTTTTGGTTATTAAATGTTAACAACTAATAAAATGTTGTCCTTTTTTTACGTTTTAATTAACTTCAACTTATTAATATGGTACATGATTGTGTCTTTTTAATGTGTTACTAGCAATTAACATACAAATAATTATAAATCCAACTCTATTTTTGTACCCCTTCCCCTTTCAAACAAAGTGTGAAGGGGAAGGGCTTCAAAATTTACCCCTAAAAAATGGGACAGAAATACAGCACCTTCACACTATTGCAATCTCTTGCTTCATATAAGATCAGATGATCGCAACTGCTGGAGTGATTCCAGTTGTGTTACTTTTTGTCATTTATCTTCAGGAAATCACTGAAGGCATATATTACGTTATCATAACAATCTAATGTGGCAAAAAAACAACATTAACATTATAGCAGACACTGTAAAAAGCTCATTCCCAGCCCCTAGACTTTTCTGACAGGGTATTCGAGTGTCAGAATGTTGTGGGACTGCTAAACAGGAGTACTATTATGGATTATAGTTAGCAAAATTTAGCGTTATTAATTTTAGCGTTTTTTTATTTAAGCATGACTGTAAAACACGAACACAGTTATAAATATATAAAAACAATTTTGTCATAGAAATTCGTAATAATGACAAAAAAAAAATACTAATTTGTGCATCTCCAGACTTCCGGGTGCAGCTTTGCAGCAGTTGTGGTTGGTGTATTCTGGGAAATTTTCTTACCCCTTGGTTTTGAGTGTGGTCCTGAAAGATCTCTTGAGAGCTATCTAGCCCTCCCCCTTAGCTCTACGCCATCAAAATAAAGAGAATTGGGACACCCCTACCCCTTCACGTTAACGCGCAAAACGAGGGGTATGGGGTAAGGGGCAGAATTAGGATTGGGCCTAACTAAACTACAAACTAAGAAATGTTTCTGTAGCTATAATTAGAGTAAGTTTGAATAAATTAACTGATATTGATAAATGTCTTCCTGTACAGAGTACAGAACAAAAGTCCTATAAATAGTCACAGAATTTCAAAGTCATAGGCTAGATTATCATGTGAACACTTGCAAATAAATCACCTATATAAACACCACTGCTAATAAAACAATCTAAACATTCTTAAGACACAGTTTAAATAATAAATAATAAGACGTCTTTCTCGTCTGCGTCTGCGTTTGTTTTGCCTCTGTGAAAATCAGCGCATGCCCAAACAGAAACTCCCATATTTATGCAATTTTTTTTCTTTCCCTCCCCCAACACTCCCATCTAAACAGAGCTGGACTCACCCACTTTCCTGACTTTTTCCAAACTATAAGTCTGAAAACACCCTGCTGAGACGGGGGAGTTTCATTGCCCTATATTTACTCCATAAATATTACTGTTTAAAACAAAATCCACACTAAAAGCTTAATAAAAAAAATAATAAAATAGAAAGATTTGTCTAAAAAAAAAAAAAAATGACGTTACAGGTCTTCGGTCACTTTTAACCGGGATGGACACCAGTGTATAATGAACAATCCATGAGATATGTTAAGTTAAATGTCATTTCAACATATTCTGAGGACACTTTTTGATTTAATTTAAAATCAAATTTTAAAAATAATTGAAAGAGATGAACAAAATTATTAACCAAACTCAGACCTGTAGAAGCCTGAAACGACGGCGGTACGTGTTTGCTGATTGATGGGTACTGATAGAGCCTGTGTGGTTTCTGGGATTTCTGAGGTGGGTTTTTTCACCTCAAAGAAGGCGTGGAAGAAAATAAACCTGCAGGAGAAGGACACAGTGTCACAATGCCATCAGTTTACACTATTATAGCAGCCATAGAGGTCATGTAGAGAGAAATATAAAGATGAGTTACCTGACCACCTTCATGACAAGAGCCTCCTGTTTTTTAGTCTGTTGGTTTTCCACAATGAAAGTGAGACGAGGAATGATCCATTTACGAAATCTGGACACACAGCTCTCACTCCTAAAGCATGACATAAAACGAAGCGTGAATGTACTGTGGGGAATACAAATGTATGTAATCAAGTTTCAAATTAACAATAATACATATAACTGAAAAGTTATTTTCTTTGGCTTTGCTTTCATTCAAAACTCTATCAGGAGTCTCCTGGTTTGGGTTCTGAAATTTCCTACAATATATTTCGTAATAATAAAGATTTTTTGTACTGGACCCCAAGTAATCATTTATATGATGGAAAAAAACACAGCAAATTTATTATGTTTATTTATTAAACCATATAATTATTTAGTATTGGTTTTTACTAGGAAACCACTAAAATTAAAAATGTATGAATAAAAATCAGCCAAAAAAAAATTTTTGTGTTTAGTGTGCTGGTTTTACACTCCCTTTATTGATATCATATTAAGTCAAGTGGTTTTCACACCGAACGCAGAAAGCTCTGTGCAAAAAAACTATTAATTTAAATGGCTTTTGGTGCTTAAGGGTAATTAGTTATTATATACAAGTACAACTTAAATTACCTTATATCTTTTTATAAAATAAATAATAATTATAACCATTACAGAGCATTTTTGTTTTTTTTGGCCAAGTGCGCCCAGAATTTTTTATTATTATTTGATGAAAATATATTCATACATTTTATCATAGCAGGGTTTCTGCAGATATCATAATGTGAAATTTAAGACTTTAAGACCTTTTTTAGACCATTAAGTGTTAAATTTAAGACCTGTACCACAATATCAAAAACGTGCATACACATCAAGAGAAAATGCAAAATCATACAATTAGTGGCAGAATAAATGTATTCAAATTGAACAGTATTGAAGACAGGTTAGATGCATCATTGAACTACAGAAAAAACAAACAAACATCCTAAGGCCGATAAATACTTTCGCCTGGCGCCACATACCGCACCTCCGCTGACTGCGTGTGCACCTCAAACAGACTAATTATTTTAGTCCAAACAAACTAATTATTTTTTATAATCTATTATATTGATTATAAAGATTTTTATAACCATTCTAGATTTTTTAAATCAAACTTTGATGCATCACTTGCTTTTGTATATATCTTGAACAGTTCTCCCTATTAAAGTTAAATATTAATAGGTTGCTCTAAAATTATATTTTTTTATGGAAAGAATAAAAGCAAAAAAAAAAAATAAAGTACACTTACTAATACTGACGTTTTTTTTTATTATTTTGCCAACTTAATTCACACATTACTGTCTGGCTAGTGTCTGTCATCTACTTATAAGCAGGGCCAGAAGGAATCTGCGGACATTTTTTGCTATTTCTGCGGAGAATTTTGGTAAAAATCTGCGGATTTCTGCGGAATTATTTTGGGAGTATTCAGCGGAGTATCATAACTAAAACCTTAATATATTAAATAAAAAGTAATAAATTACTGAATAAAAACTGAATAAATTCTGATTTACACATTTACTCAAATAAATAAACAGAATTAATGAAAGCCCAAAAATCTGTGGAATTCTGCAGAAAATCTGCTGAATTCTGCACGCGCAGATTCCGTGTGGGCCTACTTATAAGCTAAAAAGGCAATAATCGTCCAACCATTATCAACAATAAAGCCTAGTAAAACAGGGCATCAGTATCTTGTAAACTGATAGGTTCAAATATTCTTATCCAGTTATCAAAGAAATAATTTGTTCCTTAATTATAGTTTTGTAACTATTAAATTGTTTTAAATTCTAAATTGTAATTTAAACATGAGTGAAAAACCTATGAATGGTGGAGAAACGTGTTCTGTATACGTGTACCTGGGTCTCCACTTTTGCCATGGCCTCTTTTGATTTTAACAAACTTATGCCTCAGGTTTTTCCAAACTGTTGCAATTTCTAGCAAAGAATTATTGTACATCTGGTTAGCCCTATGAACACGCATTAACGTATCATAAAGATGTCTGTACAGTCATACCTATTTAAAAAAAAAAGTGATTCATATTCAACTCAAATGAAAGGTGGCGCCGCACAAACTGTTCGCTCGTGTCTCAAAACATTTCATGTGCTCCAAATTCGTGTCAAAACAATTCTCCATGAAACACAGATTTCGTGTCGCGTGCGCCCAAAGTGAACCACCGCAAAAACAGTGATGACGTCACATTTGCCGCGCACACCAATAACAGAAAGCTGATTGGCTATTTCATGTTTATCGAAATTTAAGATTTCGATTTTTACATTTTAGACTTGTTAAGACCCTGCGGAAACCCTGTATATTCATATTGACCTAATTCTAAAATGCGGAAGTGCGCCTGTTTTCGCGATTGTCTTAGAACTTCCGATTCAGTCGCCTATGGGAGAAATGACTAGGAATAATAAACGGCAGAAAACTGTCAAACTACTTGCTCTACAAACAAGTGTTTGCATGACTATACAGACCAAGTAGAATAATATAATAAGCAAATATCAATTTGCAACATCAAGCAGCGTACTGAGCAGTTTTTAACGTCAAAAAATGACTGGAAGTGAATGAGATCGGAAGTCTCAAGCCAAAAAGTTTCAAATGGCAACGCCCGCTCGTCAGCGGAGAATAAGGTGAATAGAACTAAAATAAACAAACATAATGAGCAAAACATTTAAAAGAAACATTTCAATTCTGCTTCACTCGCAAACATAAACACTAAACAAAATGTACAATTACGATACAAAACTATAAAAATAAAACATTATTTTTATTCTTTCATTTATTCGCATAATTGTTTCCTATTTTTTGTTTGTGGGGTCTATTTGGGTTGGGATTAAGGTAATGCTATGATTGTTTACATAACTGGATTCCATTATTATGCTGTATGTTTAAAACCAGCAGATTATACTGGATGTCACGCCATGTAAAGTAGCTGCTTAATTTTTAAAAAAAAAATAAATAATAATGATTAATTACAAAAAAAAATGTTGGCATTGAGGGGGAATAGGATCAGGAAAAGGTCCACGAGCTGAGATTCAAACTTCGGGCACTCAGAGTGCTGTTGTGCTACATGTCAGCACACTAACCACTGGGCTATCAGTGCCGACAGCTCATTTAGCAATCAAAAACTAAATATTTTAATCATTTAAAAATAAAATGGCCTCCATATAAAAATCCTAACATTATTAAATAATGACTGGCGTTGCCAAAGTTAGTGAAAGTTTGCATTTTTCAAACAAAACCTCAAATCTTGACGTCTTTACAGTAAAAACACATCATAAACTCACTCTACTGCTGCCTCCTGGTTTCCTTTCTGTCTGCGTGTGCTGAAGTCCAGGCAGTTCTCCAGCTGGGGTTTGCAGAAGGCCTCAATCAGCCAGTCCACGTACCGCTGCACCGCAGACGGATGCATGTTCTCCAGGGCCTTCCAGTAGGACGGGACCACAGGATTACCCTGGTTAGTGAGCTGTGTGAAGCCGAGCACCACGACCAGCTGTTTATCAGGGTCTGTGCAGCTCTGCATGAACTCCCCGACATACCCCGCCATTTCTGGAGCAAACTTAAATCTGTCTGGCATCTGAAGGGAGAAATGCAGAATAAACAGGCAATGTTGTGACCACCGTTGGATAAGGTACTTCCAACAAAGTAATTATTTATTTAATCATGTAATTAGTATTCAAAAGTACTTTTCTAATTAAACGATGCATGAAATAGCTATTTAATTACGTCACTTAATGCTACTTAAAGGCACAGTATGTAATGTTCACCACTAGAGGGTGCGTATTCATAAAGTCCTTTTTTTTTAAGATTTATTTTTGGCCTTTTTGCCTTTATTAGATAGGACAGTATTGAGACAGGAAGCAAAGTGGGAGAGAGAGGGGGTAGGGAAATGTCCTGACGTGCTATTACACCATATGTCGGCGCGCTAACCACTAGGCTATTGCGCCGACGCAAAGTCTGATTTTGATGACGGCCTGACTGAATGTGGACTGAGGGGAGTTGTGGTCTTCAATACATTCTATGAGACTCCAGCATTCGCTCATCAACATGATTTCTGCAGAAGCAATTGCTGAGAACAAACGAGATGCAGCATGAAATCAGCAGAGCTTTTATTGTGCCTCAGTCCAGCACTTCCTGTTCTTCAGCTCGTGATCATGAGGCTCTGTTTTATCAGAATAAACACATTATAGGCTTCAGTTTTAATGTTGCTCTGTGCAGTTGACTAAAACACAAAACATATTAAAGCATTGGTTCTCAACCTTTTTCACTGTGGGGCCCACTTCTTTCTCCGATCAATTTTTGAAGGCACACCTGTCTGACATTTTCGCTAAAATCTTTGTATGAAAAGCTTGTTTAAACCTTTATTTATAAACAAATATTATATGATGTTATACTATATTATAAAAATAAATATATATTACACTTATAGGTATATATTATACTTATAAGTATATATATATATATATATATATATATATATATATATATATATATATATACACACACACACACACACACATATATATATATATATATATATATATATATATATATATATATATATATATATATATATATATATATATATATTATTTTTATTTTTTTACATACGGCAAAAATAAACTCAATTTGAGCGAAACTTGGCCTTTTTTGGCTTCAATTTATTTAATTATTTAGGTTTTAATGTCATGTCAGCAGCATTGGCTATATTCATGGCAAAAAACATATTCTAAATATACAGTATATAATCATATCAGTTTCTTAACAAACATGCATTGTAAAAAAACAACAACAAAAAACATTAAAATAACAACACTGAAGAGTTATATGTAATATTTTAGTTAGATTAAAAATAAATATTCTAAAACTGCTCCAGAAGGCACCTTTTCAAACATTCATTCATTTTCTTTTCGCCTTTATTAATCTGGGGTCGCCACAGTGGAATGAACCATCAAGTTCAAACCATCAAACATCCAGCACATGTTTACGCAGTGGATGCCTTTCCAGCTGCAACCCATCGCTGGGAAACACCCAATCACAACGGACAATTTAGCTCACCCAATTCACCTATAGCGCATGTCTTTGGACTGTGGGGGAAACCAGAGCACCCGGAGAAATACCCACATGAAAATGGGGAGAACATGCAAACTCCACACAGAAATGCCAACTGACCAAGCCGAGGCTCGAACCAGCGACGTTCTTGCTGTGAGGTGATCGTGCTACCCACTGCGCCACCGTGATGCCCCCCTTTTCAAACATTTCACTTAAAATTTTTCCCGAATAAAAACGTTCTTTAACATCATTTAAAAATACACAGTCTATTAAAATATGTTTTATCGTCAAAAAATTCTTACACAAGTCACAAATAGGTTTTTCTTCCCCTTTCAATAAATATGCTTGCATAAGTCTTGAGCGTTTTGGCTTCAATTAAACATTTTTATATTCAAGCATTTTGATAAAAATAACCTGTTTTAGGTGAATAGTTTTACTCAGGGCTTGACATTAACTTATTTAAACACCAGCCACTGTGGCTAGTAGACTTCCAACATTGATAGCCACTCGCCAGTTTCGCCACTCATGTTGCTTCTCTCTGTCTGCTGCCAAACACAGAGCGGGGCTCCGCCCTCTTGTTATGTTGGGCAGGAATTTGAAACTAATTTTCATGTGAAGCAACACACCCCTAAAACAGCGAGCTGTGTACACGCACCCAAAATGACACTTTTGAACACATTTTAATAAACAAATCTGAATTGTGTTTTGAACTGTACCTAAACTGGCACACTCAGAAGAACCATAATATTAATATTAAATCATAAAAAAGGGTGAAATTCTCGAACCAGTGACTTTCTTGCTGTGAGGCGACAGCAATACCTACTGCGCCACTGCTTCGCCCCATACTAGGGATGTAACGGTATCAGAATTTCACGGTACGGTAATACCTCGGTATTAATGTCGCGGTACGGTATTTATTGAATCATTTACAGGAAAAAACAAAACTTATGAAAATACTCCAAAAAAGTGCCAAAAGTGTCAATGACATACAAATTAGCCATCTATCTGTAAGCTTTAAAACAGGAACTTCAATTTTAATAACAAAAAAAATTAAACCATGTAAAAAAAATAAAGTTTCAATTTAGTATTGTTGAAAACTCATCACATTCAACATTTAATCACTCACTCACTTAGATAGAGATTGGTTTAAAGGAAAATTATCATATAAATATAATCTGGTAAAAGCTGGTATCTCTGGGTATTTACAATGTCCCCTGCAACAGAAAAAAACCCTCTCATTTGGGACTGAGGTTTCTGGGACAAGAGAGATATGACTTGGCCCAGGTTGACAGCAGTGGGTAACGTTGTGCATTGTCTTTCCCCCACTTGAGAGGACAAACCATGAGTGAGATAGAGATCTCATGTCTGCATCAATCTGAACAGTGTGCTGTGTTTCTGCAGTCCCCATGACTGATTATTAGTCGTGTTCCCCAACTTGCAGGCACGTGCACACATAGGGCTCAACCTGTGCAGAGCACATGCCCTTTTTAGTCTTGGATAGAAAGTGCCCTTCCAAAATGATCAAAAGTGCCCCCACAACGCAACACACCCTCCGTCCCGCTTTACAGTACGCGCGCGACAACACAGCTGATTAGAACGCGCGCGACAACACAGCTGATAAGAACTCGCGCGTGGCGACAACAACCGCTTTAGGGTTTTCCATCGCTTTTTCATCCCCGCTTCTAGCAGCACACTCCATTTCTGCATTACTGGATCTGTAGCGACAACAGACCGCAAGGGATTATGGCCAAGCCTGGGCTGATGGGAATTGTAGTTTCCGGTACCTCCCGTTCGCTTCATTCGCCTGAGCAAATTTTCTCAGAAGACCTATAGTTTTACCGAGTCATGCGACTACGGTAATATCGAAAAAAATTAATATTGCGATATGACGGTATTTACAATACCGTTACATCCCTACCCCATACCATATATTGTCATTAACTAATTTACTCAATACATGTCTTCTTAAACACGTGCAGTATTCGGTCTAATTTATATGCCCCATGAAATGCTTTGAAATGTGCATTTTTATTGGATGTTTGACGGAATCTCAACTGAAACACAAAGAGAGGGTAGGACATAGTGTAGCTCCTCCCATTTTTTTTAAAAACAGCCAATAGCGTTTTGTTTTTCACAGCTTTGCCAGTGAGATTGGCTGAGCTCAAACGCATCAAATGAGAAGCAAACGAGAAGCGTCTTGAAGAGGGCGGGGCATGTCAGATACTAGAGAGCATTTAATTTGTCAAGTATGAGGTGACATCAAAACCGTTGATCTATTTAGCCGGTGACAAACTGCAAGCTGCGATGTTTAAATTAAGTTTTATATCTTGTAAATGTGAATTGTCACTGTTTTGGAGCACACTAGCTTATAGATATCCTAAAACACTGAAACTAACATCTAAAAAGCTTTATTTCAATTCCATGGGACCTTTAACCTTCATTAGCTGAAACATTAAAGATTAAAATGTGTGACAGACAGACCTGAGCAGACATCGTGTGTTCACCGTATTGTCTCATCACATCACCGGACAGCACAAACTGAAGCTGAGGAATGGACAGCAGCGGCAGAGACGCTCCCAGCAGACGGAAACTCAGATAACTGACAGATTCAATCAGAAAGACGTGCATTAAGGTCACAACTGTATTCTGAAGTCTTCATACAGAGTTACTCAATAAAAAAAAAGTCATTATGTAGTATCATCCTGCCATGGCTAGATGAAAATTACACACTAAACCAGCAGGTTACACTCTAACCGCACAAACGTTAAGGTTAAAGCTGGTCTCCAGAGGTAAAACTCACTGTGTGGGTCCAGGCATCTCCGACATCATGCCCGTAATGATGGCATCAGTCCAGAACATCTCAAAGTTGTCCTCTCGCAGAGAAACCTGCAGTAAATCCAGCGCCACCGCAGGCAGAATGTTCTCCTTCTTCACAGACCGGGCAGCAGTCTTTAAAACCTCCACCAGTCTGGCAAAGCACATCAAAAAAAACATCAATAAAATAATAAAGGCACAAAAAATACAGGTATCACATCTAAAGTCATTTCAACTAAACTAATTATGTTGACTAAATTCTTTCAACAAACTTCTTTCAGTCGAATAGAGGTATTTTACAGTATATATACTTTTATATCACAGAAGTAGGGTTGTGCGATTAATTGAAATCATATCGAAATCGAGATTTGGACATGCGCAATTTCCAAATCGCCCTACAGCATGATTTTCCCGCAGTGTGCTATTATCACCAATCATAATGCAGCGCGCCTAAACAGGAGGCTGAATAGGCTGCATGAATGGGGATGATGAGTTCAGCACAGGAGGACTTAAAAAAAAGTCAACATCTATGGTGTGGGATTATTTGCATAGCGGAAGGCTGATGTATCACAGAACCATGTAATTTATAAGTCAGTCATATATTGTGTCTCAAAGCGTGTGGAAAACGTGTTGCTTCCTTAAGCATTTTCAACATGCTTTGTACTCGCGTTCCTTTGTTGTTGCTCAATGACCAACAGTTTTCTCAGAGGATGACAATCTAACAAAGCATTGCTGCAGTTTGATTTATGGAGGAAATGTAAAAAGCACTGGGTGTTTGGGTGACCTGTGTTTGTCTGAGGTAATTAATCTAAAGAAATGTGAATATTCCATGCAAAGTAGGGCTGCTCGATTATGGGAAAAATCATAAATCACGATTATTTTGTTCATAATTGTAATCACGATTATTCAAAACGATTACTGCTGAAGTCAAAATTATTCAGCCTCCTCTGATTTTTTTTTCATCTAATTTTCCCAAATTTTCACAGTATTTCCTACAATGTTTTTTCTTCTGGAGAAAGTCTTATTGGTTTTATTTCGGCTACAATAAAAGCAGGTTTTAATATTTTGAACATTTATTGTGAGGCTATTTTAAGTTTAAATATTATTAGCCCTCCTAAGCAATATTTGTTGGGGATTATCTACATAACAAACCACTGTTTTACAATGACTTGCCTAATTACCCTAATTAAGCCTTTAAATAGCACTTTAACTCTTAAAGACCTAGAGGTATTTTGTGGGCACCTAATGGGCCTAACTGTTTTATTTTTTTTAAAGCAGTTTTATTGTTATTTTAGCAGTCAGCCTCAAGTGTCATTTAATATTTTAAACCGGATAACCTTAAGCTTCAATCTGTATCATTTAAAGGTCCAGTCTAAAACTTTTTTTTGGTCTAAAAACATATGAACATGTTTTTTAAAAAGTGGCAATTTCTAGTTTTTACAAAGAAAACCTCACGAGGTTTGTTTGTTTTTTTCTTTAGAATTACACGCTATGATGTTTTATACTTGCAAAATAAATTTGTCTACATCCACCATTCCCTGAGCAAGTTATAGCAATTTATTTCAATGTTATTCTAAGGCGTTTTTCAGTGAGGAAAAAATTGTGGATTTATTTACTGAAATGTATTTGCCCAAAAGTTCTGGGAATGAACTAAACAGAAAGATTGTTACAAAATAACAGAACACTGAAGCAAATTTGACTTTTTTCCAAATAATATATTTTCAGTTACCATAAACAACACCACTTACAATGAACAAACAAAAAATAAGAAATAATGAGTCAAAGTCCAAATAAACATGGTGCAAAGCCTCAGTAAAAAATTAGATATTAATATTTACTATACTATAAATAGTTGCATAACTAAACTAGATTCAATATGGACCATCCTTAGGTATTATGTGCCAGCATGGATTTGGTGTCGACCCTGCTGCTTCTCAACTTTTGCGTTGCAGACTAACAGCCGCACGTCATTTGCGTCCTTTGAAAACAGCAGGACCAGCACTTCGTCTTTGCTGTTTCACTGTTTTGTCACTTTTTTGTGCTGTTGTGTATGCAAAAGTACTTAGTATGAGAATTATTTCACGCACTGCAAAACTTTTTTTTGCGTTTTATTTAGCCGTGCGTAAATGTACAGCCTATTCTCATTTCGGGTTGTTCAAATTGCTGATTGCTGGTCCACAAAGCGAAACCTATGCTTATTGGTTGAGAGAGAGCGAGTTTGAACTAATCTGGGCATGAAGGAGGGACAATGCATCATGTCTGGTTTGTCCGAAGACACAAGGCCACGAGCGTTCCTTTGTCAAATCAGCGTTGTCAAAATGTGATGACGTAACCACACTGATTCCGGAGCCTCCAAAGGTCCGTGAATGTAATGTTTTACAGCGATGGAAAGCTGAGACTCTCTTTTTATACCAATCTTTGAATTGTACGGATCGGATCAGTGGATCAAAAGTTATTAAACATTTAAGAGCAATACTTATTTTTAGCCGCGTGCGGCTGTATCGGTCTTTAGGGGTTAAGTTGAATGCCAGTATCTTGAAGAATATCTAGTAAAATATGATGTACTGTTATCATAGCAAAGATAAAAGAAATCAGTTATTAGAAATGAGTGATTAAAACTATTATGTTTTGAAATGTGTTGAAAAAAAATCTTCTTTCCATTAAACAGAAATTGGAGGGGAAAGGGTCGCTAATAATTCAGGAGGGCTAATAATTCTGACTTCAACTGTTTAGATACAGTTATTGTCCTCCCTGTAAATAAGGAAAGGGAAATAAATACAATAGAATAAAAATATGAAACAAACTGTGCTTCAAGCATCTTTACTGAAGAATTTTTTTATTTTATCTATAGCAGTCCTTCATTCAAGAGCAGTGAGGGATTTTCTCCTTTAGTTGTTTGATTAATGATTAAAACAGCCGGCAGCAGAAATATTGTGCGCTGTCACTTTAAAGAGCACTGCGGTTCTGATTTATGGTTTCACTTTCACATCTCTTTTGATTTTCAACTTTTGATACTCAGACACACTCACCTGGGCATATTCTGTTTGGTAATGACTGCTGTGGTTCCCAGAAGCTTCTTGAGTTTTTTGGGTTTGAGGACGGAGGGGAACTTCTGCAGGGCCACCAGGAGGAGCTCCAGCTGCTCAGGGCTCTTGAGGGCCGACGTCAGGTCAGACTGAAGAGCACTGAACAGTACCTCTTCGAACACATCTTGCGACGTCTGCACAACACGAGCAAATATTACACCAGTAAATACTGAAATGTCATTATTACTGCATTATTACTGCTTTAACTTTGTAATTAAAGTTTATACTACTAGTAACAAATGAATACAACCTTATTAGTAATAGCATTGCCATCAAGAGAATCAACTCTACAACAATGCAAAATACAAAAAGCAATATTGTATATTTGTGTCACAATCATCAATAATGTAATACAACAGAGATTTAGATGTAATCCTAATTTTATTTATATTTTCAAATTAATAAATTGAGATCAGTACAAATGTATCCACGAGTCATCTAACCACAAATAACAGAAGTAGCTTTTTTTTTTTTTTTAAATCATTTGTGTTAATTAAATAATTGTATTATTGTTTGAATACATTTAAAACACTTGGTTTTACATTGCTTGTGATTTATTATTTTTTATACACATTTTGTGTCCTACAATCAGGGAAAAAAAACGTACTTTGTTTTATGCGTTTTTTAAATGCATGTCAGCAACTCTGGCCATTTTAATAGCAAAACAATCATAAAAAATAAAATAATAAAAAGTAAATTACATACTAGGGTTGTCAAAATTAATTGTTTCTTCTTTGCACCAATTCGGTATCGGTTCAATAATAGTTATAACCGGTTATTATGTACTGACGTCATTTAATCACAAATGCTTTATATGGCGGTAGCTTACTATGTCGAGGGAGGAGGCCGCGAGTAATTAAAACGCTACAACTACTTATAAAGCAGATAACCGTACGTTCACACCAAAAGTGGCGAGAGAGTCAAAGTAGCCAGAAGTCGTTCATTTTTAATGAGAGCTGGCAGCGATAAGCGGTGAGGAGCAGCGCGGCACGTCTTCGCCAGAGTGGGCGTCGAGTAGAGTTGAAATCAAGTTAACTTTATGGTAATGAGCAATGACGCGGTTCGTCGGCAACCAATCAGAATGAAGAAGTCCACCTCTTGAGAGGAGTTTTAGAGAACACGGTCACTGTGAACTTTGGTTCCGACCACAGTTGTTCCCAGGGGTTTGATTATTGCGGACGCCAGATTTTCAATTATTTACAATGTTTTCTAACAGGAACATGCATTAAACAAGTTACTGGCGAGTTACGGATGTGCATTAATGTTATATATATATATATGTATACATATTTATCCTTAAAAAAAGCGGGAATATCATGCAACAATACAAAACAGTATTGCTGCTTTAGCATATTTCAGACATATGGACACATTGGACAATTAAGTGGAGCAAAGCCACACCACATGCAACTTGATCTTCCATTGTTAATCAACTTGCTCAACAACGCTCAAAAAATAAGCAGGATAATATTTACATTTGTTTATTTGCTTTAAATCATTTATTTGCTTTTCAAATAATATATAAACATAGATATATTAATAAATCATGTTATGTTTCTAAGTAAAACATCAAATTGTTTATAGAAAGCAAAGTCAATGCAGCATGATATTGAAATGAACCTAATTGCTGGCACGATAATGGCTCGTTTCCACTGACTGGTACAGTACGGTACGGTTCGGGTCGGTACGGGTCACCTATATCAGGCTTGCGTTTCCACTACCAAGGGTACCCTTTTGGTGGGTGTGGTGTATGACAGTTTCAGTCGACATCATTTTTGCTAGAGAAAATGTCTACAGTAAAGCAGTAGGGGTCGCTCGCATATCATATGAGAGGGACTTCTCACAAAACAGATGCTTTATATACATAAATACTTCTGTGTAAATATTAATTACGAACAATTCTATCAACAGGATTTGATTATAACTGCAGATCAATGACAGTGCGAAATAGTCTACTTTAACGTTTGTATATTAAATAAATTAATTAATTAATTTTTTAGTTATCATTATTATAATAAATGCAACGTATATGAACACATATAGCCCCTTACAGTCTCTGATATGTTATTAATTACAGAAAAACTTCACACATCATACATTTAGTACTTATTTAGGTTCAAAAACAAACACAAAATATAGCCCACAGTCAGAGCAGACCTCTCATCTGTGTCTGTAATCTTCAGCAGCACATGTAGCCTCTGTTAGAGAATCATTCAGTCACCCTGAGTTCATATTAGTCCAAAAGATGATGATGATAATAATAGTTAAACATGGCGTTATTTTCACGTTTGTTGATTTTTCGGGCTTCTCCTTTGTTTTCTTGCTCTTCGGGTTTCAAAAGCACGTCAAAAATTAAACGGACGTTATTATCATCAGCTCAAGAAGTGTGTTATTTCAGATATAGAATCGCGGCTCGCACAATTAAGAGAGCGAAACCTCTCGCACTTCAGAAAGGCTCGTAAAAAAACTAAGGGGCACAGGGTAAATCTGCTCTTCTTTTTGGCATTGTGGCTGTTCATCAAGACGACGGCAAGGTTTGTTTGAGCCCGGGTTGACCATGGCTCGTTATTATATGTATATATATTTACGCTGTAAAAGATCTCTCGGCTGTGTATTTTAAACATGGCGACTCTTTTGTTTTTATTCTGGCTTGTTGCGCAAGCGAATGACGTATCTCTGTAAACCAATAGCATTCAGCTGCACGTCTAGCTCCGCCTTTTGGTATCCTTTCTCAAGTTTGGTACCCTTTCGAAAGGGTGCCAGAAAAGTGGTACGGTATGGTTTGGCACGCCTTTTGACAGTGGAAACGGACATAAAAGCGTACCAAACCAAACCGTAGCACTTAGTGGAAATGGGCCATAATCGGAACCAAACCGCGAGACCAGTGTAGGGTCACACCCCTATTACATAGAATAAAAACCAGCAAAAAAAATCTAAAACTTTCTCTGGCAAACCTTTGCTGAATAACTCCAAGTGAGTTAGTTGAAGCATAATATAATATAAAATATAATCTATGCTATAAATTGCCTTACAGTTAATATGCACTAACATTACAATACTATTAATTGACTTTTTATATTTAATATCACGAATACAAATAATGTATCACTAATATTATATAAATTCATATGTGCACATTATTACTTCTGTACATCTGTAGTTTGCTCTGCTATTAAGGTCAACTGCAAAATAAACCAATATTAAATTAACAATTAAAACCCTTGCAGCTTCATCTGAAAGAAAATAATCCATTAATAATCACCTCTGACAGAATATCCACCATGGTTTTTCTGGGCAGGTCTCTGAGGTGCTCTCTGTACTCGGACAGACTCTGCAGGAGCTGGACACACTCCAGCATAACCTGCGGCTCCTGGGAAAATAAATTAGCAATGATTATGATCCACAAACATTTCTCCATTCAATGTAATAACAAGTGCAGCATTCTGGGTGTCTCATACCTTATGCAGACGAGTGGACTGAGAGAGGGCAAGAACCCCGAAGAAGTTCCCAAACACTGCATTTCTGATCAGTTTCTGTCAAAGGAATTCAAGAACAGCAGATGTGAACATCATTGCTGTATGTCAAGACATCTGACAGGTTTTGGTCCTCAATCTGCTGCTGTGCGTAGGACTAGTTGCTCACGCATCACATTCAAAGCCTTCTGTTGTGTTGTAACGTAATTTTAGTTAACTGTGCAATAACTAAAATTATAGTGATATGGCGCTCAAAACATGCCTAGAACTGCTTCAGTCATGCGGTTTTCTGAAACTGCACACTTTAGGTCTTGTTTACACAAGTAAAAACTGAAGTGCTCTTTACGCAGCGCTTCAAAAAAATGCAAGGCGCGAGTTTATACTCGACATGTTCACTAAATCGCATCGCGGTATTGCCGGAAGTTGGCTTTGGGTGTGCCTGTTGTATTCTAATGGACATTTTTAAAGTCTAGCCAAGGCTACAATTACAAGTCTATGAAAAAAAATTGCATTTTAACCAACAGTAGCCCTACACACAAGTCTACTATTATTATTGTTGTTTTTTGCATATGTTTGAGAATTAACAGTAATAATAGCCCACTCATATTAACCTTTATTTTACATCTACAGAATTGTGAGAAAATCCTGATCTTGATTTTAAGCAAAAAAAGTTGTGATTCATTCAAGACATTGAAATTCGTGAAAAGTAGCACATTGAAATGGAAAAAGGCATTCTGTGTGTACAGCTTCTTAAAATACTGAAGTTTAGATAGGTGGACACACAAAAGTTTAGATAGTCCTCTCGTGCTTTCACAAAAGTTTAAGGTAACACTTTAGTTTTAGTAACAATTTTAACTATTAACTAGTGGCTTGTTACCCATCTGTTATTAAGATATTTGCTGTTTATTACTACTTACAAAGTACATAATCTGCATGACCTTATTCTACAACCCTAATCCTACCCAACACCTAAACCCAACTACTATCCTAATAACTACTATTGAAAACTTGTATTTTTTAGTTATAGAGGCAACGGCCACAGTTAATAGCTTATTAATAGTGATGTACCAGATCACAAATCTCACAGTGCGGATCACATTATTGTTTTTTAGTCACGGATCAGACCATTTTTCGGATCACCCAAAAAGGGAAGGAGACGAATGTAATTTGCTTTCCATTTATTAAAAAAACAGCACGGCAAGATACTCTTGGTTTTAACAAACAGAACACAGAAGCTGTAATTTAATAAAAAAATTAAATGAAGAAATAATCTGCTGAATAAAAATAAATTGTAAAATATTCAGTACTGTGAAAAATTCACTGTTACTGCTGCTGTTGCTGATGAGGCTAAATGTAGAAATCTAACTAGGGCTGCTCGATTATGGGAAAAATCATAATCACGATTATTTTGGTCATAATTGTAATCACGATTATTCAAAACGATTATCAGTTGAAGTCAAAATTATTCGTCCTTCTGTGAATTTATTTTTATATATAAATATTTCCCAATTAATGTTTAACAGAGGGCTTTTTTTTTTTTTTTTTTTTACAGTATTTCCTATAATATTTTTTTTCCTCTGAAGAAAGGCTTATTTGTTTTGTTTCAGCTAGAATAAAAGCAGGTTTGAATATTTTGAAACCTATTTTAATAGCTCGATATTATTAGCCCCTTTAAGCAATATATGTTTGATTGTCTCCAGAAGAAACTACTGTTATACAATAACTTGTCTATTTACCATAATTAAGCCTTTGAATGTCACTTTAAGCTGAGTATCTTGAAAAACATCTAGTAAAATATATTGTACTGTCGTCATAGCAAAGATAAAAGAAATCAGTTATTAGAGATGAGTTATTAAATCTGTTGTTTAAACTGTGCTTTAAGCATCTTCACTGTATTTTTGATTTTATTATTAATTAATAATAAAAACAGTCGGCAGCAGCAGGAATACCGCACGCTGTCTCTTTAAGAATAGTGCGGCTCTGATATGGTTTCTCTTTCTTGTGTCTTTTGATTCTCAACTTGTTTGTTTATTACACAAATGAGGGTTAATATGAATAATCACTAAACACCGCGCTCTGACACAAATGTGCATGTATTTGACCATTAAAGCGTTCACATTAAGATCGCGTTAGATGTGTGTGTGCGCTCTGCTGTCCGAGGCTAAGCGCGGCGCGCGCGCGCAAACACACACACAACAGCACGTGCTCTTTTGCGCTTTTAAAAATATGAATGATGCGCATCCCGTGCTGCAAAAGTTACATTACAGCACATGCTTTTAGTCATTTTCACATGGAACTGAGCTTTGCAGAGGCAAAAAGTTTTCACACGTGTACAACTGGAAAGGGGGCGGTACGTGATGGAATAATCGTTTATCTCGATTAATGGTTTTTCATAATCGTTAAAAGCCAAAATCGAAATCGGATTTTCGATTAATTGCACAGCCCTAAATCTAACATTAGAATTTGCACAACTCATTTATTCTTAGCCTGATTTTCAATAAACAATTCAGTTATTCACTCATAAAACTTCCATGTTTCATTGCCAGTTAAATCATTTTTGAAGAATTATTCAGTGGCACATTTTTAATAGTTGGTTGTTGGTTAAATATTGTAATTGCAGCCTACAACTTTCATTTTTGAGCGTCATTAAATGCATATGATGGTCATTTCAATCTTTACCATAAACTCCCAGTACTTCTGGATTATTTGACTGTAACTTCATAACTAACTCAAAAGACTAAAGACTGAATCTCTTTCTTGACATTTGCGTTTTTCAAACACAGATTTCAATGCAGCGATTCGAAGGATTAATAAATATGCAAGTCACCATCATTTATAATGAATGATTACTCGTGCAGCTTGCACTGAATGCATTAATGCAGGCTAAACAAGTAGTGACAGAAAACCCCTTTAATAGCCTAAGAAACCCAGCACATCCCGAATAACCCACATAACCCACCACAACTTTTTCCGTCTTAATTATATTTTACAGGAAAGCCTAAATGCTTTCATACATGTGATTTGAATGGCACAAGAGGCGATCTCTCTGTGGTCATTACAAATTTAAGATTAATATACCAGAAAAAAATTCAATAATCTGCAGGTCACATGTGTTCCGAACCATGGGTTGTGATCCGTACAAATCACAAATCAACCATGATCAGTTACACCCCCTCCCCCCTTTTTATTAATAGCTAGAATTGTCACATAAAGTGTGCCCAAGTTTAAATATGCAAAACTGTCACACCAGCGTTGCCTCCAAACCTACAATGAACACATCTACAGAAGCCAACATTTGAAGTGGATCAAAAAATTGCCCTAACAAGAATGGCTATTGCTGAGACTTTGCAAAACTTCAATCAAAAGTTTTGATTCACCTTAAATGGTCAACATTAGCCAATTAAATTGAAATAATAGGGGAGGTGCTAAAACATGGCTTATTACGCATTTTCAAAGTATAAATCTTGATAATGAGATTATTATAATATATATATATATATATATGTATATAAAATATTCTTTATAATAAATATATTATAATATTCTTTGACCTCGAAGAAGAGCAGAAAATAAATAAAACAGGTAGTTCATGACCCCTTCACAAATATATATTGGTTTAATATGAAATCCTTACCTTTGATGCGGTCAGAAGGTTGTGTTTTTCTTTTACACTGTTCAGTGTGGATTTCAGTGAGATCTCCTCAAATACACTCAGCAGCTTCACACAGAAACAACAACAGTAAGATAGAGAACTAAAGGCAGCATATTAAGTAGAAATATGAAGATAAGACTTGACTTTCTGAAGTTACCTGAGCGAGAGCAACACTGTATCCTGATCGAGCGTCTTCTCTTGTGTGAGAAAGACCATCCACTAGTCTCTTCAGTGTGTACTTCAGCTCATCTGCCTACAACACAACACAAACAGACATTCACTGAGTAAGTTGTTTGTCTGTCAGTCAGGACTGCAAGGAACCGGTATTTTAAACCATTCCGAATGTCAATACAATTTCCTTCTTCTGTTGAACACAAAACAAGACATTCTGATGAAATTACGACCACAGTAAAGACAAACAATATAACGGACATCAATTTTCTCCAACATTCTTCAGAACGTTTTCATTTTTGTTTAACTGTATTACGAAACTTACAACATTTAGAACAAGTGGAGGATGAGTAAATGATGACAGCATTTTTGGTTTGTGGGAACTGCCCCTGGAAGATTGGGGTAATGTTGGCTTTACATTCGCAGATTCAGACATTCACCTTTTGAATATAATTTCAGAAAATTGGTAAAGGTGCAGTATGCAAGTTTGACACCCAGTGGTTGAAATAGGTATTGCACGCCTGGTTCAAAACACATGCAAGCGCAGGTTGCCAGATTGAGGACATCAACAGGAGCAAGTCTGACTCTCGAGCATAAAGACTGATTTGAGTCACGTTTCAAATAAAAGCGACGGCACAGGCGACTATCAAATGTTTCTTTTTCCCTCATTACTGCAGCTCTGATACAAGTTTAATTTATGAAAAGAAAAATGCAAAGCACTGCAGGGTTTGGTTGTTCTGTGTTTGTCTGGGATGGTTAGTCTACTAAAATGTGTGAAACCCATACTGAAGCTGATCGGTCAATTCTTGTCAAGTGACTTGCAGAATTCATTCACTGGATGGGTTTGGAAGGCGTGTTGGGCAAGCTGCACACCAACATTGGAAACAACGAACTTGCACAAACTCTAGAAAAGACGTAATATGCCGTTATTTGCGATCTCCAGCAGTTGATCTTCTTGCACAGAAGAACAACTGATCAATTTTTTTAACAAATGGGTTGCGAATACATTCCTAGTCTTTTTCCTCTTAGCAAAGAAACTTTCTAAGGACATCCGTTTCCTACTCATTTTATTTCTTGTGGGTACAATTTGGGCGCTCAAGTGACTAAATGGAAGCAAGAGAATATGGTCATTTTACAAAATAAAAGATCGTTTAGACTCAGATAAGAAATAAAATGGAAATAACTAATGATTTCTTGTGTGGCCCGGTACCAATTGATCCACGGACTGGTAACAGTCCACAGCCCAGTGGTTGAGGAGCACTGACGTAGCATGTTGTTAGTAGGGTTGGGCGATGTTGACCAATTTGGTATCGTATGATGTCTGTGAATCGTTGCGATGGACGATGCCATCGTCGTCGTAGGCGGGGGGTGGGGTTGTTGTTAAATTTCAATTAATTCATAACGAATTGATTAATTGTAGCCTACCGTTTTCACTACCTGACCCACATGGTCTTTGCTTTACCCATAACCAAACCATAAACAAATAAAGTTACAAACAAATGACCACCTGTCAATCACTTTTTTTTACATGAGACTCTGGCATAAATAGGCAGTGATCTGTGTCTTTCTAATGGCTTTTCCCACAGCTGTTGGAGAAGACGAGAGTTTTGTTAGATTTCACTATAGTGTATACATTTTCACTGTTTTCACAGCAAAATCTTCATCGCGTGCGCGGATTTAGGAGACATTTATGCAGAATGCATCTTTGCACCTAAAAACGCCAAACCCACCACTCAGGAACAGATAAACAGTTGTTATGTGAACTTGCTTAAAAGGGTCACGAAAAACAACAACATGAGCTGTTGACAGTCGTATATGTGTCCCACACTGCTAAAAACACTATTAGGACACACATATTTCCCTAAAAAGTGTAAATTGGTTGTTTTTGCGTTATTTCAAGCAAATTCGTACTTCCGGTTTGAAACTAATTTTTGAAGCTGCGTCATGGACATGAGATAATAGAGTTGTATTCCAGCGTGTAGACTGGACGTCTGTACCAGAGTGGGCCTTATTACGTCTCCGTGTGCTGCATTAATGCATGAGTAAGGCTTGCTTCAAACCAATCAGCACGCTCTATTGTGCAACTTCATTAATATTCATTACTGTCACAGTGTTTAGACGACAGAGACGCCACGTTGTATTGGCAAAACAAGCGTGAAGTGTTGCTTTTATAGTTTGCTGCAGTGAAGTTTTGTTTTCATTTTCTCTCTGTGAGAGCTCATCTGGAGTCACGTGTGGATTAACAGTGTACGCGACGCTCGACAACAATAATTTACGTGTCTAAGGAGGATTACTGTTTACCTGAGAGCTGTTCTCATCTGCAAACGCTGAGATCGGATTCGCTTGTAGTATTCTCTTAATAAAGACGCGGCTCTAGTTGCTGGTGATTGTCCTGTCTCTACCTCGTGTAGGATTTTCACTGCATTTTGTGACCGGAATAACACACGCGGCTTTCTGACACTACCTGCCGAGTGCATCTAAGTTTCCGGGAAATGCGGAGGTTTTTTTTTTTGTCTCATTCGCGGTAACAAACATTGCATGAAAAATACACGCTTAGAGCAGATCCTCGAATCAAATATCTCGTTTGTCGCGAGGGGCATGACTGAATTCCCTGAATGAAAGAGCCAAACTGCAGTTAAAGTCCACCATTTATTGATTTGGCAAATAATTCGACTACAGATATCCATGTAAACACAGTCACTTTCTTCTGTGTGTGTGCGTTTTGATACTGAAACTCAGCACGTGCCCAAATAGACACTCCCACACCATCCCTCTTTAGTTCCTCCGACACTCCCCCCTAAACAGAGCTGGACACGCCCACTTTTCTGACTTTTTCCAAAGTAGAGGTGTGAAAACACCCTGCTGAAACAAGGGGGTTTCATTGCCCTTTAAGTAAAAAGCCTGCAATGCTTGCCCTGCCTTTGTGCTCTTCTTATTGGCCCACTGCTCTAACTGAATGTGAATGATTGGTTGATATCAGCTGTCAATCACTCAGTCAATGCCTTCTGCCTTTAGATGACAGGAGCTACAACCGCGAAAATGTAAAGCGCTGAAGATGAGAGAATGAAAATAACACTGACAGATTTTTGTCTTAAAAACCACCTACAGTTACTAATAATGGCACATCTTATTAGTGATCATGTGCTAAATGTTAATCCACTATTTACACTTTTCCAAGAGTGGATAAAAGACTTCCAGTGGCTTTAAGTCCGCTTTGAAAATGACTAAAGCCATTCACTGTAAAGTCTGTGGGACAGGGTTTGCAGGTAACAGCGTTTGCCACTGAATCTACACATTTTAAGTGCAAGAGGTACTGTATTATCCTTCATCTAATCCTCATGATGCTGTCAGCCGTGCAAGCGGCAGCTATATGTACAATTTAACACAGCTCATGAAAAGAATGTTATTGCTATTAAGATGACATGCAAATTATAGGTTATATATCAATATAAATGTGGGGCGGGGTGATGGATCGCGATGCTGGCTTAGCATCGTAAAGTTTGTTGGCCATCGGCGATGGACAATGGTATTGTTTATCGGCACAACCCTAGTTGTTAAGACACAGGGTTACAATGTAACCTGCTAACCTAATGTTTACATTCATAATGTTTCTATCATTTGTTATTTAATAACCTCATGTGGAACTCTGTATCTCATTTCGGAGTCTGCTACTGTCCAATAGAGGCTGTACTTCGGTCATGGATTCACACTTTGAGGGCCTTCCTGAATGAATGAATGAAATACGCTGTTTTCCACCAAGGCAACCCGGGGTGCTGAAGTATAATAGGCTAAACTGGCATCGGGCAAGTTAAAAGAACCAAAACAAAGACAGACGTTCTGGCACGTAACACACATTTTCAAAGCAGAATATCTGACTTCAGGATTCTTTTTCAGATAAACAAGTATGTTCACTTAGCATGTTTCTTAAAAATCTGCAAACATATTATGGTATTTTTATACTTTAGAAGATACAAAAACTTACAAACACCATCTTTATGTGTGAATTCTAAACAGGGAAATTGTATTAGCAGCCAAAGACTATCAAAGTACAAGTTTGCTCACAGTCAATTAAATAGAGCTAATGTTGTTTTGATAGAGGTAAAGTTGGTTTTATATTCGCAGATTCAGACTTTCCCCTTAATAATATAATTTCATAAAAGTATTATTTGCTAAATCTAAATAGCGAAATCATATTAGCAGCAAATGACTATCAAAGTACAACATTGCTCACGGTCAAATAAACAGTGTTAATGTTGATTTCAAGTCATACTGGCATGCTAATTTTAATCGAATATTCAAAGTAAGATGGTAAACAGTATAGAGACTTCTAAATAAACGAATGTGCGAATATAAAACCAACTTCAGCTCTATTTGTTTTGTTGTTACATGCGATTTCAGGCCAATTACTCAAGGTACCGAGGTAAACAACCAGTTGTTACTTTGTTTAAGAAAAATGAACAGCTACTGTTTAGCCAACTATAGTCACACATCACTGACACTGTGCATTAAAATAAGATGTTTCATTTGATATTGAGGTAAAGTTGGTTCTGTAATCGCACATTCGGTCTTTCTCCATGATAAAATAAGTTCAGAAAAGTATTTTGTGCAAATTATACACAGTGAAATCCTATTAGCAGCCAATGATTATCAAAGAACAACAGTGTTTACAGTCAATTATGTAGTGCTAATGTTTTGAAGTCATGCCCACATGCCATTTCAGACCAAAGATTTAAAGTAGGATGGTAAACAATATAGAGAACATGCCACAAGTTGTCACTGTTTAGAAATGTGCGTATATAGAGCAACTATTACCTCAATTTAATAGTTACTATATTCATTGTTTTTTATATTTACTTATAGGTAATTATACTAAACCTACCATATAATAATAAATATTTTTTTTATCCTTTAACAAATCATCATGTGGATAGACACGTTTCCACAACTGCCCTCAACAGCCCAGAACCCACGTGTTTACATTAGGAACTGAGCTTACTGCTTTGATTGAAATTACAGCATTAACTGCAGTAATATGCAGATCTCCGAGTAAGTAATGAAGAGTAATAAACAGAAAAGACTTTTCAGACACAGTTTAAATGTTCAGAAGTGCCAGTTCATACCTGCTCGCTGTTCTTGAGGTAATTAATCAGGTCTTCTATGGCTTTGAGTCGGATTTGTCTCTCGGGTTTCGCGATGTCCCAGAAGTAATCCAGGAACTGTCTGTTTTGCTTCAGGATGCCTTTGGCATCGGTGACTTTGGGTCGGACAGCGGAGTTTTCGGTCTCTCCCATGTCTGTCTGCATTACTGCAACCATCAGAGATGAAGCATGCGAGAGGAGCACACGTGGGGAGGTCGCGGAGACGTCTTTTTCCGGGTTTACTTCCGTGCATTGAATTCAAAATAAAAGTCCCGACCATTCACTGAACCTCAACCAGCTTTGGCTGGGTTAGTTAGCATTTCTGTGTGAAGTTTGCATGTTCCCACTGTGTTCGCGTGGGTTTCCTCCGGTTGCTCCTGTTTCCCCCACAGTCCAAAGACGGTACAGGTGAACTGTAGGCTAAATTATCCGTAGTATATGAGTGTGTATGGATGTTTCCCAGTGATGGGTTGCGGCTGGACGGGCATCCGCTGCGTAAACCATGTGCTGGATAAGTTGGCGGTTCATTCCGCTGTGGTGACCCCGGACTAATAAAGGGACTAAGCCGAAAAGTGAATGAATAAATAATAATGTGTTGTCGGTTTGTAAAGTGATTTGTGAAAACAATAAATCCAATAATATTATGAATTAAAAATGTAATTTTTAAAATCTTATTTAAAATCCACCAAAAGTTAATAAAGAATTTATTTGTATTTATGTTAAATATATGTTATGCATTAAATAAATTGTTAAAAAAGAATAAATTATTATAATAAAACTATACATTTAAATATGAAACACATACATTTTATATTTAAATACTATTTATTTATTTGTTTGTTTATTTATTTATTTTCAAACACCTTACAACGTGCCTGAGACTGTGATTCATTAAAAAGTATTAACACCCCGTGACCCTGATTATGACTGCTATTTTACTATATTACTATATTTATAGTGTTTACTGTAGTTAAACACTTCTAATTAATGCTGTAGCATATTAACTATAATGAACTGATAAGCTGTTTTTTACAACATCAAACAGTGTGCATTCCAGTAGAATATACATTATTGAAAAAAACTTAATAGTAATAGTATGGGTAACTTATTTATATTACTATAATTATCATATTACAGCAACACAACAGATTAATTCAAGTTTTTGTGGTTCAAAAACACTGTAGTGTTTACTAAATTACTTTAGTATTTTCATATGGGATATTACAATATTCAAACAAATGTATGTTGTAAATGTTGTTGTATGTTGTAACCCCCCCCCCCCCCCCAAAAAAAAAAAAAAAAAAAGACAATACTACACAAGTACCACACTAGTTTGTATAAAGTCTAGTTTTGATGTTGTATCAAGTGGAATTCCACAAGAGATTTTAATAAGGGAATCTATAGGTGAAAACTATCAAATGAAACAGGTTAACACATTTATGTTCTTCACATTTATTAATCAAAGTCTGTGTGGACCAGAAACTCCTGCAGACTTTTATTTCAGTATGACAACTGATTTCCACCTGAAACGGAATATTAAGAAAGGGGTGGGGTTTATGCTTGTGCTCGTCTTCTCATGTTTCACTTGTAGCAAACTGATGTTTGGAGGGGCGTGGCTAAGCATATTACACCCAGTCCGTCAAACTGACATCATCAGAGAAGATCTGCTGTTCCCAACATTAACTCATCCCGAACACGTCCCCCAATATACATTTCTGGAGATCACAAATTATGTAGCCAGAGGTATGTATGGCTGCATTTTGTCTTTAAAATGAACTCTACAGGGCGGTATGATGGTGTTCCTTTTCTCGCTTACCAGCTGACCACTTACCAGTTACCAGTTTGTTCAGTAACTCAACATGTACGTAAGCGGACTTGAGATGCAGAGAGGAGTTGACCACGATGAAGGGGTTCTAATATGGTAAAGAATGGTTCAAGAAGGCAGGTAAGACAAAAACAAAAGCCAAAAAAATGACAGATAAACAAATAAATAACAGAGTGAGAATGTGGTAAAATCTGAAAATGTGGTAAAAATCAGATGAGGGCTTTTCTTTTTCTACATTGCTATTTAAAACTGTCGGTTGTCTTCAGAGAAGGAGGTGGGCGGGTCAATCAGTACTTGTGAAAACACTATTGGTTGGGTTTAAGGAAGGAGGAGGGTGGGTCAGTCGATCAGTCAGTCAGTCGACAGCAGCCTCTGGTGGATTTATGCAAGAACAGCAGACACAAATGGCAATCCGGAGAGAAATTTGAGATCTGAAAATGCATACACAGCGACCTCTGGTGGATTCGCGCAAACAAACTGCAAAAAACGTACATCCTGGGAAGTAAATGTATGTATATAGCGGTACATAATCAGAATAAGTAAGAGTTGGCTGCTCCAGAGCGGAATTTCCATATTTTGATTAAAGATTATCAAAAACAACCAGATTTCTCAGTGAATTAACTTGCACCGATTAATTATTCATCTAACAATATGTGACAGAAAAATAAACAAGTATATGTACATTTCATGCAAACTTTAAGAACTTGCATGTAACCGCAGTCAGTAATGTTGTTAACAGTCTGTTGTCAGATTCAACCCTGCAAAACAGGCATTCATTAGAGAAAATTGCCTCAAGTCTTTTTCCACTTGTTTCTTCAAGCTGGATCACATTATAAGAGCGAGCGCCTTCTCTTGAAGTATTTAGATAAAAGATAGCAGGAATTAGTTCCCGTTAGTGAGTGCTTTTGTCTGTAAATGGCCTAATGTACAGGTAATCGTTTTTCAAGTGGATGCAAAAGGTGTGAAATTAAACAACCGATCTGATGGAGAGAATGAGCAAGTGGAAAAATTAATGAGAGAGCTGGGAGACTGCTTGCATGTGTGACTTTGTTTTGTTTGTGTGAGTTTGTGTAAGTGTCAGTAATGGTAGACTGGTAAGTGCTGTTGTATTCAAAAATGTCATTTGGGTGATTTTTTCACCATTTGTGGATAAACAATTTCAGTAATGCAAACAAAAATAAATAAATAAATAAATAAATAAAAATACATACATTATATATATAAGTATATAAATAAATAAATATATAAATGTATAACGATGGTTTGTTTTATAGACAATCAAAAAAAATTAGCTTGAAGGGGAAAATAATTTAACCTTAAAATGCATTCATTCATTTATTTCTTTTCAGCTTACTGCTTTTATAAATCAGGGGTCACCACAGCGGAATGAACCGCCAAATTATCTAGCATAAGTTTTACGCAGCAGATGCCCTTCCAGCTGCAACCTATCACTGGGAAACATCCAAACACACTTATTCACACACATAGACTACGGACAATTTAGCTTACCCAATTCACCTATAGCACGTCTTTGGACTTGTGGGGAAACTGGGGCCCCCAGAGGAAACCCACACAAACAAAGGGAGAACATGCAAACTCCACACAGAAATGCCAACTAACCCAGCCAGGGCTCGAAACAGTGACCTTCTTGCTGTGAGGCGACAGCGCTACTCACTGCACCACCGTGATGCCCCATGTATAAACATATTGTATATATCACTCTTGCAAATATATGATTTATATTTAAAGTATGTAAATGTATTTTTTATGTTGTAGTTTTATTTTAACAACATTAGTTTTTAATGCACATAAATAATTATAATTGGAATTATTTTTTTATTTTCAGATTTATTTTAATTTGAATTATTAGTATGATAGCAATTAAAAATGTTCAATTCATTTAACTTTTTCATATTCATATGAATTATATTTATTTTATTTATATGCTTATCATGTATGCTTAATCTTAAATCAACACAAACTATAGCTGTAATAAAACAAATTAAGGTTATGCTAAAAAAATTAAAAAATTAAAAATTTATTAATTAATTTAATTGTGGTTTAATTTAACAATAATAACTATTTATAAAATAATAATGCTATTTAATTTCCCAGTGCTGGGTTGCAGCTAGAAGGGCATCCGCTGTGTAAAACATATGCTGGATTAGTCGGTGGCTCATTTCACTGTGGCGACCCCTGATAAATAAAGGGACTAAATGAATGAAGGAATGAATAATGTTAAGTTCAATTACTTTACTGAACTAAAATCCACTAATAATGAAATTAACTTCAAGAATAAATAAACAAACAAACATGAATAAGAAACACAGCACACGCTGCTCTACAGGAGGATAACAAAATAGACTTTATTTCACAGGAATTAGAAGTTATCCATATTATATGCTTTTTAATACATTTTTAGAGTATTTTTGCATTTAAATACGATACAAATAAATAATTTATTCATCTCAAAGCAGTCCAAAACAGTCTTAAAAGATACAAATTTTCCCATATACATCCCTCTCTCTCCTGTCTCTCTCGTTCAGCTTTATGTTCATCATGTCCATTAAAAATTAAATCTAAGCCGACATTTTCTGAAATATGATTCTATTAAAGAGAGCTTGAAGGAAACTCTTGCACACATAATCCATAACTGCAGATTAATGATGCCCAAAGCAAATCAATTGGTGAACTTTCCTCTTTTTTTGAGTTTGTTTACCACGTAATATCAACTGGAATGAGCATAGTGCATAGTGCAAGGAGCAATGGAGGATCAAGGAATGACAGAACCCGTCCCACACGCTGCTACAGAGAGTCTTTATCCGCCATCGTTGTCTGCGTCACACCACCATGGGCAAAAAGTGAGTAGCCGTGTTCTTCCTGCGGTTTTTCCTGCCACGTAGAGGCCGTCCGTGAGCGCTCAGACTTACAAATATCTGCCGCTTATTGTTCTTCCACTTGGCCGATGCATATGTGTTATAGCCGTTCTCCTCGATGCGCTCCTTCAGGCGGCAATTCGTGCCGTAGTTTCTCTGAAATGCATAAAAAGAGTGTTACATTTGCTTCTGTGCCAGCTCATACCAGTTCTTTTAGGCCAATTTTACAGCTGGTTTTAAAGGGGTCTTGAAATCAGAATTTAAAATTTGCTTCAGATATATGAGACTAATGCCGAGTTCAGACTGCATATTGTTAGCCGTGATTTTGACTCGCCGACTGGTTTTGATAAATCGCCGACAAATGTCTGAAATCACAGGCAAATCGGGTGCTTGTGCACGGTGTGAACTATCAAAGACTCGATCTGAGAGAATCGCTGATGAGTCGCTGAGGCCTGTGAGATATTTGGTGTGCTAAATATCTAGAGCTGTCGGCGATTCAAATCCTGCCGTGTGAGATGAGTTTTGACTGAAAATAACATCAGCGATCGCCTATAGCCAATGAGAGAGCAGCATTCACTTGTGTGTGTGTACCGGCAGGCCAGCGGGAGGTTGAGGGAGCGCTCATTTTCGGTTTATTTAGACCCAAGTAATGGAGGAAAAACTAGTGGAGGTTTGCCAGGAGCACTCGTGTCTGTTTGACGTTTCATACAGAAAGTTAAAAAAGAAAGTTGAGGAGAAATGGCTAATTCCCTTCAAACCCAGGTGAGCAAGTATGTACATTTTCTACCCCATTAAAGACTTCTTTCTCGTTATGTAGTTCAGGGGTTCCCAAAGTTTTCAGCCAGCGACCCCCAAAATAAAAATGCCAGTGGCTCGCGACCCCCAATATCCTCTGAGGTGGTTATAAATACAGAAAGTGCTTCAGTGCTTTAAATGTGCCAGAAAGTATAACCTGATATTATAAAATCAAAATGCATCTGACGCTATTGCTGCCTTTAATATAATGTAATTACCCCAGGGGTCGCAATCCAATAGAACTAGTAACTATAAGCTACTATAGTAACTATATAGTATATAGTAACTATAAACGACTATTTTTATTTTCAGTATAGTTATGGATAAAATATGTTAATTCTCATGGTTTAATAAAAATAAATAGATTTTTGTAAATCACCAGGCGACCCCCCTTCATTGCCCCGCGACCCCTCGAGGGGTCCCGACCCCCACTTTGAGAACCACTGATGTAGTTAACCCTCTCAAGGCAGGCGTTGCAGATTTTCAACAGTTAAAATTGACTACCTTAAAACTCCAGATACATATTTTATGAGTTTTTCTACTCAGAAATACCACTGCAGGACTTGGTTGTCCATTAGCAACAAACAGTTTCCCCACTTGCACGCCAGATGACACAAAAGACAAAAACTGTTTCTTGGTGTACCACATGACAATGTGACTTGGAAACATGACCTACTCAATGAGGATTTGAGATAGGACTTTGACTTAAATTTGACTTTACATTTACATTTTACATTTAGTCATTTAGCAGACGCTTTTATCCAAAGCGACTTACAAATGAGGACAAGGAAGCAATTTACACAACTATAAGAGCAACAATGAATAAGTGCTATAGGAAAGTTTCAGGTCTGTAAAGTCTAAGAAGGAAAGTATTAGTAATTAAGTACAGTTAGTGGTATATCCAGAGAGGCAATTGCAGATTAGGAAGTGAAGTGGAGACTAAATAGTTGAGTTTTTAGTCAGCAAGTGACTCTGCCGTTCTGATGCAGTTAGGGAGTTCATTCCACCAACTGGGCAGATTGAATGCGAGGAGTTCGGGAAAGTGATTTCTTCCCTCTTTGGGATGGAACCACGAGGCGACGTTCATTCACAGAACGCAAGTTTATCTGCATAGATCTGCAGAAGTGAGAGCAGATAAGAAGGAGTAAAGCCAGAAGTCGCTTTGTAGGCAAACATCAGAGCTTTGAATTTGATGCGAGCAGCAACTGGCAGCCAGTGCAAACGGATGAGCAGCGGAGTGACGTGCTTGTTTAGGTTCATTGAAGACCACTCGTGCTGCTGCGTTCTGAAGCAGCTGAAGAGGCTTGATAGGGTTAGCTGGGAGCCCCGCTAGTAGAGAGTTGCAGTAATCCAGTCTGGAGCGAACAAGAGCTTAAACAAGGAGTTGAGCTGCATGTTCAGATAGGAAGGGTCGGACCTTTCTGATGTTATTGAGTGCGAATCTGCAAGATCGAGCAGTTCTAGAAATGTAGTCAGAGAAGTTTAGTTGGTGATCAATCGTTACTCCAAGGCTTTTCACCATTTTGGATGCAGTAATGGTTGCCCCATCCATCTAGATTGAAAAGTTATGGTTTAGAGTCGGGTTGACAGAAACTACAAGCATTTCCATTTTCGCGAGGTTCAGCTGAAGATGATGATCTTTCATCCAGCGTGAAATGTCCAACAAGCAGGCTGAGATGCGAGCTGGAACCGAGGGATCGTCGGGATAAAAAGAGAGGTATAGCTGGGTATCATCAGCATAGCAGTGGTAGGAGAATCCATGATTCTGGATGACTGATCCACTGGTCCAAAAATGTTGTATATAAAAAGTTATTGTTCATATCATATTCAGTCGTCAGTGTCTAATTACCACACTGGGCCAATGTTGCAAATCTGCAACATCCCAGAACGCCTTGCATGTGAAGGTCTTTCTAAAAAAAGTCAGGATTCTATTGTACTACCTCATATGATAATTTTCCCCAAATATCAGATTTTTCCTGTTTCTAAAACTTAATTTGAGCCTGAGAGGGTTAATAACAAAATATATACTACATGTTTTTGGCTGTGAGATGAAGTTTGGACGAAGTTGTCGGCGATTCTTCCTATAGTAAAGTCATGCAATGTGAAAGTCCCTGTCGCCGATTCATCTTGCAGTGTAAACAAAGCAGCGACAAAACGCTAGCCCAGATAGTCATGCAGTGTGAAAACACCCATGACACGACTACTTTGAAAATCATGCAGTCTGAACTCGGCACAAGTCCAGGGTTCTCACTATAAACCAAATGTCTGAATTTCACAACTCAAAACATTTGCATTAATCTAGAACAGCTTACATTGAAGCCAATCATTCAAAACGACAGGTTGTGAGTGTGCCTCTTTATGATGTGATAGTGTGTCTAAACTCCGCCCCCACAGAAGATCAACGCCTAAAGTGCCTGCAATTTGTAAAATCAGTAGCTATGACAACTTTATGATGTATTAGGGCAAGGCTATTCAATTAGTTTGTCATGGGGGCCGGTTCATGAAAACCATCCCCAAAGGGCCGGAGAGATATGACTTGCTATATGAGTCATAACTGTATATAAGAGCCCATATGCTGTATATGTTTGCTCTTTAACACACCCACGTTGGCTTTTTCTACATTAAAATATTAATATATTGTATTTTGAAACGACATAATATCAGTGCATCGTACAAAAAATCATTCAAATGTTGTATTTCAGAGCACAACAGAAGCAGTGCATTGCTAAAGTAGGCTTCTTCTATATTCAGACGCATTCATATGTTGTGTTTTGAACTGCATTATAATTAGGGATGCGACAATTATAGATTTTGGTTGTACGATTATATAGTCTGAAGAACAATGATGGTTTCACGGTTATCACGTCTAATGTAAATTCGAGCTTTATATTAGGCAAGTAGCTATTTAGATTAACTGTTGTTGTCATCTGCGTTGATGCAAATCATTTTAATAATGACTCGTCTAACATATCTTTTGTTTACATTGCACTGAAAGGCACTCACAACTCTCACCGTGAGATGTTTCCCACTGCATGTGCTCGAAAAGACGCAAGCGCGTTGCTTCGCTTTTGCGAACATTGTCATATATTCTTACATTAGAAATAACAAACTTGCAAGCGGAAAAGACGTGATGTGGGAACGGCCGCTGCTATAGTTAATCTGGCGTGTGTGTATTAGCCTCGGTGTACTTGATTAGAACTTTAAACTAGCGCACAGTTGGCAACATGGCATAACTGTTTAATTGCAACAGTTTCATTTTGTTCCCTGCAACAGAAATGCGGCTCAGAAAAGACTTTACGATTAATTAACTGTGACGAATTAAAGCGCAATTAATAGTGAAATCGGCTAATTGTTGCATCCCTAAGTTTTCGGTTGCACGAACCACTCGCTTATGGTGACTCACGCTCTGTGCAGCCTTTAACTGCAGCTGTATTAAACAGACGCACGTCACTTCATACCTATAGCGGCCGTTTTTCGACTGAACGAAATTTATTTTGTATGTCTTGGTCACACTGTTTGGTGGGCTGGAACAAACTGACTCCGGGCCGCCAAATGAATAACCCTGTAATAGGGTGTCTAAACTCCACCACCACAAAAATTCAACAGCCATTTTTACAACACTGCTTGCTTAGCTTTTTGACTGATGTTCAAACCGAAGTTTCTATGAAATGCATAACAAGACTGTTACATTTTTTTCTGTGGCAGGTCATACCAGTCCAAGAGTCTTTTAGGACATTTTTACAGTGAGTTTTAAAGGGGTCATGAAATTAAAAACCAAAAATTTGCTCTGGACATATAAAACTAAGTCCAGGGTTCCCACTATAAACCAGACGTCTGAATTTCTGGACTCAAAACATTTGCGTTAATCTAAAACAGCTTATATTGAAGACAATCCGGCAAAACGACAGGTTGTGAATGTGCCTCTTTATGATGTAATAGTGTGTCTAAACTCCGCCCCCACAGAAGATCAACGCTTTCAGTGCCTCCAATTTGTGAAATCAGTAGCTATGACAACTTTATGATGTAAGTGTGTCTAAACTCCGCCCCCACAGAAGATCAACGCCTACAGTGCCTCCAATTTGTGAAATCAGTGGTTATGACAACTTTATTATGTAATGATTTGTCTAAACTTTGCCTAATAACAGCTTAATAACAACTATATTGTGTAATAGTGTCACTGCTTGTTTAGCTCCACCCACAAATTTACTATACACAGAAAAAATGACAACTACTTTTACCAGCACCCCATTGTTACCTTATACTGTTTAAAAATGAGCCCTGGAATGAAATGTACTGTCATATTTATATGTTCATGGATATGAGGACACTCACCACTCCAAACAGCTCCCCTTTCTTACTGATAGCCAGGTAAAGATTACTGCCAAGACCTCTGATAGCAACAACCCCAACATCCACCGATGTGATCTCCAATATACCTGAAAAACATAACCACAATTAGCCAGATCGAAGAAAACAGACACTTACATTTACGCCCTTTGAATTATGAGAACACCACACATATCCTTGCAAAGCACCTTAATAGTGTACTCCTGGGTCATACACATGTCATGTTAAATCTCCCCTATTGTTTTAGAAGATGCCTTCTTTTACAAATGTTATTGTGTTTCTCTGAAGTTAGCAATTTTATTTTAATAATATCATATTCATTCTTTTAAAGAATTCTCTGCACTTTTACATTTTAAAATACTCTGAATGATTTATGAGCTCCTTTCCTCAACGAGACCAAAACATGTCCCCACAAGGTAAAGAAACACTGAGATTATTATACATAAGGGGACATTTGGTCCCCACAATGTGGAAAATACCAGAACCACACACACACACCCCACACATGCACTCATACATGTTTGGTTTTCATGTTTTATGGGGACTCAATGAAACACACTCAAACAAACACACACTACACACGCACTAATACATGTTTGGTTTTCATGTTTTATGGGGACTTCAATGAAACATACTCAAACAAACACACACTACACACATGCAGTAATACATGTTTGGAAGTTCATGTTTTTTGGGACCTCAATAAAAACACACACAAACACACACTACACACACACTCATACATGTTTGGTTTTCATGTTTTATGGGGACTTTAATGAAACACTCAAACAAACACACTACACACACACTCATACATGTTTGGTATTCATGTTTTATGGGGACCACAATGACACACACACACACACATGCACGCACGCACGTACACACACACACACGCACACACATGCACGCACACACACTCAAACGAACACAAACACACCATACAAACGTATGCATACATGTTTATTGTTCATGTTTTATGGGGACCTCAGTGAAACAAACACAACCACACACATGCATGTACAAACAGACACACACACACAAACACACACACCCTACACATGCACTCATGCAGGTTTTCATGTTTTATGGCAACCTCGATGACATGCACACAGACCCAAACACAAAAACACACACAATACACTCATGCATGTGGGTTTTTATGTTTTATGGGGACCTCAATGAAACACACGTGTACACACACACACACACACACACACACTCAAACAAACACAAACACAAACACACCCTACAAACATACGCATACATGTTTGGTGTTCATGTTTATGGAGAAACAAACACACACACATACACACACACACACACACACACACACACACACACACACACACACCCTACACATGCACTCATGCAGGTTTTCATGTTTTATGGGAACCACGATGACATGCAGTGAAACACACACACACACAAACAATCACACTAGACATGCTATGGGGACCTCAATAAAAAACACACACACACACACACACACACATGCATGCACACCTACAGCCACACTCACAGGCATACACTCACGCGCACCCACAAACAAACAAACACACTCTACATACGCACTCATGCATGTTGACTTTTCAGGTTTACATACACGCAACATACAGGAACATACACGCAAACACACACACGCACGCACACGCACACAAACAAACAAACACACCCTACATATGTACTGATGCATATTTGGTTTTCATGTTTTATGGGGACCTCAGTGAAACACACACATTCACACACACACAGACACACATTATATCTCTCAGTCTGATAACCCCAGCGGCTGTGGTGTGAACTCTAGGCTGAAGCTCAGGGGGTTTTGCTGCTGCTGCTCTTTGATCAGAGCAAAAGTGCTGAAAGATGCGTCTACATGAGCGCATGAGCTGACCTCAGAACAGTTGACCTGCCCTCCTGTCAAGGGCTCTTCCTCAAACCAGACACTGTGTTTATACTGCGCTAGAAAACACTCCTGTGTATGTGTGTGTGTCATTAGACTGTGTTAAAGAGATAGTTTCCCCAAAAATGTACATTCTGTCATCATTTACTCACCCTTCACTTATTCAAACCCGGTTTAAGTTTTTATCTGTTGAACTCTATGAAGATATACTGGAGGACTTCCATAGAGTTTTTGCTCCTTCTATGGATGTCAAAAGCTGTGTTTCCATCCAAAAATGTGAATAAATGTGTCATAACTGTCAGTGACCACCTGAGGGCGCTGTAGTTCAATGGACACTGAGTGGAACTACAGCGCCCAAAAAGACTACATTTCCATACATTCTTTCGCGCACACACCTGGTCTGTCATCTACACTGATTTACAACCACAGCTGTCTCCAATCCCCGTTGATTACCTGGACTATATATTCAACCATTCCACCTCTGTTTGTTAGTTGGTCGTTGTCGTTCCTGTTGATATGTTTCCTGATTCCAGTTTATATCCTGTTCTTGTGCTAAAGTCTAGTCCTAGTTTAGTCTGCTTGAGTTCCTAGTTTGTTTGTTTATTTTGTTACTTTGATTTTTGGATTTTTTGTCACTTTCTCTGCACTATACATCATTAAAACTGCACCCAATTCTACACCCGTTTTTGTTCCTGTTTTGATCACGCTAAAACGTGACATAAATGTATGAGCATAACTGAAATATCGCATATAAGACATGGAAAAAAAGCAGCGTTTCCATCCAACAAGTCAAAGAGAACAAAATCGTCACTTCCAAATATCAAGAGTAATAACAGAATGTGCTGCGGAAAGAGAAGCTGCGTGAATCTTTTCTTCATTTGATAAATGACTTGCGCCTCAGAAGGCAATCCTGACACGCAGTATATGTGCTGCAGCGTTTGAAAGCATAAGTCGTGGAGGACAGACACTCTTAATTGACCCTTCGCTAAGCCACACCCAAAAACCACCACCCACCAATCGTGGGTTAGCAACTGCAGCTACGCGCAGGGGCTCTGTCAAGCTTATGAGCGAGTGCATATGGATTGTGCAAATCTGACACCTGGTATCCTTAAAGTTTGAACAGGATGGTGGAATTTTTTCCCTTTTCAAAACCAAAAACCCAAGAGGAGAAATACCAGCGTGGATCAAGCTCGGTAAGGGGCGTTAAAGGAGCTGAGCTAAGTTGGATTTGTTTTGATATTCCTGACATTCAGTGATGGACGGCAATAACTCACACACCTCTTACCCTAAACCAGGGGTCACCAAACTTGTTCCTAAATGGCTGGTGTCCTACAGATCTTAGCTCCAACCCTAATCAAACACACCTGAATGAGCTAATCAAGGTCTTACTAGATATACTTGAAACATCCAGACAGGTGTGCTGAAGCAAGTTGGAGCTAAACCCTGCCGGGACACCGGCCCTCCAGGACCGAGATTGGTGACCCCTGCTCTAAACCGATGTAAACTGTGTTTCCTACAAATATACAAAGCAGGTTATGTTTCACAGCTGTCCTTTTTTCTTTTTCCACTCTATATTATGAGCACTGCTCCGTTTAAGCCTTCACCACCCTGCAGAAAAATCCAGCTTAAACCAGCCTAGGCTGTTTGGCTGGTTTTACCTGGACGACCAGGCTGGTTTTAGATGGGTTTTGGCCACTTCCAGGCTGGTTTCCAGCCATTTCCAGCCTGGTCTTAGCTGGTCAGGCTAGGAGATGAACAGCTAAAACCAGCTTGACCAGACTGGTTTAAGCTGGATATAGCTGGTTTTGGCTGGACTCCCAGCTTGGCTAGGCTGGTCAAGCTGGTTTTAGCTGTTCATCTCCTAGCCTGACCAGCTAAGACCAGGCTGGAAATGGCTGGAAACCAGCCTGGAAGTGGCCAAAACCCCTCTAAAACCAGCCTGGTCGACCAGCTAAAACCAGCCAACCAGCTTAGGCTGGTTTAAGCTGGATTTTTCAGCAGGGCATAGTATTGTTAGCCATACTAATAGCGATTAGGTCATAATGAGGCAATTACAAATCTGTGAATCTGTTGGTAACTTTACTGAACTTTATATTTCTATCTATTTCAAGCTACGAATATTTGAAATTATCAACAGAACAAAACCGAGATATAATCACAAACTGAGCACTTGCGATCAATATACTTTACCAGCAGCTGTTAATTAGTAATTTATAAAGAGCACACAAACATACTGACAGTAATAGGTCTTACTGTACTTTCTTTTGGGTCAATGATGCTAATATTCAGCACAAATCCATCAGTTTCCCCTTTCTGGCTGTTCTTTCTATGAATGAAGTATGTAGAAGCACTGTCCATGAGTGTTTCCTCGTCGATTAGTATCGCTATATTTCATTGCACAACAATAATCTATCAGGATTTTTGGCTAAAAATAGAGAAATCACGGTTTAAATAGTTATTATTAGATTATTTGTACATTTTCACCTCTTCTGGTGTGCATGAACTAAGCTGTTGAATGGTTAGCATATGAGGCGGCTAGGCTAAGCTAGCTTCAATTTTCATTTGAATTATACTCTAATCTGTTGCCTATAATATGGTGAATATACTCCTGTAATACATACTGCAGTCCTTTTTGTCTGGCTTTCTCGGAGATCTCACCTGTTCGCCAAAAATGACATTATATCCCTGGCAATGTCCGACACCAGCGCATACACACTGATAAAGCCGTGCCAGGCACGAAAGCTTGACAGGCGATGCAACAGTAACTAAGGAGGGCGGGGCTTAGCGAAGGGTAAATTCTGAAGGTAATTAATAATATAATAACACTAATACTGAGATGGTTGAGGCGTTTTGGAATGATCAAAACAGCATTTCAGATGTTCTACAATGTGCTCAGTCGGCTGGTTTGTTCATTCACACACATTATCATCATGACAAGATCTCTTATAACAAAAATCACATGACCTTTTTTTAGTGCGCTTACTGGAATTTGTTTGGTAAAAGTGTTTCCATCGTAGTTTATGTGCATCTTTTCTTATCGAATAATACGTTTATCTTACTCAGTTATGCGCATATGTTTTTTTATTAGCATTTTCAAAACGTATGCAAATCTTGGTGTTTCCATCAATAGATTTTTTGATGTGCATATCAAAAATGCGCATAAAAGTAACTAGTGGTTTCTTT